GACGACGGTAATTGAACTCGGGTTGCTCGAAGAAACACGGTGTCGATTTATTGAGTTTGTCGGGGGTCTACAGGGACCTCTGCACCTATTTCTAAAATCTTATTTGCTATATATCAGTCTACTTGAGGAATTAACGGTAGAATTAAATTGGACCTAGGCGAAGCAAGGTCGGATCGCTAGTGTAATATTATATTACAATGTCAATACGTATGTCATTGAAGAACTCAGTAGTTGAGTAGAATAGATCCAGTAGTATATGCATGCATGCTGTAAGAAATCTAATGAATTTTGAAAATATCTACCTTGCGCTTTTCCGGGGCAGGTCGTCAAATCTAACTAACGCAAAAAATGGTCTAATCTGGTTGCGAGAATAATTAACGTTTAAAAGTAATATAAATTTTGAATTAAAAATTAAAACCAAAAGTCACGAATGTTGTTATGTATATGAGATTGAATAAAGGTAGAAAAATTATTTCAATCCGTAGATTCTTCCTACGTATAAGAAACACAGCTTGCGGTTCTGTGCAGAAAAATGACTACGTAATTCTACGAAACGTCTGGAAAATGTCTTATCGTATCCAAGTAAATGGATTCCACCGTAATCGCAGCCCCCGATTACATTTCCGCATTGACCAAAAGCGAAACTGGTTCAAGGTCCGCTGACCGTTTAGTGTCAACCTTCGCCTAATATCCTTACTTCTATAGCACTTTATCCCGGGTCAATTTATCAGTTCGCGTGTTTGAGCGATCGTGAGCGGACTCGGTTGTGATATTGTATGAATAAAATACAGAAATAATTGTGCGGTGGTCTTAGTACCGATAGTTATCGGTGTAGCAAGAGTTGCTTGGTTGCGTGGACTGGCCGAAAGTGACCTTGGTGTACAGTCCACCTCCACCGGCCGTGTGGATTTACGAATAGTCGCTTCAGCACGATCGCGCCATGCGGGGCAATATGTACCTTTAGCAATATCGAATGTCAACCTTATGCCGGTGAATTAGATTCGATTGTCCCCGAATTTTCCCGTTCGGTTGCGACGTTGTGATATGGATTCCAAATAGCTCTGTTTCGCCAGCTTCTGTGAGTTAGGCCTAGTGCCTTATATCGCTCTTAACGATACGGACGTAACGCTCAAGGTCCCGTGATGTTCCCGGTTTGATTTTGTGAATTCAGTGGCGTTTTGTGATTGTTCATCTAACGTTGCACGTTTAGAACGCATCAGCGTTACGTTGTCAACGATAGTGTAATCTTTCAAGTAATAAGCATGTGATTCGTTCAAAACATTAACCTTCTTGACGGATAATAAACAAGTATTGGCCACTGTTTTTAACTTCACTAAATATAAATACATATAGTTTAAAGTGTAAAAGATAAATTTATCAAATTTATACAGACTTTGTTTATTGGTACGGATTTTGTTATACTGGCAAATAGTAACAACAAATTCATTCGATTTTTAAATTGACAAGTTGTTCCGGTGTTTATTTTCCTTAAAATAACCTAAATAATCAATGATTAATAGATAATATAAATTTTAAAGTTAATGGTACCTACCTGTTTTAATAAGAGTTATTTTACAGATATGAAAATGATAAACGTAATATATATTGTTTCAGTTGTCAAACTTGACTTTTTAAGTTATCTGTATTTAATTTTCACATTCTGTAACATCAGAAAACAAATAACCAATTTAGCGACAACGTAAAAAAGTTTAATCTTTTTGTTACAAAACGTATAAAAAAGTTTAATCTTTTTGTTACTCCCTCGATTTATACCTATTACATTCGTTACGGTTAGTTTATTTATTATTCCTTGGCAATGCCTTTATTTCCTTTAAGTAGAAGTAAAACAATCATACCGAAATCTGAAACAATTACGTGACACTGTGACGCTGAATTTATCGTGGTTGACGACTTAAAGCGTATTGCGGGAACTTCGTGGAACAGTTGCCTGTAATAAAAACTTTTCCGTCCACCGCATACATACACATGATTTGTGGCTTGTTCTTTATATTAAGTGAACGGAAAATAATGTCTCTATGTCGAATCAATCACTTTGTAATTGTCATTTTGATTGGTAAATTAAAATTACTTACATGTTTAACGTCTTCATGCCTAGTCATTTTTATAAATGGCTTACTATCGGCTACCGTATTTACGTCATAGCAAAAAGTTACGTTCAAGAACTACGCCCGTATGCTGATGTCAGCAAAATAAAATAGCTACAATATTACTTTGTTTTTAGGGTTCCGAACCCAAAGGACATAACGGGACGCTTTTTTTATGTGAGAAAGTGACTAACGAGCTGGCGGTTCACCTGATGTTATGTGATATAACGCTTGCCTATGGACATTTGCAACACCCGTAGGATTACAGATGCGTTGCTCTTAATAATGTGAACCCTAGCTACCTCACTCACCAGACGAAACGCAGATGTGCAACACTTCTACTTTACGCCGATTTTCTGTGAGGTCGTGGTACTAACCCGTACTGACCTGCCCATTCGTGCAACAGCAAACACTGTTGCGTGGCCCTACCACCGTAAAACTCTATTACTAAGACTCCGCTGTCTGTCTGTCAGTCAGTCAGTCTATCTATTCGTTTGTCGCCAGGCTTTATCTCATGAACCGTGATAGTTACACAGTTAAAATTTTCACAGATGATGTATTTCTGTTGCCGCTATAACAACAAATGCTAAAAAACAGAAGAAAAATATTAAAATGGGACTCCTATAAAACAGACATGATTTTTTGTCATTTTTATAAATAATGGTACGGAACATTTTGGGCGCGAGTCTGACTGGCCGGTTTTTTTATTAAATTTTATATTTTTTTTCGCTAAGCCATCGCGTGATTTATGTAAAATATATACAGAGAGCATCAATTACATTCAATCTTTTCCATATTCATTAATTTTAGTTGCATTACTTAATTAACCAGAAACTTATAGGGTAAAACTACATATAAATACAATACTCATAAATTCTAAAACATAGGGATTGAGATTTTTTACATTTCCTAATTTATTATTTATCTTTAGCTACCATTACTTTTACTAAAAACAAATATTTCGCTTAATAGACCCAGGCCTAGGTAAGAACTAGTTATCACTGAACTCTACAATGTTATTTGCAACACTGTTATTTACATAAATATTTAGATTAATTTTTCCAGGCATTGAAAGAAATTTATTCGGAAAACAGTGTTTTCGAATCGCAATCCCACAATATCCGGTCGCCTTAAAGTGGACGTAACGATATAGATCAGCCATTAACACGCTATACGGCGACTAAATTAAAGAAATAAACCCATGCTAAGACTTTAATCGAAGAATTTGTCATGAGCTTCCAGTATAATACTATACATAATCTGTATACAGGCCATCAACATAAACAGTGATCATATGAATGTGCGACTTAATAAGAATTGAATCTGATTTCTGTTTGCCTAACTTGTAACCTAGCGAAAGTTAGCTGACAGGTTTACATAATAATTTTCTTACCTTACCGACTCAATTCATTAATTAAGTATACAATATATCACAATTATAAAAAACCAAAACAAAACCGAGAAGGATAATATAAAATAGTAAATATTAAGTAACCCCCTAACAAAATCAAAATTCAAATTATGTCTAAAACCATATCTCGATCATGTCAGCTTTCAAACAATAAAAACGCATCATAATCGGTCCATTCGCTTAGAAGCTACAATACACACTCACTCACAGACACACAGACAGACGTGTCAAACTTATAACACCCCTCTTTTTAAGGATTAAAAAGACAGTACACTCAAAGTTAGTACAAACAACTCATAATGAGGCTATTTTACATACTAAACTAATCTCCGTAAAATATAGCATGTATAAAAAAAACCGACCAAGTGGAGTCGGACTTGCGCACGAAGGGTTCCGTGACATTATCTACAAAATGGCAACAAAATTATGTCTGTTGTATGGGGGCCCCACTTAAACATCTTTTTATTCTGTTTTTTTTATATTTGTTGTTATAGCGGCTAGAGAAATGCATCAACGGTGTAACTATTACGGTTCATGAGATACAGCCTGGTGACAGACGGACATACAGCGGAGTCTTAGTAATAGGGCCCCGTTTTACCCTTCGGGTACGCAACCCTAAGAAAAAAATTACATCTCCTCATGTTATGTAGATTAAAATGCATGTGAAACGACGTCTCGGTTTTACGGAATGTTTATGCAAATGCAGCCCCATGGACTCTCAGACCTGACTAGCGTCAAACTGCGCCCTATGTGCAGCAAGACGTAGCACTAACCGCACGCTAACACGACACGTCGACAAAAGGATTTCTGCTAGGGCACTTGAACTTGATTAAAATCGAAAGTATAAAGAGCTTTGAACGATATAACAAAGAATGTAATTAATACGCGGTGCCTTCTTTAATTCTTCTGCAACAACTCGAGTACGTCACTCGGAGAATAATGCATATTTGAAAGAAATCTGAAAGCTTTTGCGCTAGACGTATTCTTTCACCGCTAAGCAAATGGCAAATCAGTATTGCATTTGCAAATATTAATTTGGTTATATTTTTCGACGTTTCTAGATTAATTGGGAAATATTGCGACTCTGGTCTACTTTGTTTTCTTCGTATAAAAATAATATATTTATTATGTTTTCGTTGGATCTGGCGGAATAAACAAACTCGTTGTTAAAAATTGAAGTCAAACATACGTTATTAAGCCATATATTACGTTACTAATTAGCTATATACGAAGTTAATACGATCGTGTTAAATCTTACAAATTAACCATACTATGAAACTTTAAACTTCTAATATAAAAATAATATTGAAATAATTCAAAGTATCACATTTTTTAAACATATATTTAGGATAAAAATTTAGGAAATACGAAATACGAAACGTTAGTGCTCTATCGGAGCCAAGTTCTGTTCGCAACGTGAGCCAGCCAACACCAAAGTGTGGCGACCATCCAGAAGCCGCTGGCTACAGCTGGCTGACGACTCCATGCTAGACAGCGATGAGGAATCCTTCACCGTCATTTCCCTGCCCGTCTATACTCCAGAACCACCAGTAAGTCTAATAAAGTTTAATCGTCTTAATTAAATACGTACACGAATACTTAATATTCGTACTCGTTTAATCATGATCAATATTCAGCACCTCAAAAATTATAAAATTATATTTAAGGTTTATATTTAACATAAACCTAATTATTATGAAGACTCATTGGAGTAAAATTGCATTCAGTTCATTATTAGAAAATGTCTTTTCTGTACAGTTATCATGACAGCTTAATTCTATCAATGGTGAATCTTCCACAGTCGCAGTAGAACAAGCTCATAACGAATAATACTCTTATAATATAAAGCAAAGACCTTTTAACATAGGTTTTTTACTACTGGAAAAATATTCTGTGATGAACATAGTGTTTTTCTAGTGTCTGGGTGTTTATATATCTAAAACATGTATTTGCAGAAGAAAAGTTACGTTTAAGCACGTTTATACGCACGTACCTTGTATCCATAGATAGTGCAATCTTTGCTTAGTTCGGTACTAGATAATATTGTGTAAAAATATCTCCGAAAATATTTATTTTACCACACCTATTTCAAGCTGAACTTGACGTGGAAACCAAATAAATCAGTAATACTCTTAGTTCCGTTGACGGTTTATTCAATAAAATATACACTTAAATTTATTATTCACGAATGTCACGTTATGAATATTAATTTTTTTGCGTGCACGTTGCTCATTAGCAAGCCTACGCGTAAATTTGGGTCAGTGTGTCGTACACTGATTTATGACATTTATAATCGCCATGCACTTTCATGTAATATTATTACACCGCACACGAAGTTGTGAAAGTCGAAAGAAAGTGAATCACATTTTTGCAGGAAATGTTTAATTGTAGACGTTTCATAATTAACATATTTTATGTATATGTTAATTCGTTGATTTAGAAAAAAAAATCGTATAAAATAGGTCTGTAAAAAACGAGTAATTAAAGAAATCACACAAATCCTGTAGAAGTAAAAGAAATATACGTATATATACATAAATATTTTTCATACGTAGTAAATCCTAACAATACACGAACAAGTTATACGATATAACAACTAGAAAAACAACCAAACGACAAGGTAGTGTAGCTACTTATATCTAGCAACCCTGAAGGTCTATCTCGGGCTCCATTACTGTTCACGACTTAGAAGCATAAGCTCCACGAAACGCCGCAGTCCACTTTCAATGCAGCAATTTCTGCTTTGACCTCGTCAGCGACACGTTTTCGTCGGGCACGCGTGTTTAGCCAAACTACTGGGCCTAAGAAGAATTAACCGAAATTCCCTTAATCGCCGCGCGAGGATACAGAAGGCTGTTGCTATTAGAAGGCGTATAAGGTGGCGGTGTCCTTGGCGGACCCTAGACGGTCAGTACCACCGTTCAAGGTCGCCATTCGGCAGTTAGTTTGATTTGTTTACCACTGCCAGTGGTCGTGTATACGTCGGGAGCGACGGCGGGTTCCAAGATATCGCGTTTAAGAATAAGATATTACGCCAAAAGCGCTGAAGATTTAAGAATCACTGTTCGGGTGAGTGTTTGGTAATTCAATACGTCTTTTTCTTTATTTTGATTTTTTTTGTTAATAAATTAAACTATTATAGAATTACTTTCTTTATAATCTTTCTTATATAGATATATTTTTACTACAACTTACTTTAGTTCAAAAACTTAACAACACGTTAATAAACGAAACGAATAACACCTTTTTTTGTATGTAGCCAGTTCCAAGTCATCCAAGTTCCAAATCATTAGTTCCAATAATAGCTAAAATTTTGTTTAATTTGAACACAGTATTTAATTTGTTATTGCATATTTATGCAATAACAAATTCATTAGATATATTAATACTGTTAAATAAAATAATAAATTATGGCTATATGAATGCTAATATTTAGCTTCCACTGCTTTCCTTGCATTATTAATCAGTCATAATTCGTGAACGATCTTATATACGAATAACAACAAAAAATAGCACTATGCAAAGTATGCAACCGGGTCAACGTAGTATGTAATGAGGGTTAGACCAAAAATTACAGAAAAAATTTACCGCTAAACGGAGCAGAGGAATTCTTTATTGAGACCATAAAATTTTTCAACCAACCGTATAATACAAGTCACACGTCCCCAATGGCGTCCGAAAGAAAACAACATTATTTGCATAAAACCGTATATCGCACTGAATATGATTTGTCCACGCGAAGTTAATAACATCCATTACCATACATTTACTGTATTTAGCTAACGATAAAGCTAAGTAAGAAAGATGTGAAATAAATTCAGATGTTTAACATACACTTAAAATAATGTATGTTTTATAACCATAACCAGTAAATATTCATATCAGTAACTAAATTCTTTAGCAATGATGATTTTGAAAAAGCACATTGCAAAAAAGTTAGTATCCATTGCACCGATAGCGTTACTAATGACTGATGTACCTTTTTGATCTTAATGAAACTTGTCGAAATAAACTAAAACTGAAATCAAAACATCCGTTATATACAACTGATCGAAATCTCCGGAATCTGTTCAATTGTTCATAGAGTAGAAGTTATGGTATTACTTTTTATTACAAGGATATGTTTCGCCGCGTTTTAGTTGTGTGCGTAATGCGGAAATGTTTAATAAAATATTCTGAACGAATAAATTAAAACTGGGAATTCTATCACCAACACACACTAGGTTAGAAATATTTTATCGGGGTGAAAACAAGTAAGTCTCAAATCTGTGGCAAACGGATTGATTAGGCTACCTAAATAATATCACTAGAACACTGATGAAATGGAACATCCACAAGCTCTCTCTCTCTAACCAGTAAAGGTACGAAAAACAAAGTATCCTTATTTATCTCATGACAGGAGAACCTTTTAAACGTACATTTTGTTTCAATTTTTTACTTTAATACATATATTAAAGTGAAATTGCTTTTGGCAAGTAGGCCTTTCAGTATAAGTCCGACATTTGCTGTTTGCACACTCATCACCGCGGCAAATTCGGTCAGGGACACGGCGTCCAGTACCCGTCCATTTCTTCCGATTCATAAACAACTTAAAATGTTATTCAACAAAGAATGATGTTATGGCATATATCTTTCTTATCTTCGTAAGAAAGGCATATGTTTTTGTTTTATTAACAGCAGTGCTTGAATACATATGGTAGTCCATTGACATCTGGTAGTCTTGATCGGTTAACATAGGTACTAGGCCAGGAATAATCTTGTTTGGATCGTTTTTTTTTAATATAGAACTAGCCAACACTTGACTGCCATCGCACCTGATGGTAAGTGGCGATTCAGCCTTTGATGGTAAGCGCGCTAGCTCAGTAAAAACCTATTCACTCTTGCCTTCAAGACGCCTACGTTGTAATCGGACGGAAGGACGGACGAAAGACGTGGAAGTTTTATCATGGCCGAATCATAATCTTGCCTTATACATATCATTTGGACTTAAAACAAACAACTTCAAGAAAGGAAGAGGTTCGTAAGATAGAAAATACATTTCGTATTATTTCAAACAAAATAATTATCTGCTTATTTTACAATAAATAATGAGTCGATATAGACTGCATAGCAATTGCTGGATAAAAAAACTATAAATTAGACACTTATTTGTCGTGAGATGATTTCGCGGAAGCTACAAGTAACCTTAAAGTTTTAATGTTGTAAAAAAAAGTAAAGTAAAGTAACAGCCTATACATGTCCCACTGCTGGGCAAAGGCCTCCTCTATACAGAGGGTATCAGGGCATAGTCCCCACGAAAACTGCGGATTGGCGGACTTCACATACTTTCGAAATACATTTTTTTTTTTAATATTTCGAAAAATATGCAGGTTTCCTCACGATGTTTTCCTTCACCGCGGAGCACGTGATAAAAGCACTTAAAGTTAAAAACTTCATTGGTGCCGGCACCGGGGATCGAACTCAGGTTGCTCGAGTATATATTGAACTAAAGGCGAGCGCCCGGACACTGAGCTATCACGGCTTAATGTTGTCGTCGGATCTAAATTTTTGGTTAACTTATATAGAGATCTATCCAGTGGAAAGTTAAGTTTCCATAACCGTTACTTAAAACAATCAGAATTAAATCGCTTTTACTTTATAACTATGATACATTTTTTTACTTACTGATAGTATAATCATTAAAATAAACTGTGCTAACGTATACTACACCCATTAATATTTTAATTTACATAAAAACTCTGGCTTCTTCGACTTCTTGTCTTAAACTTTAAATTTTCCCGTTGATGTCAGCAAATTGTCGCTTATAAATTGATAAAATAACGGAGTCATTTTTGGATTATTTTAGATCTTACATTCATATTCATAATAATTAGTAGTACAGTGTAGGAACCTAACTTACAATACAACTTTACAATAGGATAAAGTTAAATTAATTCATAAATAAATGTAAGTGGAAAAGTATGGCTGCTTCTTCAGGTTTGGCAAAACAGTTATGTGGCTATCATTCTGTAATTTTAACATTATATACGGTCAACCTAGGAGGAGTTCCCTGTAGTGTAATTAATATTTCTATAAGAGATTTTCTCTTTTCTTTCTCAAAGATCTATATCTAGATAAGAAAGAAAGGAGCAAATTTACGTGACTTGGAATACTCGTACATATAAACATGCATTTTATTTAAAAAATCTGTGGCATGCCGATTTCGTGTGTCTTCATATCGCATGTCAAACAGTCTTTGACTGCTATATCTTTGCATTTTATAGTTAAATGAGTTTGGGATTTGATTATAACTGCGGTACCGAAGAAGTGTTCGACCTTCGACCACGTCCTTTACGACAAAGTTGATGATTTATCTTTTCATATCTTCTTCGTTCTTCAGTTGTTCTCTAACTTGATCAACCCGCCAACCGAGTCGTTGGTGTAAAGTGTTTGCCTTTCGGCACCTCTCAGTATTTCTCTTCGCGCAGGCCGCCAGCTACGGAAAGAAGAACGGCATGTGGTATGGGGGCACCTCCACCGGTACTAGCGGGTGGGCACGCACAGGAGTCAGGAAGCAATCGGTGGCAGAATCCGACGCTCCGCCACCGGGGGGCGGGAAGCCGTCCAGCGGCCGCGTCATCCGCATCGTAAACAACATGGACCACTCAATACAGGTGACTATCAGAGAAAAGGAACTATCAGAACTGGAACAACACGCAGGTTGCAACACTATATATTCTAGAACACAACGAAAAAAACTCGCTTATGTTCAATACAAAAAAAGTAGCCGGAGCCCAATTTTCAAAAGGTTGTCAACGCATCTAACATAAGCCAGCTTTTTTTTTACGTGGGAAAAATCCTTTATGGATCCCCCGCCGCCTTGTGGGTAGGCAACAGGGGTATGTGGGAGTTACCCACTAAAAAACCCACGTTGCACCTGCGCTGTCGCATTGCCGGGGACACGGGAACACGAAAACGCAATCTTCTGCGAACCCCGGCGCGACTGTGGCCTTCTCAGGCCTCCTCTCCCCGGGCGCCTAACATAACTCAGCTAGCATAACCCTCGGGTGTAGCAGATGTCCATGGGCGGCGGTATTCACTTAACATCAGGTGGACCGTCTGATAGCTTGTCAACTTTTCATATAAAAAAAATTTAATCGCTTCAATTAAACTTTTTAACGTCCAAAAAATACATTGAAGTTGTGGATATGTACAAGTCCATTCGCAACCGTCTTCAAAAAAAGGAGCTGGTTCTTTTTTTTTGTTTGTTTTTGTCGGTTTTGTTTTTTGTTAATAACAAGTCTATTTTTTATTAACGAAAAAAACAAAACCCACTTCAATTATCTCGCTTTGTATTCATTTTATAATTGATTTTTAGGAGTTCCCTAAGTATCTCCGGAGCCCAAGATCCAATATCAATGATATTAATATAGCACCACATGTGAAGCACCGGCTATAAAAAAAAAAGAATCATCAAAATTATCCCCAGACAGATAACAGCTACCGATCGAGCCGAGGGTCGAAGAATATTAAGCCTAAGATTGGGGAATAAATTTAATAAGCCAACATGCAATATAAACATTAAAACAATCTTGGACAACTATCAACTCTTGGGCAGAAAAAGGCGCGTTTCTTTATTGAAATATCAGAGCAATGTAATCACTGCTAACGTAAATTCATTGTAAGGTCGTATCACAGCCTAAGTGAAACGCTTTCAATGGAAAAACCTTGAGATTAAACACTAACGTTCCCCGGGTTTCGATATACGATTTGAGGTCACCCGTATCATATCTGAATTTACATTTTTCGTAATCGCAATCGCATAAATAAACCACAGTTTAGAATTCCATTTCTTTCTAACATACACTCTAGCATATCTGTAATGAACTTTTTGATATATATATTATTGTGTATTTCAAAGATATTCATAAATGTATGCATACCCGTGATATATTTAATATTAACCGGTCGATAAAAAGTTTTTTATATTATTACTCGGAAATAAGTGAGTTTCATTCCATTGCCTTTAAATTGATCTTTATATCATTTTGAACGCTAAATCATATTATTAAATTAGTCTGTAATCATTTTTACATTACAGTGTCGAGTTTTACTAAACCTTCGTACTACACAGCCATTCGAAGAAGTTTTAGAAGACTTGGGACAAGTTTTGAAAATGAGTGGAGCGAAAAGAATGTATACAATCACAGGACAGGAGGTGACACGTTTATTCGATTTATTTATTAGTTTAAATATTTTTAATTATAGTTTCCTTATATGCAGAACGTAATCGTATGTATAATAGAAATGATATACACTATATTCGTGCTCTAAGTTTTTGTTTTATCTGTGGTACTACCACAGTTGCCACCTGCCACGCACAAATAGGCAGGTCCGTCCGTAAGTACCACGACCTCACAAAAGCCCGGCGTGAAGTAGAAGTGTCATACTTGTGCATTCCGTCTGATGAGTGAGGTAGCCGGGGCCCGCTTTATGAAATGGTTGCAACGCATCTTCAACCCTACGGGTGTTGCAAATGTCCATGGGCGGCGGTTATCACTTAACATCAGCTGAACCGCCCAGCCACATTCTCATATAAAAAAAATATCACTCAACACGGGAACACTCGCATAATATACGTTGTAAATGGTTTATTATAACCTCACTTATATCAATTATAGGTAAGAAGTTTCTCGCAGCTCCGCAACGAATTTGCAGACGTGGAAACTTTCTATCTCGGCACCGTAATGGTGCCTCCTGCCCTCAGTCCTGGAATCAGCGCTCCGCTGCCGATAGAATCGCCCATCCGAAGGTGACTTACAACTTGTTAATTTGTTATATGAAATTATTTTTACGGATTATTTTTTGCTTTCGAGCTTTGAGAAGGATCGAAAGGTTGTAAAATAAGATTAAAAATAAAAGCGATAATCCGTAATTAGTTTAATTTAGTAATGTGTAATCGCGTAAATGCAAGAAATGATTATTACGTAATAATGTACGATGTTTTACAATCTTCATTCATCCTGTGGTGTGTGAGGTAGCCGAGGTCCACTTCTTAATATTGGTAACGCATTAGCAACCCTTCGGTTTTCGACTGCTCTTTTGCCAAGTTTTCGTTTAAAAAATTGTTACAGTTTCAAGAGCAATCTGTTTGAAGAGGTAAAATATGCCGGTTAAATAAAATAAGGCCTCCCTCTTAGAACGCCACACCGAACGACACTATGCCGTTTGCATCCACCGACTTCTCGGTTGGCGTTCTATTGGGGAGGCCTATTTTGAACAGTGGATGTCATGCTGCTGATGATGATAAAGATTAAATAAAATATAACACTTGCTCGATTTTAGTATTTGTTATAAACTTTACCATTATTAGTAAAGTTTATAACCGTGAGCCGTGATAGCTCTGTGTCCGGGCGCGCGCCTTTAATTTAATATACTCGAGCAACCTGAGTTCGATCCCTGGTGCCGGCACCAATGGAGTTTTAGTGCTGACTTATCACGTGCTCCGCGGTGAAGGAAAACATCGTGAGGAAACCTGCATATTTTCGAAATAATAAAAAAATATATTTCGAAGATATGTGAAGTCCGCCAATCCGCAGTGGGGCCGCGTGGTGGAATATGCCCTGATACCCTCGGTATAGAGGAGGCCTTTGCCCAGCAGTGGGACATGTATAGGCTGTTACTTTACTTTTTTTACCATCATTATAAAGTCCACTTCTTACTTACTTAAGTCTTACCTGTAATCTAGTTTCAATGGTTACGTAGCCAGGCTGCTTAGTGCGCGGGGGGCCTAGCTGTTTAATAACTTTGGAATCTATCAGGTCGCGATCACGAGCGACGGTGGCTTCGCTGCCGATATCGGATGACACTAGGGGGCGCAGAGCGCGTAGCAAAAGCAGGCCACGGGTCCTATACGCCCCTGAAGGGGAGATAATACGCAATACAGGTAGACTTTACAGCACAAAGAAAGAGTTAAAGATTTCAGTGTTTTTCTAGGAAGCACTCGAATTACGCCAATTTGTGTAATTAGATTGCAATTTTTAAACTACTATCTCCAATTCCAATACCAATTTTAGTTTTATGGATCCATCAATGTATAACTTGATGATTCTGCCAATGTCAAGGTTCAATAAAAGAAAGAGTTAGAAATTTAATTAGCCGGTAATATTGACTTTTATAGACTAGGTAGACAATTACACGTATCCGGTTGAGTTAACTACTATCTCTTTCGTTCTATATCATCTGTCACATTACACGACGACCCGAATGGCATAGTGGGTAGTGTACCTGCCTCCTGCACCAGAGGGTGTGGGTTCGATCCCCACTACTGGAAAAATATTGTGTAATGAACATAGTGCTTTTCTAGTGTCTGGGTGTTTATATATGTATAATATGTATTTATTTACTAAAGAAAAGTATGTTTAAGTATGTTTATAAGTTTTCTCGTACCCATAGTACAAGCTTTGCTTAGTTTGGGACTAGAAAATGTTGTGTAAAAATGTGTCCTAAAATATTTATATTTATTCACATATACCATATGGTAAAGCGGAACATTTTTTAAACGCCACGCGGTATGGACATGCGTCATCTTGATTAAAACATCATTGGTTTACCCCGTGACAATAAATGCTTTTAATAAAACTTTAAAGCTTTCAAAATGTCTCATGTGTAAATTAACAATAACGAAAGCGATGTAATCCGTATTTTTTTTAAACTGCCCTTACTGTAGGATAGAATTATATTGTAAGGAAGTTTAAAAAACATAAATTTCACGTCGTCAAACATCGAGCTCCGAAACAATTATCTGCGGGTCACACGAATAGTAAGTCGCGTGTGGGAATCGAACCCACGACCCCCAGCGCCGAAGCCAATACACCTTGGCAATTGGGCTACGCAGACATCTAACTAATAATATTTTACATTTACGACCTATTTCAATAATCAATCTATCTGTACATGTGGTTATATGACATTAGATTCTTTATACTTACGTCAAAATTCTAACCAAAGAAACCAAATCTACAAATAGATCTAATATTGAAACCGGCAGTAAATAATACTGAGTGTTCGCAAAACTACAAGATACTTTCTAGTTTACTTAATATGTACACAAACATTTTTTATAACAGACTATACACTGCTGGAAGTGCTGAAAGAGGAACCGATGCGCGTGACTATAAGAGGTCTTCGGCGCACTTTTTACCCACCCATCCACCACGCACCCATTGATAACTCACCGCCCGAAAAGAAATTGCAGCTAGATTGGGTGTAAGTGCCTTTAAACTTTAATTACATTTAAATATCAGTAAGGTTAAAACATAATTAAAGTGAAACTTCTAATGCGACTTCCAACAAAGTTGCGTTAAACGTTTAACGCTACCATGGAGGGGGTATGAAAGCACTGTTGCGTTAAACGTTCAACACTCCTGGGGAGGGGGAATAGAAAGAGACAGCGAGAGTGAATGCATGGCTCTCGAAGTTTCACTTCTTCCGCGCGGAGGGACTCCTCGCACTTTTATGTTATTTATTGTTATGTCATATGGCTTTTACACCGGTCTCTTCCGGTCAGTTTTCAGACTAAATCGTTTTCAGTTTCACTAAGATTAAGATGATTATTTGCAAAGTCGTAATATACATTTCTGTTTTTTTTTATTGGTAAATTTTTAAAAGGTAAACAAAATTTTTTGGTACAACATTGCTTAATCTACATTAAGCAATGTTGTACCAAAAAATTTAGTTCAAGGTGACCTTTTGAAGTCACATTTGAAGATAAAGTCTGCGTCTCTATCTAATTTAGATAGAGACAATTTACAGATTGTGACAATTGACAGAATGTCAATTTACAGATTGTGACAATTGACAGAATGTCAATTTACAGATTGACCCAAATTTCAATGGTTTATTTCCGTTACGAAAGGTGAACCGATTTAACATTTAAATAAGTACCTAATAGGAACGCGAAATCGAATCGCAAATATAAATAATTTAAAAGGAATAAATATTAAATTCCACCGCATTATTGTATCAATAACAACATATTATTATAAGCTTTTTACCTTATCGACGAGGAATCTTAGCTAATTAAGTTATTTTAATTTTTTTATATAGGTAGATAGCAAGTTAGCTGGCGATTCACCTGATGTTGAGTGTTAACCACCGCCCCTGGAAATCTGCAACACCAGCAGCGTTGCAGATTCGCTTCCACCTTAATAAGGTGGGCCCCAATTACCCCACTCACCAGACGAAACGCAGAAGCATAGCTGTCTTCACACCGGTCTTCTATGAGGTCGTGGTAGTATCACCGATGGACCTCCCCACGGTGCAACAGTTTACAGCAAGCAGACTGTTGCGTGCCACAGTCAGAGTAAAAAAATGTACTAATATTTAAGCTTTTACTCGCTTCCAGCTACGGTTACAGAGGTGCCGACTCCCGCCGAAACCTTTGGGTGCTTCCAACAGGTGAGCTACTCTACTACGTGGCGGCCGTGGCCGTCATGTATGACCGGGATGAAGATTCGCAGCGTCACTACACCGGTCACACCGAAGATATACAATGGTGAGCCAAAGGAAATATTTTTTAAATATTAATTTTCTGTATTAAACAGACAAATCAAAAACGCTGGATAATATCAAGTGTACCTAGTGGTATGGGTGGGTTACTAAAGTCTTTGCATACTCCGTTAACCAAACAACTTTGTAGCACGCATGGGAAGCCTCTCCCGGAGAAGTAACACGCCCTCACACAAGACAGCCGTGAAGTTGAAGAATTATACTTTCGCGTTACGTTTGGTGAGTGAGGTAACCAGGGCCCACTTTTTTATTGTTGCCAACGTACCTGCAACCCGTCAGCTGTTGTAGACGACGGACGGTGGTATCCACTTAACAACGCCTTCTAACTTCACTACATAGTATAAAACAAATCGTCCCGCTGTCTGCCTATCCCTATGTATGCTTAGATCTTTAAAACTACACAACGGATCTTGTTGCGGTTTATGTATAATATAGTCTATATGTATAATACATTGCATCCGTGCGAAGCCGGGGCGCGTCGCCAGTTTAACATAAAGTAAATAATTTTGATTGCACGCGCCGCCGTTTCGATCAAATTGCGGTATTATTGGCCAGATATAAGGCTGCGTTCACGTGACTAGTGAAAGTCCTAACGCGACGATATTGTTTCGTGATAGTATGGAACTGCACCCGTCCCGTGAGCTGGTCGCCAGCGGGCAGCGTGCCGGGAGGGGGAGGAGGGCGCAGGCCCACGTTCGAATCTGGAGCGCGGACACGCTGCAAACGCTGCACGTGTTCGGCATGGCCGAATTCGAGGCGGGCGTGTCTGCCGTGGCCTTCTCGCAGCTGGTGAGTGAAACGACGCATCTGAGGCACCTTATATTCAAAGTTACATACAGATATGGGCGATTTCTTTTTGTCGCTTTTGCAGAGGCTCAGAGTGACGGTCTTAGTCATCACAGTACACATGTCATAATCTTTGTTACGACTCAGCGTTTTTAATTAGTAATAAAAAAAACACGCAGCTAAAATAGAAGTGTTTCTAGGATTCTTGTATTAATTTGTTTACATATGAGTTTTAAAAAGATTAAAACAAATATTGTACATACGATTAATATATATATATATATATATATATCAATTTCTGTGTAATTAGAAAGCATTTAAGGTCACAAGACCTCCAAAAAGCTCTCAAACTACCCAGGTACAAGGTAATCGAGTTCCAAAAATAACAAATTTTATACCCAGAGATCACAAGAAATAAATCTGTTGCAAAGCTATGTAGTATAAACTTTTCATTTTCATTTACAGCACGCGAATTGGTTTTTCTAAAACTCTCGTAGATCAAGGAGCTTTTCATAGTACCATAACTGTATATATATTTTTTAAATATAAATAAATGAATACCGAAATGACCCGTTGTTTGTCGAAACATTCTTTACAATAGTACTATTAAATCTAATACGATAATGTTTCGTAAAATTGTATTCTATGCAAGAATTCTTGCCATTACTTTATATTTCGTATCGTTGACAATCACCGGATTTGTAACTATTATTGTGACTATATTTAAAAATCAAATGAAGCTATTTAATCATCATTCAAAATCAGATTTAATGACGATTAAATGAGTTAAATATTGAACAGAACGGCGGCAGTTACGTCCTAGCAGTGGACGCCGGAAGAGAGAGCATCCTCTCGGTATGGCAATGGCAGTGGGGGCATTTGCTCGGAAAAGTCGCCGTAAGTTTTCACAGTATTTTTCCCATGCGTATAGTAACTAAAAACAACTATCTACATACTTGGTGCCACCTAGTAAGCTACTTTGCCGCCTAGAATGCCGACTCTCTCAACATTTTACAGTAAGCGAGCGAAAAAAGTAAAAATATAATATGTAATATAATTCTTAAATTTATACATAACTAAAAATAATGACAACACAATGATTTTGAGCCGATGATCTTCCCCAACGTAGCTTTTGTACCGTCGAGTGCAATATTTTAGTTATAGTTTAATACAAATGTAACAACATTTTTGAGAACTAATAGCACCGTTGTTCGAAACTGTACACAGGATGTAAAGTGGGAGTGAAACAGAAATTGTTTAAGGCTGCTGGTAACATCCCTCCCTCGCATTTGCTTTTTATAAACTGTGTACTGCAATAGATTCCACGAACATAGGAGCTTAACAGTTCAAATTTTACAGACATTACAAGAGGAGCTAACGGGTGCTGCGTTCCACCCTCTCGATGACAACCTTCTAATTACCCACGGTAAAGGCCATCTGGCCTTCTGGAACCGACGCAAGGATGGCTTTTTCGAACGCACTGACATAATAAAGCCGGTAGTTACTAATTTTTTTGTTCGTTCTTAGCGTGAAATTTATTTAAATGTATCCAATTGGATAATTTTTTTTTTTTACATTTGCTTTTTATAAACTAAAGTAAGCCTAGTCAATACGCAGGAGCACTATTTTAATCAAATGTTTATATCTTTTCATACGTTACTGAATACTCTATAAAAATTGTGTTAAAAACAATGAAGATTTCAGTATTCAATACGTTATATTAAAGTCAAGAACGAAAAATACAGACTAGCATTCTATCAGATAGTACTTGGAGATGTAGTCTTTTGTGGTATAAGCTCTGATTGAGTCACTACTCTTGTCTTGAACACATTCGCATTGTGTACGATCTCTGAGGATATTCCCCACTCCTTTGCTGTACGCATTCCGACAGTAACTGTGGTAGAGCATCGAAGTGTTGCGTGCACTTCGATGTTGCACGAATGAGCAGTAACACGACCTCACAGAAGACCGGCGTGAATTGGAAGTATTATGCATGTGCGTTTTGCCTGTTGAGTGAGGTGGCCGGCGCCCATTTTATTAAAAGGTGGTGTCGCATCTGCAGCCGTGCGGTTGTTGCAAATGCCCATAGACAGCAGTCACTTAACATCAGATGAGCCGCCAGCGCGCTCGCCATCTTCTATCATAAGAAAAAGAACTTCAATTAAACTTTTTTTAAATGGTTGCCATCTTCTCACATAAAAAAGTAAATACTTTTTTTTTTAAAAAGAAGTAAATGCTTTTTTTTACTTTACGTAAATAACTTTTGCCTTTGGACTGACGTGTCGCCTTATTGCGCTTTGTGACGTCAGCCGTCGCGCACGAACATCACGGCGCTTCAGTTCGAGCAGGATGGCGACGTGGTGACGGCGGACAGTGACGGTTTCATAACGGTGTACAGCGTGGACAGCGACGGCGCTTACTTCGTGCGTATGGAGTTCGAGGTGCGTTGAAATCCTTACTATCCTTGTCCTTACTTCCTTACTTAATATTATAGAGGTGAAAGTTTGTATGCATGGATGGATGTTTGTTACTCTTTCACGTAAATACAATGTTTTTTAATGAAAGTTTACAATAATAAGCTATATTATTGTAAACTTCCACTAAATTTACATCTATAATAAGCATCAGAATAACACATAGTCTATAATTTATATACATATTTTTATGTATATCTGTCTGAATGTTACGCCTTCCTTCAGTCTGTTCTACGCAGACGTAGTCGCAGGCATCAACTAGCATAATATTATAAACGCGAAAGTTTGTATATATATAAATGTTTGTTACTCTTTCACGCAAAAAGTACAGAATGTATTTAAATGAAACTTTACAATAATATATTATAATTTGTAACACCTATACAACTACAAGTGACTGATTCATACATTCAGAGACGTTTTCATTCGTTGCCACAAAGTCGCATTACAAATCTCTTCTTCCAACAGTATGTTTTATCTCTTTTAAATTCATTCAACCCATTCATATGCTTTGTGACCTTTACATATGAACTTTACTTTACAGTTTTATACTTAAGGATGTTCTAAACAATGTTTATTTTGTAAAATTTAAAAACTCGGTAAATATTGATGTTTAAAGAATGTAAATGCTTAACACAATTTTAAAAAGTTATCCTCTATATGTGTGTTAATTTATTGTCGCGGTTGTAACGACACGCTGTATATTAATAATTTTTAACTTTAAATAAGTACAATTATTTTAATATATAATAAATACATATATTAATTATTTTTACTACTTAGTTTTCACTTCTATTGGCAGCCTCCAGAGACTCTCCGTATGTTTTTTGTAATCCTTCATATTTTGTGTGCAATAAAGAGAATCACAAAAGGTCAGTCAGTGAAAGAGTGAAAAGGAAAAAGGCAGGTAAAGGACGATGACGCCTGAACGCTTCTGAATGGATTCAAATTCAATTTTCTTGGATATTTTATCCTTGCTGTAAGACAATATTAACTTGTGCATTTGCAATGGATCCAATACCTACTTTACTCTTAAACTTTACTCTTAATTTTTCTCCAATGTTTCGTAAGAGTATGCAATAAATATTTCCTCATCTGATAAATTTCAGGCTCATATAAAGGGCATCAGTTCCTTGGTAATGCTCTCTGAGGGTACCTTAATCTCTGGAGGGGAGAAAGACAGGAAGATAGCGGCTTGGGATACTTTACAGAACTATAAACGGATAACCGAAACCAAGGTATGAATTTCTAAGTATGACTTGGTGGAGCAGTTTCTAAACCATTGATTACAACGGCAGGGGTCGTGGGTACGATTCCCACTCCGGACAATTAGTGACCCACAGATAATTGTGTTCTGGATTTGGTATTTGTTCTCAATAAGGGTTGTAATCAGGAAGGCGGCCCGGTCGTGTAAACCATGATATCAACATTAACAACATGATTCCCATATTGTGCAGAACTCATTAAGATGGAATAATTTACATTTTTATATACCTTTATATGAAACATTTCTATGGCCTTGGGTCAAAATGGGTGATTATTTCTCTCATAAATGCGGAAACGAATATGTTTCCACATTTTTACAACAATTTTTATTGCTTACTTCCTTGCAGTGTACGACCACAGACTAAACAGATTGTCACGCTAGATAAATTTCATAAAAACCGCTAATCGCCTCTTGTATTAGATAGCTATGTGTATTAGACCTATCTTCTTCCCGCGATTTTAAAGGATACTTTCACCGATTGGATTGAGGTCTTTAGGCCTTATTTGTTTTATTAAATTAAGCTATTCAAAAGGGTTAAGCGATTGAAAAAAAATTTATATTAATAAGGTGGCGAACGAGCTAACTGTTAACCTAGTTTTAAATGATAACCGCCGTCCATTGACATTTGCAACACTCGTGGGGTTGCAGTTGCATACCTTTAAATAAAGTGCTAGCCCCGGCTACCTCGCTCACTACATGCCGATCCTCTGTGAGGTCGTGTTACTTACCTGGACGGGAATGCCCATTCACGCAACAGCGAAGACTGTTGCGTGGCCCTACCACAGGCAAATAAGAAATAATATCACTTCCAGTTGCCTGATTCGGCTGGGGGCGTTCGAAGCATTTATCCCCAAAGACCTGGCCGGAATGACGGCAACTTGTACGTCGGCACAACCAGAAACAACATCATGGAGGGATCACTACAAAGGAGATTTAATCAGGTAAAAGAAAATAACATGTACATTTGCACGAATAGACTAACTGGAACGGGGGAGCAACATGGCCTTATAGATACATACTTAGTTTACATCACGAAGATCTTCTTCTCACATCAAATAAAGTCTAAACCAAGTTATCTAATATTTCGATAAGAAACAGACTTAATTGTACTAAACCGTTTTAGTAAATATTTATCACAATATTTTATTGAACAATTTACTAAAATATTATGTTCCTGCTGCTTAGACCGTTTCGATTTGTACTACATGATGGGTGCGTAGCTACCCTAATGGGTGCGTAGTGCGTAGTCACATCTAAATAAAACATTGGTTTAATATGCATGTTTACCTTGTTCTTCTACAATTTAAGGTCGTTTTCGGACATCACAAGCCCCTAATGGGCTTAGCTGTTCATCCGGACGACGAGATGTTCGCCACTGCGGGCAATGACAAGAATATCGCTCTCTGGAAAGGACACAAGCTTCTGTTCGCGACACAGGTGTGACAACGAAACACTGTGACAAGCTAATAATCGCTACACGCTACATCAAGTGGCATCCTAGTCATTTTAATGTTCCGTAATCCGTAGTTACACTTTTTTATTAATTTTATTAGTTCTTACACATAATAAGGTCCGAAACTAATAGGATGGTTTAACCCTGAGTGATTCTCGAAATCGAAATCGAAAATTGGTCTGTTACGAAAAACTAAAATTAACAAAACCTTTTATCGTTGCATCCGATTTTGAATTCGATGTTTTCGATATTGTTTAAAATCCAATGTGATAGTATGTTTGAGATAGTGATAGTAAAATGTAAGGTTGGATGTACAACCTTAGGTTGCTGGTGCGGTTCTTGTATTTTCATTTTTAGGTTTTCGGATGTGTGTTGTGTCGGAAACGTATATCTCTTATTATTTCTGTCGGATAGAAAATAGCTACCACGTTTGCAACGAAAACGGTTAGTAAAACGTTCTATAGCAATAACCTATCCCTTAAGGGTTAACGATATTTTGCTCAGCGATGAAATATCCTGTAGCCTTTTCATCTTCTCATATAAGTTACTATTGGCTGAGATCGAATGAAGCAACTTCACGGATGTTATGTAATAACCAATCATATTTCGATTAACCAATGGCACAGTGTCTCCTGTTTTAGCATAGAAAATCTGTGAGAGAACGGACCTACTTAATATTCTCTCGAAAACGCAAACAACCGTCTTGAAGTGACCTTGACGGGTCCAACAGATTATCGAGTCACGAACTAAACCGAGAACAATTTAAATGTTAAATATAAATTTCTTATATTTACGCGATTACACATTACCAAATGAAACTATGTTTACCGATTTATCGCGTTTATTTTTGGCTTTAACTCCGATTAAACGTTTCCGAACCCTTTACAGCGTTAATGGTCACGGGACAGGCCGTAAACATAGTTTCATTTAGTAATGTCAGATATAATTAAAAACATAGTTTCATTTAGTAATGTCAGATATAATTAATTATTGAGTGCGTAATAAGAACGCCAAATCTACATGCGAGCCATGATTTTACGTAGTGGTGCAGATAAGATATGACATAACATGTGGTGTTAAGAACTTGTTATTCCACTGTAACGTGTACCTAACAGGTGGGGTATGAATGCGTGTCCTTGGCGTGGCACCCAAGCGGTGGGGCGCTGGCGTCTGGCAGCACCGAGGGCCACTTGGTGGTGCTGAACGCAGATGCCGGGACGCATGTTGCCACGCTCAGGGTATGCGGGTCCCCGCTCAACTGCCTCCAGTACAATACGGGTGGGTGACTTGACCGAATTGCGCATCACACTGTAGAATAATTACTTCTCAAATCTTTCTTCTCTCCCCTTATCCCACCTTTGGGGCATCTGCACAACGTGTGAATTTGTTAATGGTATTGGCTAGGTTTTTACGACCTGGCGTCAAGGATGGTATTGGCTAGGTATGGCTATTTTACGACCTGACGTCAAGGGAATAAATGCCCAGATCCCGGCCCCCTGCTTGAAGTCAACCCTCCTTTTTATGTATGCATATTTTTGACTGATAGTGTGTAATCGTTTACCTCATTTAACTTTATTGTAATGTGTATATTACTGTTCGCTGGTTTGCATGCCGAATAAAATAAAAATATCCGGAACAATTACCCGTAGCTCGCAGAAATACTTGGTCCGTGCGGGACTCAAACCAACGGCCCCCGGTACCAGAGCCGTTAGCTTAGCCACTGCGTCACAGAGACATCTAAGAGAACTCAAATATTTGATTAAATTTTGCCATACTATATATAATCAGCGTTAATGAAAACACTAAATCTCTAGCATTAAAATACTTCCGGACAGTGCTAAATCTATCCAATATAGTTGATGACTCCGTGGCGCAGATGCCAATGTATTGGCTTCGGCGTCGGGGGACGTCGGGGGTCGTGGTTGGTCGTGTGTTCGATTCCCACACGGGACAACTATTTGTGCGACCCACAGATTAGTTGTTTCGCATCTGGGTGTTTGTCCTCGTGAAATTTATGTTTGTAAAACGTCCTTACAACACAGGATTGTGTTATTCTAAAGGTGAGGGCAATGATAAAAAAAAAATTGTTGTTGAATTTACCCATTGAGTTTAATCTAAAATGCAGAGAAATTAATTTCAAATAAAAAAGCAATAGCGACATCTCTCACTCGAATTATCGTTGTAAAACCATATTCGAAATTGTTCGTATCCTGTAAGGGATACAACAACGGATGCGCCAAGCATGAAAATGCGAAAAAACAATGTAGATAAAAAACAGTTTGAGATTTTCACAGTGTAGCAATCGGCCGTTTAGCTTAGTGATTAAAGCGTCAGGGCGCAAATCCCGAAGGCGTGGGCTCGCATCCCACACCGACGAAAAACTTTTCGTACGTCTTGACTTCTTGATTTTACGCGAATATTATACATATTAAATGGTACTAGTTTACGGATTTTATCGCGTTTTTATTTTGTTTTGCAATTCCCGACGTTTCGAACCCTTTCCTGCGTTCATCGTCACGTGACAAAGCTTTTCGTACGTTTTTCTACAAATTTTAATTTAAAATTATTAAAACTTTCGTGAGACATTATTAACGTAATAATAAGACGGCTGAACTCACGTAAACCCGGTGTATGTACCGACTAGTTTCGGAGTCATGGGAGCTCCTTCATCAGGGTGAGTGTGATTAGGTCGCGGTCACGTACCGGTCTGCCTTTAAATTTTAATTTGTCTAACGCGTTTACGATTTCAGCCGGCGACACCCTGGCCATTGGATCGCAGAATGGCAGCATTTATCTATTCCGTGTGTCGCGTGATGGGTTCGCTTACAAGAAACTAAACAAGATCCGCGGCGCACAACCGCTGGTCCAGCTCGATTGGAGCCTTGATGGCAATTACCTGCAGACGGTTACCGCCGATTATGATCTGTCGTTCTGTAAGTAAATAAATAGTTAACCGTCATCATCATCATTGTAAGGAAGTTTCGCAGTAAAATTCGGTGCACTGAGTGTGATAGTTCTTTATTTGCAACAAAGTACAAATACAATTTAAAACTCTGGATAATTACGTGGACACAGTGAACGTTAGCAGAGCGCGCGTACGGAAAAAGAAGAAACACGTATGACAGACAGTACCGGTATTTATTTCAAATTCAAAATGTAACGTTCGCGCGCCCGCTGGCAGTTGCCATATAAAGGGAATATAAACACAAAAATACAGATTACGTTATAATCAAAGAACATAAAAATAACAAACTTGATTAATATAAAATATAATAAATACTTAACTATATAAAATAAAATTGTAACGCGTCGAGTACAATCATCATCATTTGAATCCAACGAAACACGATCCTGAGCCATCATCCATTGAAAATGCTCACAAGTTAAATAGACATTAAAAGTTTTGTTACCATACTGTTAAGTCAAATATTATTTACTATATAACTACTTGCAACTGCACTCATATTTGGTTTGTTGTCTACAGGGGACATCAAAGCTTTATCGCCGGAGAAAAGTCCGATAGCGATGAAGGACGTGAAATGGTATACCTACAACTCCACCGTTGGTTTCCTCGTGTCAGGTATTTGGCCTCTCTTTTTATGATAATATTGCCTTTAGTATTACTGTATAAATTTGTAGGATAGAAATAGAACATTAATATTGTAAAACATATTGATCACGTTTCTCTAGGAATGTGGAATAACCGATTTTATCCGATGACGTCACTGATTACTACAGCGAGCCGATCTTCTGCACACGATCTGTTAATTAGCGGCGACTCCGATGGGCACTTGCGTATATTTAGGTAAAAATATATTTTTATTCATTTATAATCGATATTTTGTATAAATAATAGTGTTTTTGAATTGCGGAAACAATTTTTCATACATTTTTTTTCAAATGATTGATTTTCGATTACGAAATGAAAAGATAATAAAAATGATCTAACAAAGCTATTTGACATAAAAAGTAAAACTCATATTTTAAAAAAAAATTGCAAGTTTAGCCTTTGACTTTATTGGATTATTTTTGCCATCAGTACCATAAAGCACGAAGGTGATACTGTTGACTTCGATCAATGTACGTAAGGAAGTTTTTTTAGGCTCAACTCTTGTAGAATATGACATTTTTATAAACTAATTTATCCCTAAACCTTTTAGCATTAATATTGTTGAAACTTTTGTGAGATATTATTAAGAAACGGTCGAACCCACGTTCAATCGATGTATGCACAGACTAGTTTCGGAATTATTGACTGACAGTGCGAGACGGTTTCGACCGCGAACTCATGCTCCTCCCTGACGAAGGACCGCCGATAGGTACGAAACCAGTCAATACATACATCGATCGGACGTGAGTTCAGCCGTTTTATTATTTCTTTATTTACTTTACTTGACATTGTTGCCATATAAATGTGGTAGTATATGTACGTGGTAGGGCCACGCAGCAGCCCCGGCTGTTGCACGAATGGGCAGGCTCATCCGGGTAAGTACCACGACCTAACAGAAGACCGGCGTAAAGTGGAATTATGACAAATACTTCAAAATATCAGACCAATATTCAAAAGATTGTCAATTGATTGATCTGTAACCCTCGGGGGTAGCAGATGTCGATGGGCGGCGGTATTCCCTCTTAACAGCCAGGTCGCTTGGCAACTTTTCACATAAAAAAAATGAAACCCGATAAGGCCACCATTTCCCAACACAACAGATACCCTTGCGCGAGCCCGAAAGCGGAGTACAACGAGGTGAAGGTGTACACGGGCTCCGTGTACTGCGCGCGGTTCCTGTTCAACGACCGATGCCTCGTCAGCTCGGGCGGTGTCGACGCCGCCCTGATGCTGTGGGAACTCGTGGACGATTAGCATACGGCCGCGCGGGCGCTTCGGCCGCCCGCAGTGCTCGTAGCGCCCCCCACGCCCTCCCCGCAGCACGGCCCGAGGGCAACGACCTTCCGAGTCCTGGACCTAGACGGGCCCGACTGAGCGACCTACGAAGGACTGATCCTTTACGTCGTCCGAATCGGACTGGAGTTCTATTCGCTAACGCAACTTGCGACTCACTTAACACAAGGCTAAATTAACCCTTTAGAAATTTGAAACGGCGTACGACACGAAATGACCGTTTCGAACAGGGCTAATTGAACACATTTTAATAATTTTAAATGGCGTACAACATCTCGTATATTATAACACGAGTGCGAGTGAGATGATGTTCACGTTGCTCTTGAACGAGGTTTTATAATAGGCGCAGCTTCCTTGACGCTAGCTGATTCGCCGCGTTGTACGAGGTTATGAGGTTATAAATAAGCATTATCCTTTACGAGTGTTTTCCTAGTTTTGGGCTAGAGTCATGTGGGCCAATCGAGGGTTATTTTTTCGAAAAAGACCGCGAATATAGATGTGAATCGACCGCATTTAACACGAGAACGGCCGAATTAACAACAAGATAATGCAATTTATCTTTTCGAAATAATCGTGGAAAAAACTTGTTGCTCTATTAATAACTCAAGGAATTATTTCGATTTCTTTAGTAATAAAGTAAAATTGAACACGTGTAAGTTACTGGGATAAAAATATTTTACTTCAATACATTAATTACGACAGCATATGTAATTTTTAACTGCACGTTGGATATTTAGATTGCCGTCGTTTGTGACATAAGAGCTTTCATAGGATTTATTATAGTAGTGGAAAAAGAACTTCAATATCATTCTTTTATATTAATTTTAATTAATTATATAGAATAAAACGAAACCTTATACACTAAACAGAACAAAGAAATGAACTTTTATATTTTATGTCATTATGGTCTTTTTACAAGACCTTCCTTCAATATTAAGAGACAACTCACAGACCATGACAGACAATGACAGACCTGAAGCTCACAATAAAATCCGGTTTAGAGGTTTATGATCAAAACTATGGAAATCACAAGTTTCTGGTGCCTGGTATGCTGTGTAATCAATGAAGCACGAAATTATGTCATTATTACTTCGTTCCAAAAATAAATTGTTATTGTCACGTTCTACAGTCGACGACTGTGAAATTATGGAAAGTTTAATATAAGGACACATTTATACAGAACGTTCTCTAGTCCCAAATTGAGCAACGCTTGTACTATGGGTACTAGATAACAGATAAATATGCTTAAATATTTTACTTTAATACTTTAATAATTTTGTTTGGTAAATAAATACATATTATAAATACATATACACCCAGACACTGGAAAATTACTGTGTGCATCACACAATATTTTTCCAGTTGTTGGATTTTCCATACCCTCTGGCGCATAAGGCAGGTACGCTACATGCTGCGCTATTCGGGTCGTTTCAAAGTGCTGGCCAAAAGCTTAGATGCAAGTGCAACTAGGAACATCCATTGTAAAAGAGACTACCCTCTCGTTTGCTGACTGAATAAGTATTTATTTTTTAAATTAACAATTATGCCATTGGCTTTTGCATGGACGGTGAATTTTCTTAACTCATAAGTCACAGTAAAGGCATTCAGCTTGCTAGTTTCCATTGTGTTTCTTAACAAAACAATTCACATATTTTGCTTTAAAGGAGAAAGAAAAGTATCTGTGCATACTTGATGTGTTCCGATTGTACATATAGACAGTATGTAAATAATCGCAAATCATAACTTCAGCTATGTCTTCTGTGCAGTGCTAAAACTTTATTTACCTTCTTAATATAAAATATCTAAAAAGACTACCATAATCTCGCCCGGCTCTACTTTTCTTAGAGTTTGCTCATAAAAATCTAAATTGATACACGTGTATATCACGCGCGCATAGGATGTTCTGCGCATTTATGTCACTTAAGATTTTTTGTAATTGATGCTTACTTTAACGCAAAAATAAGACATTAACGTGGGATTTATTTGCTAAATACGAGTATTTGTTCAAAATGGGATCTGCCAAAGGCATTTTTGACAAGTGTCAAGTATGAGATTTTAAATTTGCTGTGTCGATATATTTTTAACGGTTTTAAGCTATCATTCGATCTTAGGATAACTTAATTAAACTAGCGAGAACATTACAATGTTAAGTCTGAAGTTACAACGAACTGGCTCGAACAGTGAATTATAAATTGGGCAGTCTAAAATTTTAAATATTTAAAAACAGAAAGATTCCTTCTTTGTAAGCAATACACTGTAATGGGCTAGTTCCCTTTTCTTTAAATTTAATACTACTTAGGTACAAAACGTAGTTTTGTATCTAAGTAGAATTAAATTAATAAAGTTTTCGTATGAAAAGTCCGCTATTACTTTCCATTTCTACATTAGCATTCGCTTTTACAGTCCCTTTATGATTTTTATTATTATTAGATTTTTTATTAAAAATAAATATTTATGAAAGAGGTCATTACAATGATCTTTTACGGTTCATTTTTCCCTTCATTTATCTTATCACGCGCGAGCGTGACAGATGTCAGAGTCAAAGACATTGGGTAGTAGGTACTAGGGTTGGGAAATAAAAATTTTGCGTTATGAATGTTTGCATTCTACATCATAATTTTTATTTTTGTATAAATAATACGGAATAATGTAGTAAAATTAACAAGAAGAATAAAGGGTGCCACTTTTTTATGTAAAACACATCATACCTAAATTCCGAGTCTCCAGTGCAACCTTGTAGATTTATAATAACTTGACACGTTCCAAATTTTTATTTACAAGGCGTTTATGTGTTAATTTTAATACATAATTTTTATAACTTTAATTTTAAAGGCCATTCTAGGTACTGAAACATAGTAATTGTAAGCAGGAACTAGCAGAGTATGACATGGTCTGGCTTCATTCAAATTTTCTATAAAAAATTAGAATTAATTCGTGTAGGAGCTCTTTGACATTTGTCGCACATATCAAGTTAATTTTAGAACTATAATGATAATAAAAATAACGGCTGATCGTGGAGGATCATAGACGTTGTTACAGTCAATAAAATCTATTTATAGCCTACAATAAACTAGTTTATAAAACCTGTTTACGTTGACGGTAGAAATTCGGAATTGTTTATATCAGAATAGAGAAAACAGTTGTCTTATTTTTTATACCTACCCTTTCTGCCACAAGAATATTTAGAGAGGTGGCAATTACCAAGCGTGTTAACAAATGATTGCTGCAATCACATCCCCCTGTTCTCATGAAAAAACTCGAAATACGTTCGCGGTGTTTTAGGCTGGCACTTTCTCGTTCACTACGATTGGAAATAAAAAATACTTACGTAATGATAAAGGAATAAATAATACTTACCATAACATTATAATTGTAATAACGAATGGCGTAATATTATTATTATAAAATAGATATTATCGAAATAAAATACCAATATTCACTGCCATTTAACTCTTGGTACTTTTGTAACTTAAAAATTATGTGTAGGATTATCTATTCCTATTTTTAACCTAAAATGTTAGTATTGTATGTTCCTTTATATCGAAAAAAACCGACAATGGAAAGAACGCATTTGAATTCGATAAATCACTGAATACTGGAAGTGTAATTTTCTTGTATCCTTATTTTAAGTTGGACTTATTCTAATCTTGTAATGAATTCGATATATAAATTACTTCAAAATTAAATAAAGAACATTTTCGAAGTAGATGGTAGGTAAATATTCAGTTTAAGTAATAAATCTAAATAATAGTATAATGATTACTACTTACATTATTTCAGTATAGAAATAAAAAGAATATTGCTGTTAATAAAAATGGTTTAATGTGGCAGGCCACTTAATGTACTTTGATATTTATATATTACAATTTTTCACAAATTGTTGATCACAACAAGACCATTTTTATGCAATTCCTTACACACAGTTACTATGTAATAAAAATTTGCATCCCCTAAAAATTGTCATTTGCTTAAAATTTATATAACTTATAAGTAATTATTACATATATAAGCTGTAACTCAATTCAAATAAAAAATCAAGTATATTATATTATTTACTAATATTCAGAATAGTATAATCTAATTTATAAATTAATTTTATGGATATGATTTAGTTCTGTATTTCTATTGACGTCAGCGATGTAAAATCCTTGCTAATAGTCTTCCTTGGCAAGAAAAGATCAAGTGACGCAAATGACTTGAGTATTTGAGAATGTATATGAGTCTAATTTTCCAAATATATGTTCTTTGCAAATAAATATGTAAACAAATACTTTTTCGCTTTATTTTTCCCTTTTGGCCGAACTATTTTTTATGTTTGTACGGTTGATGGGAATTTGATATTAAATCTATTGATAAAAAATGGAGTTTTTTCACAAGGATATCTTTATACAGCGTGTCGTTACCTTCGCGACAATAAATGAACACACGTCTAACGCTACTTGCCAAAACTTACTTGCGTTGCCAACGCTACTTGCGTTAAACAAAATCCATAATTAAAAAAAAATATTTTTCAAACAAAATAAGTAAAAAAGAAACAAAATTTGTTACATCCTATACAACTCGCGCCAAAGCGTCGCATTACAAGCCTCTCCTTCTAACAGTATGTTTTGTCTCTTTTAAATTCATTCAACCCATTCATATGCTTTGTGACCTTTACAAATAAACTTTACGTTACGCTTTTATAGGTAAGGATGTTCTAAAATTCTTTGTTATGGAAAATTTAATAACTCTGTAAATATTGATGTTTAAAGAATTTAAATGTTTAATAGAACTTTAAAAATTTATCCCCTATATGTGTGTTCATTTATTGTCGCGATGGTAACGACACGCTGTATATATAATTCTACTGTACGTGTATATGTCACTGAACTCCTAAACGGGTGGACCGATTTTAATGAAATTTTGTGTGTCTTCAAGTCCATTCGTTTAGATTCACAATTCGGGACATTTTTTTTTTTAATTTTATAAGTTCTCGGATTTCACACACACGACGTCGAGTCCGCTAGTTTAATATAAATTTTATAAGATCAACTAGGAATTACCGCTTTGTGCAAATTGCAAAAATCGCATGTTTTTTCGTGTATGTTAGAGCAGTTTCAAATCCCGCAACGCCAAAAATTTTTCTACAATTTATCTACAAAACGATCACTTTTAGATGACGGACTAATAACTTTTTTGCACTTTTTGCGGGAGGTGAGGCAAACATGAATAATACGGAAATTTGACAGACATGCACAAACATTTACTTCTTATTGCTATATAAATTAATAACCGTAAATAGTCTAAAACTGGACGGAGTGGATTTTAACGATTTCAATTAAACAAAAATTATATCTATTGCTTTTCTTGTACACTGCACTTTCGTAGCAGCTTTAAAAAAAACAATTTTAAGTGCCTAAGTGTCTCGTGCTTAGCAGTGAAGGAAGACATCTACAGGAAATCTGTATATTTTCGAAATAATAAAAAGAACTTTCGAAGACATGTGAAGTCTGCCAATCCATTGTGGGGTCGTGTGATCGACTATGCCCCAATACCTGCTATACAAGGGCCTGTGCCCAATATTGGGTTTTACTGTTACTTTACTTAGGAAAAAAAGCTTTTTTTATTAAGTAACAGCTGTTACTCTACTAAGGAATAAAATACGGTGGTCATTAGGGGCACCCAATTCGTTGTTGATTTCGCTAAGAAATCCGCTTTGCTCTACGAAATCTTGAGGGCAAACTTAAATTATACCACTAACGCGATATGAATTCTAAAGTAACCTTTAGGATGAAGCTATAAAGAAATAATTTGCTCTTCAATCAAACTCTTAAAGAGCCTAACTAAAATGTTATTATTTAGGACTAGCGACCCGCCCCGGCTTCGCACGGGTGCAATGTATTATACATATAAACCTTCATCTTGAATCACTCTATTTAGTAAAAAACAACCGCATCAAGATCCGTTGCGTAGTTTTAAAGATCTAAGCGTACATAAGGACAGAGAGATAGCGGGACGACTTTGTTTTATACTGTGTAGTGATGCACAGCAAAGAGACGTTTACATTTCAAGTGACATTTTACCACATTCACTCACTTGTTTTGCCTTCCCGGAACCCCTCCACTAACACTTAAACTTTATGGTATGGTATTAAAGTTCAAATTGACTTTTAAGTATTATTACGAATCTTTTGTAGGGGAATATAGAAAAGTTTGGTTTTTAGACTATTTCAGGCTATTTTTTAAATTTTTCTCTCCGTAAGAACGATCTTCCTACTTCAAGGAATATTATAAAAAAGGAATTAGGGAAATGGGTCCAGCCATTCACGCGTGATGGCGTGGCCAAGGGAAATAGGGATTTATTTTTATAGATATATAGATTATATTTTATTTTTAGTGCTAGTCTCTGCACTGTTTTGATATCTTTTTGATGAATAAAACTTTTTCGGCGGTGTAGAATTCGAACCCGCGTTCTCTGATTTCTTTAGGGCCAAATCAGAAGACGTAGGTTCGAATCCCGTAGCGCCTTTTACACTACATAGTAAATGCAACTATAATTAAAAATATCGCGTGACATTATGTACAAAGAAGTAAGTAAAAAATACATTCTATTGGAGAATATTAAGTAAATTTAATGAACACGGATCAAATGTCAAGGAATACATGAATTATGAAATTAAAAACAGGTTGTCGTTTGTAAAAAATATGATTTTTAATTTTGATATAGATTTGGCTAGCAATTCTTTATAAGTTACTATTTAAGTTAAAATTTTATCAACACTTCGTTCATATTCATATCACATGAAGATTGAAATAAAATCGGAAAAGTCAGCGAGTCCGGAACCTGGAACGCCGTGGTGTACCCGCGGTAGGACAACATGTGTAAAAAAAGTAAAGTAAAGTAACAGCCTATACATGTCCCACTGCTGGGCAAAGGCCTCCTCTATACAGAGGGTATCAGGGCATAGTCCATCCACCACGCGGCCCCACTGCGGATTGGCGGACTTCACATATTTTCGAAATATATATATATATTTTTATTATTATTTCGAAAATATGCAGGTTTCCTCACGATGTTTTCCTTTACCGCGGAGCACGTGATAAGTCAGCACTTAAAGTTAAAAACTTCATTGGTGCCGGCACCGGCGATCGAACTCAGGTTGCTCGAGTATATAGAATTAAAGGCGAGCGCCCGGACACTGAGCTATCACGGCTCTCAACATGTGTCCTGACTCCAATCTTTTTTTTTTTTGTTGACGTGGGGGAAATGCCTACGCATACCCGCCCTCGCGGGGGCAAGAGCGGGTTATGTCGAACTCGCACCGACTAAAACCCCCACGATGTTACACCTAGGCGCATATCGGCAGGGTCACGGGAACGCTTTCGCACACTTCCGCGACCCTGCCAGCGCTGGCCACCTTAGCAGCCCCCTCACGAGGAGTGACTCCCCTCTCCGCCAGGTATGGCGCGCTGGAACATTCAGCGCGCCTTCCTACTCGGCCCCATTTTCACGGCCAACGAACTCCCCCGAGTTCGCTGACCGGGGCCATGGGAGCCAGGAGAGCCAGTGCTAATAAGCAGCAAGCCTCCCAGCCCCCAGCGGCGGACCTGGTCTGTGGCTCAGCCGCTCACCACGTTTCGGCCGCGGAGGATAGGGAGAACGGCGCACCGCTATACCGACACTCCTCTCCCCCCGCGGCCCCACCACAGCTGCATCAGCGTTGCAGCCCCGCTGAGTCGCGGAGTATAGGGAGCACGACCAACGCAATACCGACACTCCTCTTCCCCCGCGACTCCTCCTCGGTAGCAGAAGACAGGGAAAGTGGCTCCACCACTACCACCCTCGACCTGTCCTCTGCACCCTCCAGCACGCATCCAGAGTAGGCTCATTGAGCCCACTCGGAGCGGCCCTCTCGGGCCGGCCTTACACCACAGGCCGGCCCAGTGTGGTTCCTCTTAGCTTCGCCGTGGGGGACCAAGGCACGGCTACTAAGCACCTCCGCCACGTCAAGGCGGGAACCCGGTCGGAGGGAGTCCTGACTCCAATCTACATCAACTAATATTCATGAAAAGGCGCAAAGATAAATGATAAAAATCAGTGCCTTCACCACAAGCTGTCCCGAAATGTATCACAGAACGTGAATGGCTCCCTATAATATACTATAAGAAATTAATACGGCAGGCAGCATTTATAACAAATAACCCGTATAATAATATGGTAATATTATATGGGTATAATATATATCACCATTAACTAGATTAGGGCGTGAAAATAACTCAATGTTAACATTAAACTGCGATAAGGTAAAGCGTCAGTTGCTTTCCGTCGTTTTCGTCAACGCCAAGTCCCTCAAAAGTAATAGTAGGGATTAAAACTTGTATAAAATTGATAGCCAATGCTCATCTAGGAGCAAATTTCCACTTGAGCAGTTGTTTGTAAAGTGGCTGGTAAATAAATATATAATCTCGGTGGTAGAGCCACGCAGCAGCCTCGGTTACTGCACGAACTACTTTCGCGTTTCATCTGGTGAGTGAGGTGGCCGGAGCCCAATTTTCAAAAGGTTGTCAACGCAACATGTCCATGGGCGGCGGCATTTTAGTCACTCAAAATTACAATCGGATATGAATACCCACGCTGTCGAACTGTTTCATACCTTTCCTTTTTTTTCGTAAAGGTATACCGGAAATGCATGCATGCATGCATTACGAAAGAAAAGTCGAGTGGAAGAAATGGAGCCTAGCCTAGTTTTCCAAATATGGAATGGAAAATGTGGAATTAAATTATGTAATTCCTGTGCATACTCTCGGAAATTTGAGATGAAAAAAAAAGACGCAACAGCAAACATTACATCGAAATTTTTAATAGTTTCTTTGCCTACACCCTATTTTATTTTTATCCTACTACAAAATAAATAGGCCTTCACGGGACGCACAGTTGATGCGAAACTTTTTTAGTGTCAAATAATGAAGTATTGTTTTTTTTTTATATGAAAAATTGTCAAGCGAGCAGACGGTTCACCTGCAGTTGTGCAATGACCGGTAATTCCATCGATATAATTGACCACGGGCAAAGCGCGGCGTCTTTCGTCATTCTAAGATCGGACCAATTGGCCACCCTTTAGACTTTAGTGTCTTAAGTAATTAGTATTAAAGTTAGTTAACGAACTTTTGTAATCCTTTATTATATTATTAATACTATATTTAAATTAAATGATTGTTTTAAGATCCTCCGCTGCGCATTCAAATTACATCACTCTTGTCCTCGACAAATTTAACTGGACCCTGAAGTCGTCGTGATGGATCGAAACGTGTCTTTGTCGGTGAAGAGAATGTAGCTTTCAGTGACGAGTCGTTGAGCAGTGTACATGCCGTGTCAAATCGGGCCATGTATACTCTGAATTTGGGTTGATGAGGATTCCTCTTCCTTTTCTTTTTAATGCGGAACTTCATCATTTTTTCACGAATACTCTTCCTCATTTGTTTCCACAAAATAAATTTTACAAAATCCTCCTCCTCTTCCTCTTTCTCTTAATAAGAGGATTTTTTAATGGAGTGACAAATAATCTGCCGGTTTATTATTATTAATTAAAACAGCTTCTTAAAATAGTTTTTTTTGTTTGCTGCATTTTGTGACTAGATAATATTTCATTTATAAGTTTTCTAATAGTTATTTTTAAGTTCAATGAAGCAATATAAATACCGCTCTCAACTCCCATTGCTCGAGGCAAACGTAGCAGGCACACTTCGGCAACCCCTTCCACGCTCTCCGTGGATTTGTGCAACATCAGGGGACTTCACTCCAACCTTAATGCCGTCCACTACCATCTAGAGACGGCAAAGCCGGCCTTGCTGTTCCTTACTGAGACTCAGATATCTTCTCCGGCTGATACTTCTTTCCTCTCCTACCCCGGGTACAAATTGCAACATGCCTTTGTTCCGCGGGCGGGGTTTTTTTTTTTTATTTATTTATTAACATAATAAATACAATTGGTTCAAAAAACATTAAGTTCGCCAAACTGAGAATACAGTTTATTGGCGAAACTGCACTCATGAAGGTTTACAATTGCATTTTAATACTTTTAATACTTTAAATTTAAAACGTTATAAATTTTAATACAAAACATATTAGTAAACATATAAAGTAATTAAAAACTAAAGGCTAAGTAGGTAAAGTACACTTATCACTAAATTAATAACAAAGCTATAAAAGAATATTTTAAATTAAATTACTAATGAATAAAGATTAATAAAAAAATAATTAAGATTAATAATTAATAATAAACTAAATATTACTACTACTAATACTACAGGTCGTCGATAGCATTCAGTAGCCAATATTTAAAAATTTGTTTTGTCCGACAGGCCTCTTGTGGCACGTTTTCATTAAATATTCTTGGCACTTAATACCTACGCGTCCTTTCACCAAAGTAGTTTTGCGCGCTTGGTTCCTCAAACAATTTACGAGTATTCTTTCTTAAATTGCCATAAATTGATTTCCTAACTAAAAATTTACTTTCGTATCCTTCAATTGCTAATAAATACTTTGTTTTTTCACGTACTGGTAGAATACTGCATTTCTTAAACAATAGATTGTAGTTACCCTTACTTTTCTCTTTAGCTTGCTTATTAACTAACAGTTTAATAAATCTTAGTTGAACATTATGTATCCTATCCATGTACGTTCGGAACGTACGTCCATAGGCTGAAAGGCCGTAATTAATTACAGAATCCACGAGAGCATAGTACAGAATGCGTAAAGTTCTTTTATCAACAACACTTTTAAGGTGTACAAACTTGCATAATAACGATCTTAATTTATTACATATTCGTTCTATATGGAAATTCCAACTAAACTTAGTATCTATGGTTAATCCTAGATATTTGTAATTATCAACAAGCTCAATCGATTTACAACCAATGCATTGTTTATTTCTATGCAAGCAATCATACGAATGGCCTATGATACTTATAGGTAAACATGGCTTATGCAGATATGGCGATTGAATGAGCATGCATTTCGTTTTCTCTATATTTAAAATTATTCCATTATCGTGGGACCATTTGATTACGTTATCAAAATCCGATTGTATTTTGTTCTCAATCACCTTTATATCCCTGTCAGCATACATCATGCATGTGTCGTCAGCACACATGTATGTTCTGCAGTTTTTTACAACGTTTACCATGCTATTTACATGCATGATATAGCCCACAGGACCAAATACAGAGCCAGTAGGAACTCCAGTACTAACTAATTTACCATGAAAAATGGTTTCTTTTATCTTTGTGCACAACATTCTGTTATGTAAATAATTACGAAACCATGAGCTGATTGGCCCGCGGATTCCGCACTCTTCCATAGCCACCAACAGCTGCTCATGGTCCAGCGTATCAAACGCTTTTTTAAAATCTATGAATAAAAGAAATACATACTGCTTACTACCTAAGCATTCGTTGATGTCGTCGGTGAAAATAGATAAGGCTGTCGATGTACTACGTAATTTTCTAAATCCGTGCTGCTTTTCTGTAATTATGCAGTTTTTTTTTCTAGATACTCACTAATTCTATTAACTATCACTTTCTCCACTATTTTATTAATAACAGACAATATTGCAATAGGTCTATAGTTTGAATAATTGCAATGGTCTCCTTGCTTATAAACAGGGCGGATAATAGACTTTTTTAAACTGTTTGGGTATAAGCCTGTTTTAAAACTAAGGTTTACAAATTTTGCTAATATTGGACTTATTTTTTCTTTAACTAAAATTAGATCTTGCCGCCTTATTCCATCTAAACCTGGTGATTTTTTACTATTTAGTTGACTAATTATTTTTTTTATTTCATTTTCGGTTACCTTTTTATAATAAAAAGTGGTATCACTCGATTTTACATAGGACGCGCGATTAAGAAACTTAATATTACATTGATGTTTTATTTTATCAATTTCTTTTGTAAATGTTTGTGTGAATTTTGAACATATGTCACTTAAACAATTGATTTTTCCTAGATACTTGATTACTACGTCATCTAAGCTATTTTTACTATTTCCTAGCCAGCAATTTATTGTTTCCCATAATTTCCTAAAGTCTCCTTGACAGCGTGACAGTTCCTGCCTTCTATAATTATTTTTAGGTTTGTTAATAATTTCATTTGTTTGATTTCTGTGTTTCGTATATTCTAATCTATAAGTAACATTTTGAGGACTAGTCTTCCACCTCCGGAATAAATAATCTCTTCTATCTATCAATATTTTAATCTATTTATGGCTGTATTACTCGTTTTTTTCTATTACAATTAAGGCTAACTTTAGCTTTATCGTAGATAGGTGCAAAAACATTACACAATTGTTCATAAATTATCAAAGGGCAGTCTATCTCTACGAGCTTACTCCAATCAACCTGCTCTAACTAACGAGTTATTACTTTATTATTCAAAGTGTACGTTTTATTTTTGCCACTAGTAAGACTTATTCTATTTACCCCTTTTGATTCTTTGGTTATACTTACACCTACCATATAGTGATCCGACAACTTGCACGTAAACATATGTGAAGCGAATCGGCGGCTGCGTGTACGTACCCACACATGATCAATGCACGACGTTACGAGGCTACCGGCTAATATTTCGCGAGGATAAATATATCTAATTCCCAACCTGGCCACGCTTTGTTACAAAAGGGACAATACACATAACCTTTTTCTTTATCAAGATTCAACGAAAGTTTAAAGTTTTCAGCACCGAAATGCGTTTCACAAATTAAACAGGTCCTGCATCCTTTGCAGCCACAAGGACGTGGTTTCATTTTGCCCGTACATAATTATTAACTGGATAAAATATATATTATCAAGCTTTTACAATTAAAATAAAACCTTCGTATTTTTTTAAGATAAGAACAAATAACTTTTATGGGAAAAGTTTTTATTTATTATTTTTTATTTAGAGTCGTGATAGCTCAGTGTCCGGGCGCTCGCCTTTAATTCATAATACTCGAGCAACCTGAGTTCGATCCCGGTGCCGGCACCAATGAAGTTTTTAACTTTAAGTGCTGTCTTATCACGTGCTCCGCGGTGAAGGAAAACATCGTGAGACCTGCATATTTTCGAAATAATAACAAAAAAACATATTTCGAAGATATGTGAAGTCCGCCAATCCGCAGTGGGGACGCGTGGTGGACTATGCCCTGATACCCTCTATATAGAGGAGGCTTTTGCCCAGCAGTGGGACATGTATAGGTGGTTACTTTAATTTTTCTGCTGACCTCTCATCCGGACGGCTACCTGGTTTCCGTCGATCCTCCGGACCACTGTCTAGTCAGGAGTACAGTGTCAGTTGCGCGCTCTACACGGCCTCGCTTTGCAGGCTGTCGCCGCGTATGGCACTACAGGTCAGCGGATTGGGACGGGATGCGGTCCTTCATTGCATCCTACCCATGGGGGCAGATTTGCTTCTCGTTGGATGATCCAGACGCTGTTGCTGACTCTGTCACCGATATGGTGCTTCAGGGCATGGAACTATTTATTCCATTTTCTGCAATACCCATTGGTGGCAAATCCCAACCTTGGTTTGGTCGTTCCTGCAAGACGGCATTACACCGAAAGTGGGAATGCTACCAAGCCTGGGCTGTAGCTTCGGCGTCTAGTGATGTAAATACCAGCGCATTAAAAAAGGAGTATAACTCTGCCTCTAGGTCCTTCAAAAGCGTTATTGCAAAGGCGAAGTCGGAGCACATTGGCAGAATTGGCGAGAGATTGGCGCGTCTCCCATCGGGAACACGTGCATTCTGGTCTCTCGCCAAAGCTGTATTAGGGAATTTCTGTAAGCCATCTTTTCCACCTCTCCTCCATACGGAGGATGGTTCGTTAGCCCATGCCGCGAAGGAGAAAGCCGATCTTCTGGGCTCTCTCTTTGCGTCCAACTCGACTTTGGATGACCGAGGAAACTCACCACCATCTATCCCCCAGTGCGACGTTACGATGCCGGAGGTAAAATTTAGGCAAAGTGCAGTTCGCAAATCACTTCTTTCCTTCGACATTCACAAGTCGAGTGGGCCCGATGGCATCCCTCCGGTCGTGTTGCAGACATGTGCTCCAGAGTTGGCACCGGTTTTAACGCGTCTTTTCCGGCACTCCTATACTTTAAGCGTAGTCCCGAAATCATGGAAGGCCGCTTTGGTGCACCCGATCCCTAAAAAAGGCAACCGCTCGGATCCGTCCAATTACAGGCCTATAGCAATCACCTCCTTGTTCTCCAAGATAATGGAGTCTTTTTAGTGGTGCTGGGTTGGTTTACGATGAGCTACGAAACCGATTATCTGGAGAAACAGTATGTAAATTATTATCTATTTAATTAAATTTACTAGAAATTAATTTTCAATATTAATATTTAATTATTTTTAGCACTAATTTAAATAAAAAAAAATTAAAGTAACAACCTATACATGTCCCACTGCTGGGCAAAAGCCTCCTCTATATAGAGGGTATCAGGGCATAGTCCACCACGCGGCCCCACTGCGGATTGGTGGACTTCACATATCTTCGAAATATGTTTTTTTTGTTATTATTTCGAAAATATGCAGGTCTCACGATGTTTTCCTTCACCGCGGAGCACGTGATAAGACAGCACTTAAAGTTAAAAACTTCATTGGTGCCGGCACCGGGATCGAACTCAGGTTGCTCGAGTATTATGAATTAAAAGCGAGCGCCCGGACACTGAGCTATCACGACTCTAAATAAAAAATAATAAATAAAAACTTTTCCCATAAAAGTTATTTGTTCTTATCTTAAAAAAATACGAAGGTTTTATTTTAATTGTAAAAGCTTGATAATATATATTTTGCCCAAAAAGAATAGTTTTATTATGTTGTTACTTATTTCTCCTCCTCTTCTAATCCTCTTCCTCTTCCTCATAGCAGATCCTCATCCTCATCAGCATCCTCAATTTTTTTTTCTAAAAAAATCCTCTTCCTTATAACTACATCCTCATCGACCCTACTCTGAATGGTCTATTAAAATTCCTAAGTTAGTGCAACAAGAGAATAAACTAACAAAGTTCGCGTGAAATAAAAGTTACCTATAGCAGAAATCCAAATGCCGAAAAAGTAGTCTGGAAACACTGAACGCATTAACTGTCAAGCTAAAGCTATTGACATTTTAGAAGACTAACACTTGACAGATTAGTGACTATAAAATCAGATATATAAAAGTACTCTATGTATAAAATAACCGTAGCTTAAAGGATGGAGACAGTTTGGGCAGTGAACTAAATAATTATTTACGGGCAAAATGAAACCACGTCCATGTGGCTGCAAAGGATGCAGGACCTGTTTAATTTGTGAAACGCATTACGGTGCTGAAAACTTTAAACTTTCGTTGAATCTTGATAAAGAAAAAGGTTATGTGTATTGTCCCTTTTGTAACAAAGCGTGGCCAGGTTGGGAATTAGATATATATAAACAGCATCCCAATCACGTCGGAGAGGCTATTAATTATCCAGGTATACTAATTAAATTAGACTTCATAACAGAAATCGAAGAAGATGAACTAATTAAATGTATTGACGAAGTTCCATGGGATATTTCACAGAGTGGCCGGCGTAAACAGAATTATGGTCCAAAAACTAATTTTAAAAAGAAGAAAATTGATCCCGGCAAATTTGTCGGATTTCCTCTATTTTCTAAATATTTACAAGACAGATTTCATTCAATAGGCTTGTTACAGGGGTATCAAGTCATTGAACAATGCTCGCTAGAATATGATCCCAGTAAAGGTGCCTCTATAGATCCTCACATTGATGATTGTTGGGTATGGGGTGAGAGGATAGTAACTGTGAACTGCTTATCTGATTCAGTTCTGACAATGAAAATTTTTAAAGGTGATACCAAAAAATATAACTTGAGTTATGCAGAAAAATACTATCCAGTTGTTTTGCCTGATGGAAGTATTGATTTGGAGTTTAAAAATAAAGGAAAAACAATGCTGGAAGCGAGTAAACCTACTGAAGAAATAGATGTTATAATCAGAGTCCCATTAATAAGGTGAGTGAACATTAAGTCTACTATTTTATATTATGGATTTATAAATTTATAATTATCCTTAACCAAACAATACATTACAAATTAAATAACAAACCAAAATAAGTTTGAAATTTGTTGTTGCACAATATTTTTTAAATAATCTCTTATGACTCAGTGAAGAAGGTCAATTGAATTTCACAATATTTAACAGCGTAGTTGAAATCTTTAGTTAAGTGAAATTGTTATCAAAATTGTAGCTATTAAATATATAATTTATCTCATTGTACATTTAACGATTGAGAACTTCTGTTCACAAACTTAATAGTAAAAATATAATTCTCATCAGTTCCTTTGTGTGGCTTGATAATAAAACCATTTAAGAAGGCACAGTGCAATTGTTTAGATATTCTGATTGCCAAATGCTTTTGTTTTCTGTGTTAGTGTATAGGCCAAGTTTAATGCTTACACATAACAAATATCCATGTGAGACGCAAATAATTAGTTCTTAAGTTCTAAATTTGCTTTGTGCAATAATTTATGATTGTGAAATCACCCTTATTATTCTGCAACACTTAATTATACACTGTAAATAAAATTTAGGATGGCAACCACTTTCTTTTTTCAAATACAATTCTTTAATTGATTGAAAACTTCTATTTTTATTGGTCTTTCTATCGGTATATAATCTTCTTATCTTACAAAATCACACATTTATTTAATCATAATTGATCTTTCATGTATAGTCAATATTTATATTATAGTAGAAAATTAATCCTGAAATGATTCAACAATCCCCTGCTATTCCCTTTATTTGTATTTAAGCTTGAAGTTGTTTCTGCCAACAATCACATTAATGAATTTTTACTTATATGTATGATAATGTGTATACTTTTCTATATAAATGTTATAAACTTTATATATATTTACTTTATACAATCACTATATTTTTGTTTTCAGGAGGTCAGTATTAGTTCTGTATGGGGAAGCAAGGTATCATTGGGAGCACTTTGTTTTACGTGAAGATATCATTTCTAGGAGGGTTTGCATTGCCTACAGGGAATTCACACCGCCATACCTAGCCAATGGTGTTCACTCTGAGACAGGAAATGAGATAACAAGAAGAGCAAAACACTTTTGGGATCATACAAAAAAGAAACAAGAAAACAACATTAAAGAATTACAACAGAGGTGTGATGAATTACTATTGTAAATTTCCTTTATTAAAATAACCACCCAAAGATTTAAATAACATTAGTTGATCATATGTGATATTTAAAATATAAATAATATTCCATTTATTTTGTTTTATTACATACATTAATACTTCTGAAAGGATACAAACAAATTTAGTAATAATCTATGATAAGGGCACAAAATTATAGGAGCTATTATGCATTTATTTATTGTTAACATTTAATAATTTATATTTAAATGAAATATGTATAAAAGAGCAAATTTAAGGTCTATGGTGTATAATACAATATGGTTTTTTATAAAAAATAAATACCAATTTACCTTGGGCATTCCAAAAACAACACTAAAAATTACATAATTATGTTAAGTGGTTTGAAACTACTTAAACATACTACTAAATTGTGTACCTTTATTTCTAATGTATTTTGTAATACACTAAACTATGATTAAACTAACAAATTGCAATATGCATTTAAATGTGATGACTATAAGAAATAATTTGAGAATTATATGCTTTGAATCAATCTATACTTTATGTAAATGTTAATATGCTCCAAAGTCAAAAAGATAAATTGATTAATGGATTAAGCAATTTAAATCCTATGCTGTGCTTGAGTCCGGATGGTCGATGTATACACTGTCTTCTTTCTTTTCGGTAGCTTGCCTTGCAAGGATCATCTGCTCCTTGACCTTCCATGTATTGAAAGCTCTTTCACTTTTCAATTTTCGTATGCAACGCGCCAAAAGTAAAGCGAATATGATTCCAAGCAACTGAAAATTTATACAATGTTAATGTAATATCGGTCATTATGGTATGAAATAACTTAGGATACCAAATTCATATACTGGTACAGGGTTGCAGCAGGTTTTCACAGATGGGCCGGATTTTCCAGGGACGTCTCATGGCTATCAGAACACCAGTATAAAGTAGAATCTATATACCTTTACGTATCGTCTACTAGAGAATGATCTCACAGACGGGAGACTTTAAAGGTTGGTGATTTTAACCCACTAGTGTTATTGATTTGCATGAGCAGCCGTAATAATTTACAAACCTTACGCCCGTTTTCTGAAACACTGATCATCGTAGATGTTAACTAATCAGCTGTCAAATGGCTTTTCAAATGTTATTTTGAGTTGACAAAAGGATGACCAGATTGCCAAAAACTTTGAATTCTTCATTCTGATCATTAAGAAGATAATTCTGGTCAATTCAGAGAGTTTTACTATCCTTTTGGTAACTAAAATGAAATTTGAAAAGCTATTTGACAGCTGATTAGTTGACATCTACGATCATCAGTGTTTCAGAAACCAAGCGTTAGTTACAAACTCATAGATCCGGAACAATTATGTGTGCTGTGTGGGAAAGGAACCGACTACTCCCAGTGCTGATACCAAGCCAATAGCTTATCAACTTTATGCAGAAATAGCCGGTGCCCGCGACTTCGTTTGCGCAGAATTAGTAATTTGAGCACATTTTTTTCTCCAAGTTTCTATGACCTACCCTTATACCAAGATTCATCACGATGGGTTCTGCGGTTTAGTCGTGAAGACGCAACAGAAACTTATTTTGAGAGACCCTTGTATCTTTATAAATTATAGCCTATGCGTTATTCTGATGTTTAAGCTGTATTATTAAAAAGTTTTATTAAAAACCATTCAGTACTTTTGCGTGAAAGAATAACAAACATCCATACATAAAAACTTTCGCATTTATAATACAAATTTATCACATATATACGTCCACATCTACCCCTATCCTATATGAATCATAAGGTGGGATTGTTACCTATGCATTACCATTGAACACTACCCATTTACTTATAATCTTTGGTAGGGCTACGCAACAATGTTCACCTTTGCACAAATGGGCAGGTCCGTCCGGGGAAGTACCACGACCTCACAGAAGACTAGCGTGAATAGAAAGTTTATGTTAAAAGTTCTTAGGTGCCTTAACCTTATCGCAGTATACAGTGATAGATAAGTTTTGAAACTTTGATAAACCTCCTTTCTGGCTAATTCTTGGCGGTTCAGTCTAATTCACAGAGTACTTTTATAGCCTTGGTCTATTTGTAATAATCCCACGAAGGCAATTAGTTCTGTACCGTGCACATAGGAAAAAAATATTTAAAGCTGCGCATCGTTGTCAGCGCTATAGGTAAATCTTCATTACTGTATTAAACAACAAAATTATCAATTAAAATTATATAAAAAAAAATTGTAATTAAATAATAATAAATTATAAGAGTATTTACGTTATATCAAAAAAATCAAATATCTGAATCGTAAAAGGCACAAATATACTGTATCATACAATAAAAGCCTAGCAAATAATAGTCAGTAAAAATAATGATATAACTATGGTATAAGTTGAAAACTATTAATATACGTCAGGATACAACGCCGACTACGGAGCAGTTTTAGGAGTAGTTTTCCACCAGCTTGCGTCGATATGGCTATGTAAGGTCTCTGAACGACTAACGCAAATACCTGTATAAACATGACGGAAACGCCAAGAACGCCTATAACGCTGGAATTCTGCACCAGAAGATCGAGCAAAGCCGCCTTGCAGTAAGTTATCCTCATCCGTGTGCAGTACCCATCGTAACTGCTGACACAGCAGGAATCTGGCAGGATCACGGTTATCTTATCGCCGTCGATCACGTTTGAAACGACCACCGTGGAATGGTTACTCGTAAAATCCATTCCGACGTAATCCAAGTAAGAGTCACTGCCACAGCAATTTAGCTACAACGTGATAAATTTATTGAAACTACATGCACGAAATAATGGAACATTCATTAGAAAATAGTAACAAAATATGCAATGATTAATTGTCGGATAAAACTGATTTATTTCCACTCATTATCATCGAAAAAGCGATCGAGAATCCATATGTAGTGGAGGCATTCACATCGTGACTGTTTAATTTAAACGAAGCGCCTTACAAAAGAAATATCTAAAACAAAAGTGAATACGCTAAATAATTATTTAGCGTAGTCACTTAGAATAGTTTACAATTTATATTCAAGCACTTCCAATGTCTTGCAAAGCTACATAGTTAAAAGCACTCATGAGCACATACGCGGCCCTACCCACAGCGGAGGGCCCAAACCCATGGGTTCTGGCTAGCCCACCGGTTCTCCGTCAGTCAGTTATTATTATTATTTATTAATTGGAGAAGATGTTTAATAGTTTTTTTAGTTGAACAGAGGGCAAATATGACGCATTAAAAACATTTTTTACGCGCACGCAGAATAACTCCACAATAAAAGCGGAAACTAAACTTTTCTAAACGTGAAAATTTGTTTTTTATAGCTATTTTAATATAAATATGTACCAAAATAAAAAAAATTATTTGTAACATTACACAGCTTTTTACTTACCGAAACTTGTAAACGATCAATTTCATCCTGTATTTCGGGATCATAGACGTAATCACGAATGGGTATGTCTAGGAAGTTCATAATTGTGCCATGATCCATAGTGAAAGCAAGTATTACCACGACCATTTCGATAATGAGTATCAAAGTCAACAAGAAGCCGTACTGAAAATAAAAATTCCACATTAGCTTGCATCGGCACATTTTGAGAACATTTGGTTATTGTTTAGGCATCTAGGTCTAGGTTTACATGTTCATATCCCGACAGAGGAATATAATCTGGGAGCCAATATCGCGAAACAAAACAGGGAACTTCATCATATTTTTATTTATTTTTTAATGATTGCTTTAAATACGTGTAATAGTACTGAATTTGGAACTGCTTCCAGGGGTTGATTAGTAAATAGTAAATTTATTAGCATATATTATGCCTTCGTTATGACAAGTCACGATTTATCTGAGATATATAAATATTCATATTTGCACAAATATACGTATCAATGACCTAAAGCGTCAATGTGTTATTGTAATGAAAGACCTTTACATGACCTTTAACGTAAGCAGTCTTTCAACTTGTACATTTCAGATAACATGAGAGAAAAAATGACATTTATATATAACTTTTAATGAGTCACGACCAGTTCGTGACACTACTGATTTGATCTAATTATTGTATAATAACTATGTTATTATAAAATGTAAAGTAATATAAATAAAAAGTTCAACGAACTAAAATAGCAATTGCTTTAATGAGACGTTTTAGTGTAAACATTTAATTAATACTTTGTTTATTTAATAATATTCGTATTCAATTAAAACAATAAGGGTGATTAAGTAAAGTAAGATAATTCGCACCATTATTAAATGATACATGTCTTACCAAATTCACCATACACGTGCTCTGCTTCAAGCTGCCGAAGAAACCGAATAACGTGACCACAAACAGCACCAAGCCCAGAAGCGCACTCAGGATCGAGGGAGTGAAGAATCTGCCACTCTTAGCACTTTCGTAGAAGAACGAAAAGCTATGGTAATGCGAGTAGACCGATATCCCCAGAATAATCATGAGACCTGAAATTAACTGTAAGAAAAATTTACGCTTTGAATAAAAAAAGGTCCACCTTTTATGAAGTTAGGAAACTTATTTCACGTATCATAAAGACTCAACGAACACTACAGGTAACATAAAGTTGATATAATTTGAAGTCATTTGTAGTTTATGCATAATCTAAACTGGCTTTTGAGACCAATTTTCTTAACCTTGATCACTTGTGATATTAGCTGTTGAGAACGAAAATAAAAAATGCAAACTATCACGTGTTTATCGCTAGAAGGGTAGACTGTATTTATTTTTAATTAGTGGAAAACACTATATAGGTACTATCTTCCACTAACCAAATCTGCCAATAATGAGACAATGACAAAAATATGAGAACGTTATTGGCAAACCGAAAACGCAAAAATATTTACGCAGCCCACTGAGGTTTGAACACTCACATTCATATGAAACAGAAATATATACTACTAAAGACATCACTGTCGCCAGACACACTTAATGAACACTTTGATTAGATGATTAAATTTAACACCATTCATTGAGGTCAATTTGGGGTTGAAACTTATCTGTTAGTACAATTACAAGATTGTACATACGGAAAAAACCATATGCTATAGTTCTCCTTTAAAACACGAGGAAAACATAAAAACGAGGATGGTGAATCAAATGATATTTAACAGTTTCAATCTTTATTTCAACTGTCTAATATCACAGGAAAATGAGAAACCAGAATGTACTTTGGTTATTGACTTTAAAAGACATATAAAATAGTACTTTAATACGGGAACGACGTGTTTGATTTAAGAAATATGAAAAACTTAACTGACACTTTTTTTTCTATTAAATTAATTTATTTTTCTATGCATCATATACAGCGTGTCGTTACCATCGCGACAATAAATGAACACACGTCTAACGCTACTTGCCAATAATCATAAAAAAATATTAACGTTAAACAAAATCCATAAATAAAAAAAAATATTTTTCAAACAAAGTAATTAAGTAAAAAAGAAACAAAATTTGTAACATCCTATACAACTCGCGTCACAGCGTCGTATTACAAGCCTCTCCTTCTAACAGTATGTTTTGTCTCTTTTCAATTCATTCAACCCATTCATATCCTTTGTGACCTTTACAAATGAACTTTACGTTACGCTTTTATAGGTAAGGTTGTTCTAAAATTCTTTGTTTTGAAAAATTTAGTAAACTCTGTAAATATTGATGTTTAAAGAATTTAAATGTATAATACAACTTTAAAAAGTTATTTCCTATATGCGTGTTCATTTATTGTCGCGATGGTAACGACACGCTGTATATTATTCTTGTATATTATCTTAATATAAAGGACACTTTCACATTATCAGTAATATATTACGTGTTCCTATAAAACTCTACACGTAAATAACAGCAATAAAATAACATTTAATGTTGAACTGTATTTAATCTGAAGTTATGTAATGACATTGGAAAATTTTACTAAACAACGTTAATATTCATCTTTTGTTAATAAAATTCTTTTGTTAAACAAGAATACCTTAAACATGTTCAAAGACGAGAGATCGTGCAACGTCCTTTTTATTGTCACCCATCGTTCCGTTGCGCGCTTAGAATTGGCTTCAAATCTCGGATAATGTGCAAGAACTTCCCATACGATTACAATCATCATCATCATCATCATTTCAGCCTGTTTGAGTCCACTGCTGAACATAGGCCTCCCCCACAGACTGCCATAAAACACGATCCTGAGCCACCTGCATCCATCGACTTCCCGCACATTTCGATTACAATACGAGGAATAAATAAATAAATAATAAGAAGTAATAGCCTCGGTACCAGGACATAATCGCAAGAGCATTTGCCATTGGGGAAAATTTAATAAAACAATTGTTAGCGTGCACCCAAAAATAGTAATTTATCCGCCTATATTATCTAAATATTGGGTTAGAAATATTTAAAAAACCCAAACATTCAATACAAGCAGTGCAGCAACCCAAATATACAAGCAGTGAATTATAGCATATTTAAAAGAGATAAGGGATATCGTATTAACTATCGATATATATCGTTTGACCTACCTGGTACACCATAGCTAAAATAAAGAACAATTAGTATCGATTTTGCTGCCAAGCTTATCATTGAATCACCCGTTTCATGGCTACTTGCTACTTACGACTTCATGTTAAAACCATTATTCTTACGCAATCTCTGAATAATTATTAGAATTTTATGCCTAGATGTTAGAATTTAAGAAAGGCTTTATAATTAGTTAACAAACGTGACACAACGTCTATACGTGTATACATATATACTCAAGGAATATCATAGCAATTTCAGATTATAACAAACCAAACTACTCACTATGAACATTGTTGTGATTGTTAGCAATAGAAATCTGATGGATTTCATGTTGTACTCCGTTTCTGTCTTGTTGAATTTCATTTTCGAATCGTTCTCGACGCTCACCGTCATTTTTTTCGTCTCACTTATTGTCCTCGTATTGTTTTTCTGCCCCGCGTACCTACAGTCGGTTTATCTCGGCCGATAGTTGCGATGCGCGGGCGATAACGGCTTTCGTGCGTAGTTGTTATACACGTTTTCCAGCTGTGTAAAAGTCACAGGCGCCGGCACACACAACGATTCGAAAGCGACTAGCACCTTGTGATCACGGTCTCGCCTGCCATGCCGTGCCGCCTGCAACGACACACGCTCGATGATAATTAATCTTTAAAGCGAACGAGACACCTTCGTAGAGCGTCATACTTAGCGTTACTTTTCACACTGTCAAGCAATAAGCCTCGAATATAATTGGAGACTACCATTGACCTTCCAATTATTATGTTGCTCGTTATTTATAATGATCATTCTTGAATCATCGCATTAATTGACACAGTTTAACAGCGTACAATAATTAAAACCATTTCGAGGATTATATATGAACATTTACTTTTAATTTATAACGTTTGTGTAATTAAAATCATCTATTTATCCGTTTACTATACTATAACCATAAGTAAGTTGTAACCCATAATTTTCTTATTCTAGAATCGGTCTATGATTTTTACAACTCATTTTCGATTGATTATCTTAATTAAAGTGGATATCGGCATTTTGTGACATGTGCTTACACCATACTACTTTTTGCCGATGACGTACAGGGCTGATCCACGGAAAAATAGGTGTTATGTTGTTACATTTTGATCAAATTAATTAATAACCATTTTTAGATTCTTATCGGTTCTTATGTTTTTCCTGACCGCGACGCCGAAGCAAATTCTAGTTGTGAAAACATAAAGAGGATAAAAGGAGAAATAATTTCTGCATATAAATCAATAGATTACCGGGTAGGAAATCCAATAAAATTTAAAATTTAAAAACATTAAAATTTTTAGAAAATATATGAAAACTTTTAGTTAATTTTTAACTACAGAGCCATAGCAGTTAAAACGTCTGGGCGGGATACCGGAAAACGCGAGTTCAATTCCCGTGGCGGCGATTAAATACTCATCCATTTTTCTGCAAATTTTAATGTTTCATCATTCCATCACGAATTTAGAGATAAACACTATAAAAACTGAATATAAAAATTTTGATTTCGTCTAGATTAATAATGGCCGCTATACCTTGCCATTCGTCACATTACCGTCATTAATTTACATTTGTGTAATTATTGTAACGAAATAATGTACTTCTTAAATTAACCAAAGAAAAACATCAATAACTTAACAGATACATAAAAGTCCAATTAGTCTTAATCTTTTTAAAGCAACGTCTGACGTGACGCCGCCTTTACACACGGTGGATTAACTGCGATCACGTTGAACGTTCTGTTATTCTAGAACTTTACATTGATATCGCTTATCGGTATCACTGTATTACGGTTGACGCTAAAATCTCGTTCAAACAATGACATGAATGATGGCGTTTCATTATAACTGTTTCCAGTCATTGTTTTATTTCAACCCAGCATTACCATGCGTTGCTCAGCCACGAAATTAAATATGTGTTATAAATATATAAATAAATATACCAGGCCATAATTTTACCCAACGCTTTGGGTACTTATAAACCTAATTAAATATACTTTTCTTTAGTAAATACACGCCACAAACAGCAGAACATAAATAAGTATGTTCATCACACAATATTTACCCAGTCGTGGGGATCGAATCTGCTGTCTACAGTCGTCTTAAATTTTATAAGTATATTCATAGCTATTAAAAATTCACGGTTACAAATTTTCAGGAGAATATGTAACAGGTTTCGAATCATATATATTTTCGTCTCCAAGAGTCTCCTGTAGTTATAAAGCAATCTCATGTATATTGCTTTATACTATGTATTTATTACGCAAAAATGTTTTATAATCCAGTCCGATCTTACTATATCTATAACATTGAATTTTCTAAAAGGTAACATAACGATCATTGTATGTTAGGCGATACGAAGTTCGCCGGGTCAGCTAATATTATACATAAAAATAAATTGCTATTAGTAATTGTCAAACAACAGGGCCAACCTTGGGTCCCGCCAAACAACATATTAGACGCACCTAGCGTTGACATTATCAACGGGATCTTTTCGCAAAAGACACCCAAGCTAATTCCACGCCAAACTTGTCTAAAAAGAGGACGAAAGTATTCTGGGCCCAACATGGCTCCGCCAAACAACATAATACACACACATAGCGTTAACAATTACATGTAATCAACATATCGCGTACATAAGGTAACACTCATGTCATGGTCCCATTCTGGACCTTGACGGCTCGCATGCGTGACTCTACTTAGGCAGTCTTTTAAGATCTGTGCCTGATAAAGCTTTATATAGTCTTTTTAGGGTTCCGTACCCAAAGGGTAAAACGAAACCACTTACTAAGACTCCGCTGTCTGTCCGTCTGTCACCAGGCTGTATCTCACAGTCCGTGATAGTTAGACAGTAGATTTTTTTACAGATTATGTATTTCTGTTGCCGTTATATAATAACAAATACTAAAACAGAATAAAAATATGTAGGGGGCTCCCATACAACAGTCAAGATTTTTTTGCCGTTTTTATAGATGGTACGGAACCCTTCGTGCGAGTCCGACTCGCACTTGGACGATTTTTTAAAATGCAAACTTGACAAGCGAGCAGGCGGCTCACCTGATGCTAACCGCCGTCGAAGTAGCCAACGTTTAAAAAGTGGGCGACGTCACTCTAGAGTAAACGAAACGCAAAAGTATAATATTTTAGTTCACGTTGGTCTTCTGTGAGGTTGTGGTACTTCCCCGGACGTGCCTACCCAGTCTGTCAATCAGCAGAAGTTGTTGCCTCGTTCTACCACAGTAAAACACTTATCTCACGAAATGGCCCGACATTGTGAACGTCATCTCTCACAAGCAGTAAATGGCACTATATCTAGCTGCAAACACGACAGAGACAGAACATTTTTGTTATTTTACTATTGTATGCTTATTTGTATTTATTTTCTTAGTCACATTTAAAGTTATGCATAGATTAAAGTATAATTCCCTTAGGTCGGATATCATTTGCTTATGTGTGCTCACCGTGATGGGCTTGATTAAAATTACAGAATTAAATAAAACTTTCAAAAAGTTGTAAAAATAAATTTGTTGGTGGTCAAATATAAAGTTTATTTTAATAAAAATTCAATTCAAACATTGTGTATCGTAGAATATTTTATATTATAATTATTCAAATGGCGTTAATACAGTCTATATAAAATGTAAATATTACTTAGATGCTAAAATAAAATAGTAGTAAGATGAACCAAAGTAAAAGTTCTCTTTCGGTGACGTTGAAAGAGAGTTAATAAAGTTATTATATAAACATAATTATAATTTGCATATTTTCAACCAGTAAATGCAAAACGACCAGATTTTTTTTGACTAATTGTATGTGTCAATTTATATAACTTTTTCAATGCCCTTTACCCAAATATAAAAAAATGATGTCATATTTCTGTTCTTTTCTCATTTAAATTATCCGTCAGTACAAATTTTCACATACTCATAAGCTGGATTTTGACAAGTGTTGGTCGTTATTATTAATCTGTGACGAAGTTATTTTAATACGTTATTGAACTTTCGTCAATCTATTTACTGGTTAGGCTGTGGTCTGCCCGTGGAACGGGACGTAAACGACCGGTGCCGACTTCTCATTGTTGGGGTTGAGAGAGGTGTACGCGTTGATCATGCGCTCTTGGATCTCCCATCGTCTACGCTCGCGCTCACTCTTCGCCTTACGAATGGAGTTGGCAAGCGAGAACGAGAAAATGATACCGATGATCTGTGAATAAGAACACTTGATTAATAAACCAACTATCCTTAGCTAGACTAAGACCCCTTTGCTATGCGAGGGGTTAAATTTCTTCAATTATTTTACACAAAGGTTAATATCAGCGCCGATTGCATGTTTGTACTGAATTTAAAAATTTGAATTCAAGTTGGTTACCTTAATAACAAAGTTAAACTGGCGGCGAAATTAGCAAAACATCAAACTCCTGAGAGGCATATTTAGTCTACCACTTTCGCTAAAAGTGTGATATCTCGTATGATAGCTTTCAATTGCATTCGTATTTACTTTAAAAAAATGTACATAATATACCTGAATAAAGGCTATGGTCATAGCTCCAGCACCCAACAAGCCAGCGCTTTGGTACACCAGGTAGATGACCCTGGGCAGGCATCCATTAGCGTAAAGCTTGGTGCACTCCGCCACCTCCAAATCCTCGACGACCGTGTACCGAGACTGCGCACAGCAGGAGTTGGGCACCGTGATATTGGCAACAGACAGTCCGGGAACGCCCGCCGGAGTTTGGACCTCGCCCCAGTCGAGGTAGCTGTCCACACCACAGCAGTTCAACTGCAATGTAATCGAGTACATGAACAACAACTTATGGACATCTATACCACCTGATGGGTTGCAGAGTTGTTGCCAACCATTCAAAAATTAGGCCCCGGTTACTTCACTCACCGGACGAGAAGCGAAAGTATATACATCCACTACACGGTGATGTTCTGTGAGACCGTGATATTTCCCCGGATGAGCCTACCCACTACTACAACAGCAGAAGCTGACCTAGCATATTAAATTTTAAGTCCATTCCACCCCTTTGTTTTCTTTCGTTTTTACTCCCGTAATCAGTGACAACCCCTATGTATCTTCGAGTTTTGAAAAGATGAAATGGTAAAAATAAAAAACATAATCATTTGTGGTTTGTCCCTAAGTCCTTGATAAAACGCGTTATCATGCTATAATAACTTTTTAGTGCACATTCAAAAACACAGGTTATTAATGCAGAGAATCTATGTACAAATAATCATTCAAGCAATGAAAATCAATTCTATAGCATATTAAATATACAGCGCTTTTACTAGGGTTGGCATGCGTCATTTAAACTTACCCGACTTTGAACGAAGTCGTATGCGGCCTCGACCTCTGCGTTCTGGTAATAGTATGGTAAGGTAGCCCTGAGGTTATCGTCAAGCATCTGCGATACTCGGGCCCGCATTGCGTACGCGGTAATAGCAGCTGCTATCTCCAGTACCAGAACCACGCTGAGGACCACTGCAAACTGTGTGCAGAAGTAATTAATATTAGTATAAACTTGGTTTACAACAAAATTTCGTTTTTATTGTACTAGTTTTAACAGTGCACCGGTAAAATATATTTTCTAAACACCACAGACAAGCGCATGTTGCACAGTACTACCTATGTCCGTTTTGGTAAGCCCGAGAAAACAACATTTTTGGGACTCCTGTGACAAATGAGACTGCTGGGACAAAAAGCGAAATCCTCAACCTACGAAAACATATACAGACTTTTTACCAATAAATTAAGCACTATATTGTCAAAACTTAAATACTAAGAATTTCGAGATTATTTTATTAAAAAATCGGATAACAAAGGATTTTATAGTACAAATTGGTATTAAGTTTGAAAAGGAAGTCTGCAGGTCCGAGTAGTGCGTTTATATCGATACTTACGATGTTAACCAAGAATGTGCTCTCCTTCAAGGCACCGATACAACCGAACAGCGATACGAAGAGCATGATGATACCAATTACGATAACGAAGGTCGCAGGAGAGAACAGCTGGTCGTCCAGGAAATAAGAGACATCATGGTAGATTGCATAGATCGTAGTCCCCACTGAGATTATGAGGGCTGATGTCAGCTGAAACAAAATCTCAGAATAAGATGTGGAGCCATACAAGTGTCTTATTTTGGATATACATTTCTGTTTTGTACGATGGCCTCGTACCAAAGTTTCGTACAAGGCCCTATTGATGAATACGTGGGGACATTGAGAAAAGTTCGTTGTCGCGGTGTCAGTTGGAAGAAATCGAAACATTTATGGAGTTACGCTACCTTCAGCTTTAGTAACTCTTCTCTCTCCCTCTTTCTCTCTCCCTCTTTCTCTCTCCCTCTTTCTCTCTCCCTCCTCCTCTCTGTTAAACTGTAATTTCATTGCCATTCCATCATTATTGATCCCTTGTTTTTACACGAATATTATTATACATTGTGGAATGAAGCTATTTACGGGTTTTATCGCGTTTAATTAGATATCTATCACGTGACCATGAACGCTAGAAAGGGTTCGAAACGTTAGGAATTTAAAAATGTAATTTAAAAAAATGATTTCATTTCACAATTCCAACATTAATAATTTTTTATTAAGTTGTACCAGTTAATTTTATTTTTCATAACGAAAGTAACATATTTCCAACCGAGTCTCCCCCAACGTAAGACTACAATATGAGAAATCTACATTTTTGTGTCATAAAATTTACGAATACACAAATGTTTACGACGCAAAAATGTTTTAATGAACTTATCAGTCCTTTTGCTATCGCATCGATTAATCGTTCTACTGCATAGGGGAAGGTGAGGACGAATGTTAAAAGAACATTCAACTTTTAGGCACAAGAATCAAGAAAGTAAACATAACTATCTTTCACATCGCCATCTGTATGTTAAGCACATATCGTGTATATGACAGATTGCAACTAAAATGACGAATCATCCTCCAATATGTCTAACTAATTCGTACTTTAACGGTGGTAGGGCCACGCAGCAGCCTCAGCTGTTGCACGAATGGGCGGGCTCGTCCGGGTAAGTACCACGACCTCACAGAAGACCGGCGTCAAGTGGAAGTATGACAAATACTTTCGCGTTTGGTCTGGTGAGTCAGGTAGCCGGAGCCCAATTTTCAAAAGGTTGTCAACGCATCTGCAACCCTCACGTGTAGCAGATGTCCATGGGCGGCGGTATTCACTTAACATCAGGTGAACCGCCTGCTCGCTTGGCAACTTTTCACATAAAAAAAATAACTTCATACGATGACCAAAGCCATCTCTAGACAGGCTTAAATACTATTACCGTATTGGCTAAAAGGTCCTTGATACCGGGTCATAAAATCCAAAAAAAAGAAACTATTACCGTATTGACAAAATTTATATATTTTAATAAAAGGTAAATTCGTTAGTTTCTCCATTCATCATTGAGTCAGTTTTATAAAATTATACAATACCAAAGTCGTGGTGTATTATTTATTTTGTTTAAAGTCATTATTCAAATCAAGACATAAATACTTGTACAGTTTAGTTTAAATTGTACCATTTTGATGTAGATGAGTAGTAGACGGTGTGGAAAATCAATAGCGGTGAAGAATGACCGCACGACCGCCGTGACCTTGCCACCATGCTCAAGGTCAGAGGTAACTACCTTCGTTAGACGGTAGATTTCACACCGGATTAAAATTTACAAATATAGGTCTTGCATAAAATGCTGTTTTTAAGGTTACATTTATCATTCTCTCGTCATTTGTCATCGTTTTGAAACAAAACATAATCTGCTTGAATGAGGATAAAACTAAGGAAAGAAACATACAATTTTATTGCGTTAATATTAATACAGCAGGTTGAAGAATGTATATATTAATGTATATTAATGTTGCGGTGATAATAATAACATCAATGCTTAAAAAATTATACCACACAGCTACAAAGCTATGCTTAAATCGTGTGGTTATAGTGTTTCTGCTAATTGATAAACACTGTTTATTTTTATCGGTTATTGTCTGCGCTTATAAGGCCCGTGAAAATGGTAACTTTACGCCTGCTATCGATTAGCCTTAGTTAGCGATTTAGACTGTCACGTTATTATGTCTGCTTAAAAGCGACCGCATTAGCGCGGCCGTAAAATTATGAACAATCTATAAATATCTTTTTGTACCTTTCTCTAAATTATTAATTATTGTGCCGAAAGGCAACATTAATTAATTTTTAACTACGAAATAACTTTAAGTTAAACAACGAAGGTTCCAGTAGACTATCCAAGCGTCCACTGAATTCTAACAGGGATGTGACTTGCCCGTTCAAATGTTGGATCATGGCAAAATGTTCTACGATTATCTAAAAAGTTTACGTTTCTGTCGCACCAAATGGATTTTACCCTGTTTTGTAACGCACTGTAAAAGGTTACAGAATTATTTTTCCTTTCCTTTAAATATGTCCGATTTGACAATAAGAGTAATAGGAAAGCGAGTAATGAATAACGAGTATCTTGGGTATTACGAGTCCACTTCTTTCGAATGTTAATCAATATTTGAATTTAACATCGCAGTTACTTCTTCGTTCCTTGTTTTTTTATGTGAAAAGTTGCTAAGCGAGCAGGCGGTTCACCTGATGTTAAGTGAATACCGCCGCCCATGGACACCTGCTACACCCGAGGGTTACAGATGCCTTGACAACCTTTTGAAGATTGGGCTCCGGCCACCTCACTCACCAGACGAAACGCGAAAGTTTTTGTTATATATTCAACAATGTTTAATATTCAACAAAGGCTTTGTCTATCCAAATTTAATATTTATTACTACATATTTTGCATGATGAATCAATCGGTGTATTCTGTAACTAACCCAACCCAAAATATTATTTGCAATAATTAAAAATCCCTTTTCCCGTTACAAATATTTTTTTATGTGAAATAAATGAATGAATTAACAAATGGATGGCAAAAGTCCGTTCCCACGGACATAAATTACTCAGCCTTACTACTTTATGTCAATTTTAATGCCTGATGACATTAAACACAAGGTCTAATTAGTACTTTAAACATTTCTAATCGTTTATAACTTCGATACTATATGCTGTAGTTTTTTCGAAAAGTAAGTTTTACATATCTATATAAAAATATTTGGAGTCGTAAATAAAGAGACTAGGGCCTTTTTGATGTTTATCATTACAGAACATGTGATTTATTTAGTATAACGGTCGTGAAAAAATTAAATCGAGCAAATACAACATCATCGTTACCATGTTGTGCCCCGACCCCACCTTGGTGGGATTACGGCAGAAGAAAGAAGAAGTAGGAGTATTATTCGAGTGGTGAAGGATTTTTTCGAATGGTTTATACTTACACACAAACAATATTAGCAGTCATTTATAATATTAGTATATCTATTAATAATAAAGGCGAGTTTTTATGTTGAGTTTGTTATTTGTTTACTACAGGCGAATGATCTACTTAAAACTACTTGTTTATCTATGAACAACATAATTTTTAGAATCACGTTACATTTTAATGTTCACTCGGAATAAAACGTACGCATTATTTTATTAAAAAAAAAAAAAAAAAAAAAAAAAAAAAAAAAAAAAAAAAAGAAATAAAAAAAAAAAAAAAAAAAAAAAAAAAAAAAAAAAAAAAGAAAAAAAAAAAAAAAAAAAAAAAAAACAAAAAAAAAAAAAAAAAAAAAAAAAAAAAAAAAAAAAAAAAAAAAAAAAAAAAAAAAAAAAAAAAAAAAAAAAAAAAAAAAAAAAAAAAAAAAAAAAAAAAAAAAAAAAAAAAAAAAAAAAAAAAAAAAAAAAAAAAAAAAAAAAAAAAAAAAAAAAAAAAAAAAAAAAAAAAAAAAAAAAAAAAAAAAAAAAAAAAAAAAAAAAAAAAAAAAAAAAAAAAAAAAAAAAAAAAAAAAAAAAAAAAAAAAAAAAAAAAAAAAAAAAAAAAAATATAATTAGGTACAATCTATTAGCTGATAAGGCGAGTTATTTGTGAAAAAATTAAATCGAAATAGTCAGGGGGCCTTTAAATTATCGACTAAACGACGGTACCCCACCTTGATGGGCATACCGGTACCATGAAGAAAACAAAGAGTAGTGAGAACTTAAGTGGAAAAGTCGTATTTATTGAGTGCCCTGAAAAATGGTTCTAAACCCATTTTTCTACGGTCTTAGTGTATTTTTTGATAAAATAAAAGTACCAAGGTCAAGTTATAATGTTCGTACGAATTTGTTAATCAACGGCGTTGATAATATCTCTAAAACAATGTTTAAAAAAATTCCTATTATTGTTCAAATTTTGTACGAAAAAACGCGCCTAAGTGGGAAAATAGCATTTAATAGCTACAGACATTAGCACATTTCACGATTTAGTCGTTATAATATCTTTAATGGATTCATGATTTAAAATCAGATTATACCTTTGACAAATACCTAGAACACTCCGTATTTTTAAAAGGCAATCGATATCGATGCACTGACAAAAGTTGAAATCCAAAAAATTCAATGTAGGTACAAGATAAGATTGGGTGATTATTTGTGATTGTATAAATAGTTTCCTTTACAATTAACTGAATCATAGACATTATGATGCATACGGTACCACTGTAATACAGACATTGAGTAGTTAGTGGTAAATTTATTGACTGCTGAAAAATGTTCTAAGCCCCATTTTTCTACGGTCTGTCAATCTTTTTTGGAACTAAATGGACCAAAGTTATCACTATCGTACAATGTGTTATCAACGGCGTGAAATTCTCTCTAAAACTAATGATTAGGAGTACTAAAATTCCTATTGTCAAATTTTGTTACGAAAATATAGTTTTGTTTTGCCTAATGTTTGCCTATACATAATAAACGGTTATGTAAGCATTTATACTTGTGAGTGTCTGAATGAATTTGTTTTCTATTATTTATCATCACTACCTTTGCGACATAAAGTTTAATATTCTCTAAGATATAGTCACTATTTTAGCTTCCATATTAGCGACATCACAGACGTCATTATCTTTGTGTCATATGCCCATTGCCTTTTACGAATACCTGACGTCACTACGACAAATAAAAAAAAACCTTATAAAGAAGGTCTCTTAGCCTCTGTACATATAAGTAGACTCAAATTATCTTAATTTATACATAAAATACAGACAATATTTAACCGAATCAGTAGCGTTTAAGAAAATTCAATGCCGATTTAGAAATATGTATACGTGTTTTCAACATATAAAATATAGGCACATGTTAGTCATGCAACGCAATACAGATAAGCAAGAACTAATAACGCATAGGGTTCCAAAAAAAAATAAAGAACTCACCACAAATATAGCTGTCACGCACAGCAGCATATATTTTATACACCTCATTCCCACCTCAAGGTTGTTGTTTGCCATTATGACACCAGCCGTTGTTAGTTTCTTATAGCAATTCAAAACAATATGTATACACCGTGGCGATCGAAACTTTACTGAAGGGGAAAAACGGTTTTCAGGACGCGAAAACGTGTTATCAGCGATGATAAGGTATCGCCCGTTCGACTCTCGCTGTCAGACTACTCAATGCCGTGAAAACGTTTTTTTTTTTTCTTTACCCAATTAACTGTACGGAACTAAGTGTTATTGTAAATACGACGCGTCGGTTGGCATACGCGTTAGAAATTACGTTTGGAGCGGGTTCGCATTGCGCTTGTGGCTATTTTTAGTAAAACGCAGCCAATCAATCTACGTTATAGCATGTTTATATGATGCAGTGGTTGATTTAGTGTAAAACATTGTTTTGCAACACACAAGATTGCTTTGGATGTTAAACGTAATGCGCTAACGATTTTTAATATTCCAAAGGGTTTAGTTAAGCTCATAATAACACAAATAAATGCATTAATTATATCCAATATCTGCAAATGGTTAAAGCTTTTGCCAAGAAAAGTTATCACAGTTGGATGGAACCCTTGTCAAAAGCGACATGTAGGTAGACAGGGATGACAAGGATAATATAGAAATAGATTATTCGTTAAATAAAACTAATACCCGGATTTGATTGCAATAAAATTTCTAATGATACATGGTTAAATGAAACTATCATTTAGCCATTTACCCTATAGTGTAATTATGTGAAGACGACTACGTTAAAGGGTAGTTAGTTGCCATTTATTGCCATACCATACCCATTAATTGCTTCCTGAACTGGCTTCCGAACACAAGAACTTACCATCCCTAATATTTAGGATAATGTTAATCTAATCAATAATAATCAATGTTACCTGATCTGTGGTCCAAGTTCCATGAACCTCTCGATCAAAAGTCGCTCCCGAGTCTCTTCAGTAAAAAAGAAACACTCATTTGATTCCTAAAGGTCTGACCTCGGTGCCACATAAAGGGTAAACACAGTCCTCGAGCTGTACAAAGTCGACTGCACAATTAGTGACTTGAATTGAATTGTCATCGAGGTGAATGGATGACCGCTGAGGAATAACGGATAAGTATACGACGGGGTATTTCGATTGCCTGTCTGTGAATCCTCTCAGCACGTTACTGGAGGGTGCAGGGAGAGGATTTTAGCTTCGGAAAGGAAGAATAAAAGTGACACACGTGTCAGGAGGGGCTTTTTATGCGCCCTTACTACTTTCTGACCAAATCGGATGATAGGTCACTCTAAATGGTCATCCTCATAATTATGTGATAAATGAGTTATTTCTCTATCCTTGATCAATGAGCATTGGAAGGACCCGGTTGTAAAAATAATTTTCCAGGTGACGGACAGAAGGAAAAAGAACTCCACGGGAGGATTTTTTTATCTGAAAAGGAGAAAGCGAGCTGGCGGTTCACCTGATGTTGATGATTACCGCCTACCATGGACATTTGCAGCATCCATAGGGTGACTTGTGCGGTGCCACATTTTAATAAAATGGGCCCCGGCTACCTCACTCACCAAACGCAATTCAGAAGTATAACAATTCCACTTCACGCCGATTTCTTGTGAGCTCGTGGTACTTCCACGGACGGACCCGCCCAATTATGCAATAGCGAACTGTTACGTGGTCCTACCAAAGTTAAAGGCAGGCTCTGCCTGGTTCTGAGTCTCCCTCAACTGGCTACGTTTCAGTAGTGACCTCTTTGGGGAATAAAGCATTTTGACATTACACCAGAAGCTTGCAACCCATGTTAAATGATTACCATCGCACGATGTTATCTTCAGATGTCGTTTTTGAAGGACGTCCCTCATGCAGATCACTACTGATTTTTTTTTATAAAAAAGAATATAATTAAATGACCACAGAGTTTCTTGCCGGTTCTTCTCTTGCAGTTCTAGTTTAGTGAACCGCTGGTAGTTTTTGACGTTCAATAAGAGCTTAAAATAAGCCTATGTTGAATAAAGAAATTTTGACTTTGACTTTAGCTGAGTTTCAGCGTAAGCGTATCACGCTTAAATTCATTAAACTAATTGTAAAAGTGGCATGCGATGGGCCTTCGTTAATGCCAATCGAATTCGTTAATGTCAATAAATGCCAATCGAAGTTTATCTATCATCATAGCATTGTTGTTCAATGAGACCTCAGCGAAAGTCGTAATAAAATATAGACAGAAAATTTTCTCATTTTGAAGTGTAAACAAGACTTAGAATGCCGCTATTTCATAAAAACTAATGACAAATGAATGTTCTCTAATCAAAATTTAAAATAAGTTTTCACTGGCAATGTTTCTAGCTGGCCAGTTCTAAAAACTCAGTGTGATCCTAGTATGTCATTGGACAGGCTGACACATGAAGTTGATACACGCATTTAGACATTCGCTTGCTTTATTTATATTTTTATTTTTTTATGTGTAACATTTTCTCGCTTTCGTGTAATCTGTGGGAGAGTTATCGTGGAAGGGGATGGAAGCATATAACAGGAAGCCGGGTCAGCGCGAGATATTTGATTTGGCCAATCATTGCGTGCAATTCTCGTTTGGTTGTCAGATGGATACAGCCTATTTTCCGAAAGCTTGGTACTGTCAGCCAACACATGTGGGTTTTGCCAGTGTTTTATATAAAGTGTGCTGTAACGACAAGATATAAACTAATTTATTCGTAATAACTATATAAGTGTTTAAAAAGGGCAGATCATCGATAAACATCAAAAACGATCAAAATGCATAGATATATACTCAGACCAGAGATCTTTTTAAAGAGATTAATATACTCACTGTTGCGTCCCAATATATTTATTGTAATATTTTGTATGTTAGACATAATCTTAATTGTTACCTAAATAATAGTTACAAACATAAATTAAATAGTAGAAATAAGGACAAACTATCTAGCACATTGTTTCATTTACAAAAAGTAACTAAAATCATGGGGCAAAGTGTGCGCATGTCTGCTACTGCCACTTGATCAATTTAAGCGCAAAATTAAAAGTGAACTTATGGCTAAGGCATTGCGGAATATCTTGACGACGCCAATGTGTGGGTTTAATACTGTTTATAGCCACGTAGGCTTAAATAAGACTTATACCTGTCCTATCATATTGTAAACTTATCGTTTTAAAAAAGAGCAACTGTTGAGTTTCTTGCCGGTTTCTTTTTTTTATGTGATAAGTTGCCAAGCGAGCAGACGGTTCACCTGATGTTAAGTAAATATCGCCGCCCATAGACATCTGCAATACCCGAGGGTTTCAGATGCGTTGACAACCTTTTGAAAATTGGGCTCCGGCCACCTCACTCACCAGACGAAACGCGAAAGTATTATACTTCCACTTTACGCCGGTCTTCTGTGAGGTCGTGGTACTTACCCGGACGATCCTGCCCATTCGTGCAACAGTCGAGGCTGCTGCGTGGCCATACCACCGTAGTTTCTTCTCAAGAGAAACTGCTTTCCGAACCGGTGGTAACTCACTTACGAACTTATTAATTTTTATGTAAAATTTTGACGTTTCATAAGAACGCGCAAGCGTCTATGTGAAGAAAGATATTTTGAATTGTGTTTTGTTTTGATAAGTTAATGACATCGATATTAATGTATTTATATACCTAATGTTAATTGTTCTTATTCCCAAGGTCCGATGTTAGATGATGCGACTACAGTAAGACTATTTTTTTTAATTAGGATATAGTTCATATTTATATAAAGGTATATATTTTTGTAAATTAAGTACACATTTTATGCTTCAACGAATCAGCCATTAAATTCGTAATAAATATGACTAGTATATATTTAAGTTAAGAAAATGAAAATATAAAAAAAATCAGTAAAAATAAAAACGTGTATTTTAAACGTTAAATATCGGTAAGTATATTACAGATATCTGCAATGTCTCCTTCAAAGTAAAAGCGTAAGATGTGATAATTCAATTCTGAATTTTATGAAAAATTTAAATGTTTTCATGCGGAATATTTTAATTGTTGCTTGTTATGCGTTGTGTAATATTCGTTGTAGATCGCAAGGAGAGTGGAACAAAACAGTGCCGATTGCAGTTTTATCTTTACGCTAAGATTAAAATGCTAACTAATAATTTAGCAGCAACCATCACAATGAACAAAGAGCACAGACCTAGTTTGAATATTTGTAAAGATTCCAAAAATAGACTTTTTATTTAAAAATAAGTATACTTATTTTTATTATATAATACATTTTATTATGTTATAATATATTATATTTTCATATAAACTTTCCGTGGTGATGGTACCATATTTCGTTGAAAAAAACGTTTTACTTTTATATTATTACGATTAATACATCAATTATGTCTAATAACATTTTGTTGTGTGCATCTTTTTAAACAGATATTTTTCATTATTATAAGTACTAACCATGACATAGAATTTTATTGTTATTAAGTACTTGTCAAAGATGTTTCATTCCACTATTCCACCATTCCATTATTTAACTACCTTAACTGATCTTAATCGTTAAATATACATATATAAGTTTATATAATTAGGCATATTAAAAAATCAAATGTTTACTTAGTTTTAACGTTTTGAATAAAATATTTTTATACAATTTTTAACAATAAATTAACAAACACACAGCACGAATAAGCAAATGCTCCGATGAATTTATTTACCAACATCTAGATAACCTAGTTAATTTAAACTCTGCTATTTTATTTATAGTTATTAAGGGAACGCGTGTTCCTGTCTCGATATATTGGCCAGCCAAACGGCACCCGCCACCGCCAATGCCTGGAAAAGTAAGTACGAAATGTTAAAATTTTAAATGTATTTACTAATAAAACCGTTTAAAAACTTTTAAGTTAAACGGTTTTATTTTATATGCACTGAAAACTACAATATTGTATTGTCATCTAAATTAAATGTGTGTACCAAATTTCAGATCAATCTGACAACGGGAAGGTGCTTAAATTTCAATTTCTAATTTTGACCCAAATAAATAAACAAATTCCGTACGGGTCGAGCTACATAAAACCGTTTAAAAAGTAGAAATTGACTTTTAAATCGGAATAGTTTGTTGAAATATATAGTCCAACAGTCGATGACAGTTAAGGAATTTTCTTAATTATAAAGTTAAAATGAAATTATTAAAATATTTATATATATGGCAAATATCTATCTGGAGCATTTGATGACAAGCACTCCATTTTTTTTTTTAAATAAAATTAATTAGTAGATATTATACTACACGGACAGCTATAAGTAAGTGAAATTAATGAAGACTGATAGATACAAGTAAAATAAAGGGATGTTAAACATGGGTGAGTACGAATTTTTCGGAGGATAAAAAAAGGGACCACGTGTCGGATGAGGACGGCAGTTCCGTGAAAACTGCTTTCTATAAAAACTCCAAAAGAATCATGTCTGTTGTATGATAGCCCAGTTAAATATTTTTTTTATTTCATTCTGTTTTTTAGTACTTGTTGTTACAGCGGTAACACAAACAAATGTATCTGTGAAAATTTCAACTGTCAAACTATCACGGTTCAAAGCCTGGTGACAGACGGATGGCCAGACAGGCGGATAGAGGAGTCTTATTAATAGGGGTTAGGTTTTAACTTTTGGGTACGGAACCCTAAAAGGTGAGGGAAGGAGGCGAAGGGGGTGCGGAAGGCGTCTGCAAAACTGGTGAGATGTCAGCGGACCTGCATTAGCACCATGAAGACGCCGGTGAGACCGATGGCGGCCGCGTGCGACTGCACCCAGCTGCCGAACGCCTCGGAGCAGCCGGTGCTGTAGGCGACTGTGGTGTTGCACGTGAAGATCTGGACGGCGCCGTACACGTGGCTGCAGCAGCTGACCGGCACGCCCTGAGATTCGGTGGTGCCCAGCGGGCCGAGCCAGTCGCTGGAGTTGACGACGCCGCAGCAAGAGAACTGGCGGATTCAATCATAAACATTTCAGGACATTTAAAAAGTAGAAGTGAAGTAACATCTTATGAATGTCCCACTGCATGCCCACTGCCCATGGGCAAAGGCCTCCTCTGTGAAGAGGGTATCGGGGCATAGTCCGCCACATGACCCCACTGCGGATTGGCGGACTTCACATATTTTCGAAATATTTTTTTTGTTATTATCACGAAAATATGCAGGTTTCCTCATGATGTTTTCCCTCACCACTGAGCACGTGATAGGTCAGCAGTTAAAATTAACAATTTCATTGGTGCTGGCACCAGGGATCGGGCTCAGGTTGCTAGAGTAAATTGAATTTAAGGCGGGCGCCCGGGCATTGTGCTATCACTTAAAAGTCCCAAATGAAGATATTAATATAATTTATATTAAGGGAAAACATTGTCTGATGAACGTAGTGACGTCATCACACAATATTTTCTAGTAGAAGAAATGGAATCCAAACCCTCTGGCGTAAGAGTTCATTACGCCAATCAAATATTTCATCAATCAATTCAATATTGCGTGAACAATGCTACTTTATAAAGACTTGAAGCACTAATGCACTCAAATGTAATACTAAGAGAATACAACAAGAATAACAAATCTACTTCTGTAATTTATAAATTGCATCGTTATGAAAATCTAAAAGATGATGATAAAAAATATTGTATCTACCATAAAATGGTGATGCATCTACGAAGGGAACCTAGAATTTTGCTTTCTAGTAAAAATTATCTTTTCTAGTTAATATAGAATACCTATGAATATATACATCGTTCTCCGGCTTAGAATTTCAAATTAAAATATTTTTGACGCATTCCAGTTTTAAATTTGATTAAAAGAATAGTCCTAAATCCGTTTACTAACTAACATCTTTTGGAAATACTCACGTCTTGCTGTACTTCGTCCCAAAGCTTGGTGACTTCGAAGTTCTTATCGGGGCCGTAAAGATCCATTGTACTTAACAATGACTGCTGGACCAGAGCCACTGCGTTACCCTTCAAAGCATACCCAGCAATGCACGCTGACAGTTGGAATACGAACATTAGAATCATTGAGCCGGCAAACTGAAATATCGTAGAAAAAAAACTATTTACGAAAGACATTCCACCCGTTACTATTCAGGACAAAAGACATTAAATCAACACTATCCAAAGAAAATTATTTGTAATGCATAGTAATAATAAGATAAAAAGAGGACATTGCAATTCAATTGCAACCTTAAATATTGCGTCGCGATGCTATTTGACATTTAACAAATACAACTCATCGCCAGCCTTATCCTGATTTCAGACTTCAAATCCTCTCAAGACGACTTTACATAAAGCATCATGTTGGTTTTCTTTTGCATTCATCGGCTTCCCGAAACTTTGTACAGATTCTCACTCCGCCTTGAGGGGATCGCCCCCACACTGCGTTTGTCTGTGGTATCATCACTATGTAGTATAAAACAAAGTCGTCCCCCTGTCTGTCTGTCCCTATATGTATATACTTAGATCTTTAAAACTACGCAACTGATTTTGATGCGGGTTTTTTAATAGATAAAGTGATTCAAGAGGAAGGTGTATATATATAATTCATGCATAATATAGTAGAGAAAAGAGCAGTGATAGCTTAGTGTCCGGGCGCTTGCCTTTAATTCGATATACTCGAGCAACCTAAGCCCGATCCCCCGTGCAGGCACCCATAAAATTTTTAATTTTAAGTGTCGAATTATCACGTGCTCAGCGGTGAAGGAAAGCATCGTGAGGAAACCTGCATATTTTCGAAATGTAACAAAAAATATATATTCGAAGATATGTGAATTCCGCCAATCCGCAGTGGGGCCGCGTGGTGAACTATGCCCTAATACCCTCTCTACAGAGGAGATCTTTGCCAAGCAGTGGGACATATATAGGCTGATACTTATAGTAGAGCAACACTAATAATTTTAGAGGTTTCTAATGCGATGTCGAAAACAAACATTCAGCATTGCACCCCTGCAAAGCCGGGGCGGGTCGCTAGTGAATTATAGACCGTATATTAAGTGTCCCGACCGCATCGGCTCAAGCTCGTAGAAGCTCGTAACCAAAAGGATTATTTTTGTAAACTAAAAAATAGTTTTAGCTTACGGCTCCGAACCACCGGCACAATTTTATATATGAATTATACTCGTATATGACAGATATACGTCTGGGTGTCACTGAACAAGGATCTCAGGTCTAGTCAGGTCAAGATTTAAAAAAAGCATTGCTCTTACTGTAGAATATACGTATATTAACAACCAGATTCGGAACTATTCCCTATAGGTCACACAAATAAACGAAATAAGGCTCTAGTCCATCAACAGTAGTCTAGAATTTCGTTAAAATGGCTTTTCTAAACTAAAACTGATTATAATCTGGCTACAGACAGAAGGCATAGCAGAAAAGCAGGTTATACCGACCAGTGTAACTCACAGAAGTCCGGTGTGAAATAGAAAACATTTCTACGTTTCGTCTGGTGAGTGAGGTAGCCGGGGCCCACTTATATTATAGGGTGGCAAGACATTTGTAACCCTACGGGTGCGTGCTGCAAATGTCCATGGGCATCGGTTATCACTTAACATCGAGTGAACCACCGGATCGTATGCCACTTTCTCACATAAAAAAAAGTAATTAGAAAAAAGAGGCTGTGATGACGATGCTCAAAATTTTGGTATATAAATAATATTTCAATAAATAATATTTAATTATTAATTCGTCTCCCTCGCCCTAAATAACTATACATTAAAGTTAAGAAATATTAGACTGAGCGAATGTTATGTGAAGACATACCGAATTGATAAGAACTTTCGCAAACAGGTATAAATTATGACCGACAGATAAGACTAATCCGCATAATATGTTTTTTAGATATTCTATTTGTTAGCAGGTTTTACGTTCAAGAAATAAGATTTATTAGCAATACTCGCATGTAATTCGTAAGATAAAATTATTTCTTTTTTTGTTTCACAACACTGTCAAGTCATAACTTACAATACACAAACGTGTTAGAAACACAACATAAATACAGACGTCGATAAGAAAACGCAATGTTTATGTATACTATAATAGATACAAACACGAAACTAAAAAGACTAACAAATTATTTATTGATAAATAAGTGTAAATTTTGTAATAACCAACGAAAAACCAACTCATCATAATAGCTTGTATGGGTTGTACATAAAAATATATATATATATATTTTAGAATAAACATAACTTTATCGGAGCTACATTGAGTTTAAATCAATAAATTTAGTTTTAAAATCAATTAAAGTATTCGTAGCTTGCGCCTACGAGTCTCTGTGGCTAACATAAGTTTTAATTTGTGTATTTATTTCTCTCGCTCATTTTAAGAAAGACGTCATTTATGTTGTTTGTTTTGTGTATTATTGTTTGTTACTAGAGTACTAGTTAACTGAGTTGATAATCGCTTGCTCTTATCTCATTTCTATTGTATGTGCGATAAGAGGTTCGACCTAACCTAAAACTAACTTGTTTTAGGTTAGGTCGAACTAACTCGTTAGGTAACTACGAAAACAAGATTGATTGAAAATAAGGATGGAAAGCAGGATTTCCAAAATTCTGTTAGGAGTAGCAGACTGCAGAACTTATTATTTGAGATAGGTATTGTTTTTTCATAAAAACAAAGGTATTTTCACACATTTCAATAAGCGTGAGAGTTTGTATCTTTTGCGATTTTTTTTACATCTAGTAATGCTATATACCAAGGTTTGGTGCTACGAAAACATACTTTATGTTATTTTTTTAAATTAATGCTGGTATTTAATTGGCAGGGATCGTTAGTAAATGGCTGCTATAAATACTGTTGTATAGCATTTAAAAAATTAGATTAATATTTGTAGATTCGAAAATTTACGCCACCGATTTATAATGTAATGATTATGGTTATTTTTAGTGCGCACACAAAAGACACACAAAACGTGCGTCCTGAGCTATTTGTTTCTATAATATCTTATAATATTACATATTTCACGGTAAATAAGAATAATATGCCTTTTAATACAATGATAGTGTCTTCAACTTGAGCGTTTACTACCTAAGAGGTATTGAACCTGGAGTCAAGAACTAGCCAGTTTGTAATTTAACAACAGAAATGTGGATCAATGTTCTCATTGTCAATCCACATTTCTTTTGGAGACATGTGCTTAATTTAACTTTAATATGGGCCTAAATCGCAACTAAATAGTTATAGTTTTAATTTTATTATAAACGTATGTCTTACATATAGGTACAAACATATAAAAATGTTTTCAGTATATGCAATTTTCTGAAGGCTGAACAGAGTAGTCAATTAGACGACGCAACGTAGACAAATTACTTTGTTCATGCAATAAAACAAATATAATAATGATAGACGCAAAAAATTAGTCGGAAATTGTTTTATTACCTTCTGTTGTTAACAATAACTTGTTTCCATGTTTCTTCACGATATTCGTACTTTAAAGTATGTTGTAGTATGACGTATTTGTTGGTTTAAATGTAAGTATTTTTATTGTTTTAAATTTGAAGTCCAATTATTACTTTTTAATTTAAAATAATCATAATTCCTTTTCAAATATAAGCTTTATGTATATGTGCGACAAGAAAATAGATATTCTGTTTTAATTTCCAATTACATTATTAAGATTTGTTTAAAATAAGAATCATTTGCCTTGTCATTCAAAATAGAGCAGATATGTCGTTGTCTGCCAGAAATAGATCATGGGTAGCCCGGGAAAATAAACAAACCATGCCCTTGGCAGTCCAAATATTAAATACTAGCTTTTCACCCGCGGCTTCGCTCGCGTTGAAGCCCTTAAATAAATATCTTTCAATCCTTTAAAACACTTTTTTCATTTAAAAAATAGCCTATGTCCTTTCTCAAGCTCTAGACTATCCGTGAAATTCAAATTTCATTTAAATTGGTTCAGTAGTTTTGGAGTGAAAGCGAGACAGACAGATAGAGTTACTTTCGCATTTATAATATTAGTATGGAATACTTCAACTCACCGCCATGTTCATGTAGTAATTCTCCATGTAGGCGCCATAGAAACCGAAGGAGGCGATTATAAAAATAATCACCCCAGTCGCAATGCAGAACGCTGGAAGGGAGAAGAATCTCTCCGAAAGGAATTCATGGTAGCCGTTGTAGGCCGATTGCACTGAACTACCCACAGATAATATAACAATACCGGTTATCTGAAACATAAAATCACACTCAATGCCACTGGCCGTTTCGCTTCTATAACCGATACGTACTGGCCGGCGTTCGGCTGACTTACCAAAAAAAGAAAGTTCACCGTAACCAGCGAGTATTTGACCGTTGTGAAAATTTTCGACCACATTTTGATTGGGGCTCCGACGGCGGCACGGTAGCGCGACGCGTCCTCGTGACGGGCTGACGGCGTATGCTTTCGGTTCGGATATTTTTATCACTGTAATAATCTTGATAAGGAAAACAAGCGGAATTATCTCGCACGGTGGTGATGCTGTAGTGTAGGGCGAGTTGCCGCTAATAGCACCATGTCCTGGGTCATATGATGCGCCTTTAGAAGGATGTCTACATTATTGCCATAACAAGTAGTGTTATATTTTTTTTTTGTAAACTTTCATATGTATTAATTATTCCTATAAAGCAAAACAGTGTTACACTGGACTGTGTATATTGATAACACACTTGTTAATGTCTAGAATGAAACATAAGTGATTCGATAAAACGAAGGTCATTCCTCGAGTGGAACACGAAGTCTAGGCTTAAGTTATAGGAAATTTTACGAATGATTAAGCAAGGATGAAACAAAAGGAAATGTACAACTTACTTATAAAAATTCAACTTTACTTTTAAAGTTGAAGTTTTGTACGGACTGCTACGGCAGAGGTTGAAAATAAATTGAAATATCCTTAAATAGTTAGCGACGGCTTTATTAACATCCGCTTCTATTCAACATCGAGCGAATACACTTGATGTGAGTACAGTGATTGAATAAGTTAAACTTTTATTCACTTAATCGATATACCTTTATATCAAGAAACCATGGCGCACCAAAGCACTAGTTGGAATCTCAACCAAAGTCATACCTATTTCTGGCAATTTTTTTTTTTGGATTTTTTTAAAGGAATTACGTAATAAATTAATCTTTTTATGCGAAAACAAATAATTCACATTTTAAAAAGATTAAAAATGTCAGACAGAAATTGAAAAAAAATCATGAATCTAATATTTAAATCGAAGAATCGTATTTCAGTTGTAATAAAATGTACCTAAATGTTATTTCAACTGAAATTCGAATACATATAATGGTTTTAATGACATTTAGTAAGGTTATTTGATAAAGCACAAGATAATAAAATTGACAAAGAAACCTTTATGTGAACAGTCGATAAAAATGTTATCTTCGGTAGTTTAAATTGGTAGCATTATATGGATGTTACGTATATCCTCCACCTTACGGTTGTGCCTAATAGAGTTCTGTTACAAAGGCTGATCATATGTTGCCCATTTATATTGATCACAAATGTACTCGACATACTTACACGATCGGGTTCCCCCACAGAATTTTCTTCTTCTTCATGCACGCCTTAAGTACTTCACGAACAAATAAACTAATAGAGATAAAGAACTAAAAACGAAACTAATACATTCTCAAAACCAAATGAACCGACTCATCGCGGACTCTGTTGTGAAAGAAAATAAAAAACATACCTTTGATGCAAAAAAAAATCATTCGATTTGAATAGTTATGGGCTCGAATTAACTTACACGAACAAGTCACGCATTCGACGACCGTGTCGATTGAACACAGTCAACAGTTTAACGAAATATGTGAATATCATACATTCACATATATCGGCCTATTATCGACATTTAAATAAGATATAGATATTTAGAGATCAACGGGTAAATAACGCATAAATGATTTATTTTAAGCGCCCACTAGTAAACTCCGACTTGTACGTTGGATAAATTTTACTAGTGGAAACAACGCAACGATTTTTCATTCGATTACGTAATCGAGTATCCTTCGGGTGGTGGGATTCGTGTAATAACGTCGGTATTAAGTAAGACATGTTTTGCTTTAAAAGCAAGTACCGATTAGCTAACATTTAACAACAAAACGTAAGGCCCGAATATATTATCCAGTATGTTGATTCCAACATACTTTCGCAGTCCACAGCGCCTTTAAAGATTTTTACGTAAAAAGTCTTTTAAAGTAGGTACATTACGCACATTATCAGTCGCCACATTATTAGGTATGTCGTTGAGTGATTGACGTTGGTTTATAAATGATGCACATTAAATACTGTTCTACTAAAACTCGTCAATTTCAATAGCAGCCATTAGAACCTAACGATAAATACTTGGTTTTGGTCTTTTATCACTTGCTGTTTTTCTATTAAATAAACACAAAAATGTTTTATTTTTTTATGTGAGAAAGTGGCAAACGAGCGGGGGTTCACCTGATGTTAAGTGATACCCGCCTGCCTATAGACATTTGCAATACCCGTAGGGTTGCAGATGCGTTGCCATCTCTTAATAATGTGGGCTACCTCACCCACCAGACGAAACGCAGAAGTGCAACACTTCTACTTTATGCCAGTCTTCTGTGAGGTGGTACTAACCCGGACGGACCTGCCTATTCGTGCAACAGAGAACACTGTTGCGTGGCCACCGTAAAAAAGTGATTATTATGTTACTCTTCTCGCTCTTACCGAAAACATTACAGCAAAAAATGTTATTCCTAGCGCTATAACAGATTATTCTGCTGTTGCAAAAATGGAACAACACGTCAAAAGGATTACCGCAAACACAAAAAAGTCTTATTGTTTGATGAGCGAGGTAGATCCTGACTTCTTAAACGTTAATTAGCTACGGAAGTTTTACTCAATCCCACCACTGGGAATATGAAGGTAATCACTTAGCATTAATTAAATCGACTGCTAGTTTTCCGGCTTAAAAAAAGAACTAAGTATTTTTCTTTCGGCACAACATGTGAATCATGTTGTTAATGATACTGGCTAGTTTGTGTAACAGCCGTCACAGCCTGCCGTTAACACTCCTTGGGGACAAAGACAACGGCGCCAGCAGTCGCTCATAAAGTGGGACTTTTTAATACATTTCCATTATGACTCCATACTTTTCCAGTATATTTACCAGTATACTGTATATACTGTCATTAAAGTATTATAACAATTGACTCCAAGCACCCCACGCTTTTCTATTTTGTTTTGTTATATAATTATATATATTTATATTGATAGAATTTGATCTATATTTCCGTTAAGTTGGGGTGGGGCACTACCACTTAGGTAATGCGTTTGGTTATACACTTTTTAAAATTAAGTGGATGCATTGCCCTGTTTATGTGTTATGGAATATTTTTGTAGATCTCTTAGCTTCCCCGGACATTTCATCCTTTTCTTCGTTAAAATATATCTTAATACAATTTCAATAACTGATTTAATCAATTCCACACGCTATCGTCCATTTTAACAATTTTTTTAGGAAAACTAAAGAGTTTGATTAAATTTCAGTGTTAAACATTTATGGACAGTTGCTTGCAATTATGTCACTTAAACTTTAGTTAAAATCTCGTTAATTACTTAACTACTTAAAACGTTTAAATCAGTCATTAATGGTTCTGAAGCGTTAACAAGTGATGTTACAACATAATTTGGTTTTAATAGCTTCACAATTAGTCTTTGGAAGAAATCAATGTTCTTCGCAACAATAAGAAGTTTATCAAAATAGATGACGACTATCTCTCGACCTACTCAATCTCTTGCCGCCTTCAAAAGCCAGCGTTTCACATCAGCTGTCTTATTAAACTCAGATTGTTTAGCCGAAGAAGACCAAAACTAAAATCTAACTTTAGTATACATAGTCTAGTAATATAATTTATGCCACAAGATTTAGAACTCTTGTGGCATAAATTATTCCTAATAAAAATGTATAATATATGGAATGATACACAAGGAAGACGAGTAAAAGATTATACTTAAGTATTACATTTTTTATTTTCCTCAAATCAACATTAAAGAATAACATCAAATAACAAGTTTTACTTAATCTAAGTATGATGACGAATGGATTGACAGATGACGACAGTGGCCATAATTTCGTAGAAAACATATACTTACTTAGGATTTTCATAATATCATTTTGAATTGCACGAAAGAATAAAGGTTCTTAACTCCAATGCGCTTAATTAATAAAAAGACCAAATACCTTACGTATTCCACTTCTATATGTCATTCTCAAAACAAAACACTAATAGTGAAGGTGGTATATGCGTTTATTACCTACATACCTTAAGTTATTGTCATTCATCGTTCATCTAAACTAATTTAATAAAGAAGAAAAATAAAATTTATGATTTCATTCTAAAACTTTTCTCACAAAATAAATGCATTATATTTTACCAATACGGCACAAAATATCGGCATAAACATTGTAGTATTCAAAAAAAAATTTTGCACAATTTTTACATTCGAAATCTATGTGAAAGGGGGCAGGAGAGCTAATAATTAAATGTATGTTGATCTTGCGTAGCTTAACTGACTCTAAGACTCCAGTTCTACCTCCTCGAATTTTGATCTCCATGCCATCCAAGCGGCGGCCGCTGTGATAAATACCTGGAAAAATTGAGCGATTTTTATCCAGAACAGTTTGGACATTCGAATGCATCATGGTGTTAACTGAGAGACTTGTGAAAATAAGATAGTATCAATGATATTTTATACTACTTTATAGCATTTTTTATGTGAGAAGGTGGCATACGAGCTAGCGGTTCACTTGATGTTAATTGATAACAGTTATCCATCACAAATTACAAAACGTGTTAGTAATAAACCAGAAGTCTGTCACTTTAAACCTTATATTATATTTGGTAATAATTTAAAGTATTTGTCATTAATTACGACGAACAACATTACATCTCGTAACATAGGACTTGCATTATTTATCTTCATTTCACCTTTTTACGAGTAAAATGCAAAGAAAATATCAAAGAAGTATGTAACAATACTAATGGCAGTATTCTTTGTGGCCTCGAAATCATGAATTCCGCAAACATAGGAAATGTGTAATGATCATACTTACATGTTTTAAAAAGTTTTGAATAGAAACAACATAAATGCTAACACTAACAAACGGTGACAAAACATTGTTCCGATCTTTTACATAAATATAACATAGGCAATAGCGAATGAATATGACTCCACCCGGTTGAAATACAAAAACATATACGGTTGACTAGAATTTCTCTAGTCTTCTCTGTATATTAAAAATTACATATTGAAATTCGGTACTACTAATAATTGGCCGACTTCTAATACTATTGAATTTAAGCGGACAATTGCTTTATATAATTTAAGAAAAGATTCTTCTACTTAGCTTATATCTATACTAATATAGTAAAGCTGAAGAGTTTATTTATTTGTTTAGACAAAAACGAACGCGCTCCGACTGGGAAGTTGGATTTGAAAAAATATTTTGCCCAATTCTTTAATACCATATTTAACATCAAGCTACGACATATGGGGGTGATTCAGAAATGTTTTCGGATAAAATCGCATGGATGGATGAAATCGATAATATAATATATTTTCACATATATCATCGAGCACAAAAATCTAGTTATAACTTTATCGAAAAACTAAACATCTAAGTACTTAACGTTCCCAAACCAATTCCAACGTTATTCGCAATAATACATTTTACTGTAATATGTAAATATTTACAATATATTTTATGTGGGAACAAGGGTGGAAACGATCTGTGAGACGAAACGTAGAAGTCATTTATATTTCAATTTACTTCCACTTCACGCAGGCCGTAGTATCTCCCGAGATGAGTTAAAATCTATTTCTATTTCTACTTTCGATTACGACCAGGACGAATGAATGATTAATCTGTGGTGCTGAACGTAACCAACCTGCAGACATGTGACTATGGCCGCAACTACCCCAAGAACGAAGGCGTAGTAACTCAACCATTCGCCCAAGGCGCTGGCACAGCCCACGGTGTATGCGTTAATGGACGTGCATTGGAACGGCGATATTGTCCCGTAGTCGATGTGGCAACAGCTGATGGGTATGCGGTTCGAGACCCAGTCGTGGCGGCCAGCAACTCCGCAGCATTCGAACTGGCAGATACCGAGTTGCATATTAATACACAGTCGTAAATCGAGTCCACTAGGGGCGAATAGTTAATAATTCTAAGCACTAGCATATTTATACGAAAATTGCAAATATTCGACAGGTTAATCAAAGAATTAGATAACATTTTAATCTTTAAAAGAATTGACACAAATAATGAAACCATTTTCGTTTAATTTTCAAAAGTAAATTGCTAAAAATAAATAATTAAATTATTGTACCTAATAATATATATTTTCAAAACTGTTGTAAGCAGAGTAATATAATAAAAATTAACGTATTGTCACATTAAATATTCGATTGCATATTGATTGATTGTTTTTATTATTTAAATTTCTTATTAAATAATGAAAATTGAGATTTGTCTTTGAAATAACTTTCAAAAGACATACGATATCATGAAACACTTACTTCCATTTGCATATCGTCCCATATCCTAGCAATGTCCAGCCTTACTTCATACAACTGAAGGCTTTGTATCATTGGCGCTCTGATCTCAGAACTGGCATCGTTTCTCAATCCAAAAGCAGCAATCGTCATTGAGATCTCCAATACTAAAATGGCTAGTAGAAGTGTTACGTACTAAAAATCAAAATATTTTAAATCAGTCCATACCAAAAATGAGAAATTTGATTGAAGAAGTAATGATTTAGAGTCCATACCAAAAGTAAAAATACGCAAATAGGAATTAATAGGCCAAGGAATGGGAAAATTATTATTACTACTAAGTATTTACTACCTAATTATTATTACTAAGTATTAGTCATATGCCTCAAAATTAATTTAACAACAGAACATTTCAGTACATGATTAATTACAACCTTTCGTTGTGGTTTTACTCAACAACAAAGCTTTGATAGACTTCGATTGGCATTTAATAATGATGTTCCATCCCGTGTCACTATTTAAGGCCCATTTACACGGTGCAAGTTTCTTGCCTGTTATATACAAACAATTGGTTTAATAAGTTTAAGCGGGTGCGTAACAAAGTCAATGATGATCTGCGTGAGGGATGTCTTAAACTGATACATCTGAAGATAGCATTGGTACTGTAAGATGCGTAATAGAGGAAGGTAAGAGAGTGTCCATCAGATTTTCGGGTAAGTTAAGGTATGAGTCAAGTACATAAAATATTATTCGACTGTTTAGGCGTCAGGAAGCTTTGTACAAGATAGATTCCCCATACTTTTGCTGAAGACCAGAAACGTCTTCTCATGGATTGGTTTCGCGAAATGTTAAAAAGTTCAACGGAGTTGACTCTAATGCTGTATTTACATCATCATAAGCGATGAAAGCTGCATATATTGCTAAGAACCCTAACAAAAAGAAACTCTGCGGTCTTATTATTATTTTCATTACATAAGTTTCCAAAATTATTTAGGACACTAAATATTTTATTTGCTTGGTAAACAAGGAAAGATGAAACAATATTTCATCTTTTCTATCTTATAGCTTTAAACAAGCAATTCTTGTATATATACAGCATATCTTTACAATAGCGACAATAAATGAAAACACATATCATAGAGGATAAGTTTTTAAAATTGTATTAAACATTTAACTTCTTTTAACATCAATAATTACAGAGTTATTAAATTTTCCAAAACAAAGAATTTTAGAACACCTTACGTATAAAACTGTAACGTAAAGTTCATTTCATTTGTAAAGGTCACAAAGCATATGAATGGGTTGAATTAATTTAAAAGACACAAAACATACTGTTAGAAGGAGAGGCTTGTAATGCGACGCTGTGGCAACGAATGAAAAAGTCTCTGAATGTCTCTAATTGAAAATGTGCGTAGATTCGGGGGCGAAAAATCGATCTGGCTAGGTTTCATTTTTAGAAAATGTCGTTTTATCCAAGTTTTCAGGGAATGAAAAATATCTTTCGAATACGACGGTAAATTTCAACGAAAAAAAAATGTTATAATAGCTCGGTCGATAATCGGGCGACACCGAAACAGAATGCAGTGATTCGTGTAACGATCATTTACACATTTATTTTTTTACTTTTGTTTCGATTCCAGATCATTGCTTTCTTTATGTTTTATTTTTTTGTCGATCCAGATGATTTTGTTATATTTTTCCCTGTTTTGTGAAAAACACCAGTTCATATTTTCTTGTTATTACGTCGGTAAGATCGAAAAATATTATGCATATTTCTTTACTCAGTAATTTGTATCTAAATGTAATTTCCAAAATACATGATTTACCAAAGAAAAAACAAACCGAGCAAAGCTCGATCCTCCAGGTACTTAACATTAACGGTGGTAGGGCCACGCAGCACCCTCGGCTGTTGCACGAATGGGCAGGCTCGTCCGGCTAAGTACCACGACTTCACAGAAGACGGGCGTAAAGTGGAAGTATAACAAATACTTTCGCGTTTCGTCTGGTAAGTGAGGTAGCCGGAGCCCAATTTTTCAGATGGTTGTCAGCGCATTTGTAACCCTCGGGTGTACCAGATGTCCATGAGCGGCGGTATTCACTTGAACCGTGAACCGTCTGCTTGTTTTGCAACTTTTCACATAAAAAAATATATATATTAACGTTAAATAACAGTGAAGTATCATCCGCTAGCAAGACGATTTGAAACTTTTTCCCTACTACATGGCAAATCATTTAGATACACTAAAAAGAGAAATACGCCCGGGATCGATCCCTGAGGAACACCCATTTGTATTATTGACCCCGATGACAAAACAACAACTATTGCGACTTTTTGTTCCCTATCAGTAAGATAGAAATAAAGTTAATGACAGATTTACGAATACGATAACTTTCAGTGTGACCCACGTATATGTCATTTGTTTGTAAAAAAAATATTAAATTAAGCATAGTAATAAAAAAGTTTCTCACCCCAGCAATAACATAGAAATGTTCAGATATTGCTCCATAAAATCCCAAGATCGACGTCAGCATTATAATCACACCTGTGGCAATAACAAAGCTGGGCAACGTGAAGAACCGATTTGTTATCAGATTGTCATAGTAGGAGTATTGCACAATTACCACTATTCCCAATATTAAAAGAAGAACACCAGTTACCTAAAACAGAAGTAAGGAAAAAAAGTGTTACTCAATATGTATGTATGTTCCTAACAAGTTAGAAATTATGTTATCTTACCGCATATATACTGTTAACGGCAGCTAAAGAGTATTTTATTGATTTAAGGATTTTAGGGATCTTCATTTTCTTATCTAATTATTTACGTTAAGTAAAATTTTGTATTATACACTGAACTAGTAAACGTACTGATTCACTGTTGAGATGACTTTTATCAATCTAAAGATCATCAATATCTCTGTTATCTGACATGTTTTTTCATCTTATCTTAGTGGTTATTCTGAAAACCTATTGAATACTAAAAATATAGATCAGACCTCACTTCACTAATTATAATTTATCTGTCGTTGTAGGTCATGAAGAAAAATGGATGCGATGCGCCAGTGTAGTTTTTTGTACACATTTTCTGGGATTAGCTTTCCGCCATAAATTCCTAAATGATATAATTTCAAAATTAATGGATAAAAAAATATTCTTTCATATGGTAACATTCGAGTTAAATGGTGGAAATGTTGAATATATAGAATAGCAACACAGTTATTAAGTACTTTGCTGGAGGAAGAAGACGCTTGTTGCTGTCGCGCTTGTTTTAATTTAAACGCTACGATTTATTGGTAATATATCTTAATATTTAAATAATGTAACTACTGACTGTGATTGTTGTTTATTTTAATTTATTCATAAAATAAAAAGAGTTCTTTGTATTACGCAAAATTACGGAAGAATACAAGTTCGCCCATTCGAGTCAACAACGCAAATCAATGTTTTATATACTTATGACGAGTGCAAAGAACGGGATTAATTTTTCTCTTTTGTTTCAGATTATTGGTTTAAGAACATAAAGAAACTATCTATTAACATGGCAATCGGGGCAGGAATGTCGTGCGTTAAATATCTCCTTTTTTGCTTCAATCTTTTATTTGCGGTAAGCATTTCCTAGAATGGTTAGTCTTGAAGGTAGAATTCAAGAAATAAGTACACCCTTTTAATAATAGCTTATTCGGGTAGATTAATTATATACTTTTAAAAGTAAAATAAGCGCCCTGTATAAAAATATTTTATGTTTTCCTAAAAATTTATATCTGTTAAAGCTGTGAAACCAGGGTCATTTACTATACAGCTGCGATATATTATGAGTCATTAAGATTATTGCACCATTTTACTTGCTGGACTACATTTTACCTTAATGATCGTTCTTAACTTTAGAAAACTGGTTTATGAAACAAATTAAAACATACATTTTATTAAATCTCATAATTGTACACATTAATCATATATTAAAATTACATATCTATTTTCTTATTTTTTATTTAAGTAAATAATAATATGCTTTATTGTACACCAAAAAAGAAAAAAGTACAAAACTAAACAAAATATTTATCAAATATTGGTCATCAAAAGGCGACCTTATTGCTACACAAATATTTGATCTTTGCTCATTATGTTATGGTTTTTATTTGCTTACTTGGTAGTTCATTTTGTTTTATACATACATATTCGAAAAAATTTGTGAACATAAACATAATTTATAACTATTTTATAAACATAAATTATTGTTGATGTTAATAAAACGGAAATGTATTTATCATTGTACAGAATGTAAAATGGATGTTTTCAGTGATAAATATTGTACACTAGGTAATACATTTCATCACTATATACTATATGCACTACATATTATATTTAAAATGTTATTGATAGTGTTTTAAAAAAGCTATGCTAGTAAAAATAAAACCATGATATAACTACAATATTTTTTTAGATCACGGGATTTATTATCCTGATAGTCGGAATATGGGTTGAAGCCAGCTCTCATCCCTACATCGACCTAACAGATGAGAACTTCTACACATCTGGACCAATTGTGTTGATTATTGTTGGTGTGATTGTGTTTGTAGTAGCCTTCTTTGGCTGCTGCGGAGCTGTCAAGGAGAATCAGTGCATGATAGTGACGGTAAGAAAATTTTATGTTAGCTAAATTATAATTTATATATTAAAGTAACGGCTTATACATGTCCCACTGCTGGGCAAAGGCCTCCTCTGTACATAGGGTTAAGGGCATAGTCCACCATGGCCTCCTGGATTGGCGGACTTCACATATAGTCAAAATAAGAAGACATGCAGGTTTGCTCACAATGTTTTCCTTCACTGATGAGCATATCAAAAATGTATAATTTATGTATGCATTATAATTAGTGAAAGTGATAACATTTTAAAGGAATAAATTTTTTTATGGTATCTTCCCCAGGTTAAAACAGTTTTTTACGGTTCCTAAAACTCCAACAATATTTATTTTTAAACATAAAAATGTGTGTAAATTATTTTTTATGCTGAAAATTATAATGTGTTTGCACAATATAGCAACAAAGGATATTATTATTTATGGAATTTGGGGTCAGTGTCTGATAAAAACTTTGGTGTGAAAAAAATTAGTTAAATCAATATAAAAAAGTATTTTCACACACACTCATATATGCTAAAAACCAGTATAATGTACTACAAACATCAACAGCATAATTATTATTATAATAAAATAGTAAGCGCCTAAACTTTTCACTAGTTATTGTAATATTATTTTGAAGAATTTTACATTTATATGGATAAATAAAATTGAAGTGTCTGTTTGTAAGGTTCGAATAACCGCTGTTTACTAAATACATGGTACATATACCAAAATTACAATTTTTGTCTGTCTGTCTGTTTGTTCTGACTTATCTCTGAAACGGCTGGACCTATTTTGACGGGACATTCACTGGCAGATAGCTACTTTTAGTTTAGAAATTTTATTTATTGTTATAAATATATATAATATAATTCCACGCGGACGAAGTCGCGGGCTCAGTTAGTGTATTAATAAAACTCCATTCTGTTTATAAAAACCAATATAGAATATAAGAAGAAATTTTTATTTTTTGTTGATTTTTCTGTGCATAGATTTTCGCTTGTTCCCACTAACTTTAAAATGAGCAATAGAAAATAAATGTGAGATTCCGTCAGTATCTGCTTACATTTACAAATTTTTTGTCAAAGGTTTGACACAGTGTTCCTAGACATTACTTGTTTTTATAGTGCACCAACTGTTACTTCAGCTTCTGTCAATTAGTTAAATTTAAGAAACTATTGGAAACTAAGAGGTGTGTCATAATTCGTCCTGTGACATATTTCTCGACAAACAACACAGTCCGTTCCGAGCGAAATATTTCAATACTTTGTGCCAATTGCCCCCAGACCCGACTCGCGCCTAACCTTTGACACGCGCGCCTCTTCTCTAATCTGTCACTTCCTCCGCCATTTAATGCAGTTAACACGAGATTCTTTAATAAAAATCCACGATATCCTTCGTATGAGCAAGGCGGAAGTTAAAAATAATTACCTCTTCCTCCCTTATACAGTTACGTATTACGTAGACAGTAGTAAAAGACGTGAAAGTATACGTTTATGAGGTGTTAAATTAATTACAAGTACTGTATGTATCAAATTTAAAAAACCATTGATCAAAATGGCTATTTCTATTTGGCCTAACATTAAAATTAACATTGAAGTAGGCATCGCCTATGTCGCCAATGATAACCGACCAGCGCAATTTTTTAGTAACTTAATCCTGTTTTTGTTTACGCGGGAAGCTCTATCGTAATGTTTTCCTTTATTATTACGCGCTTTGAAGGAGCGGCCAGGTCAACAAATAACTGAAAGGACAACAATATTAACGACAATACACGAATATAAACAAAATCGTAACCCCTCATAAATATTCATAGTGTATTTAAAGGCTAAATTCTATAAATACCATTTTACCAGCATATAATTATTTCGTGTGTTCTTGTTATTTATCTTGATACGGTGACTCGGCAGCCTACAAACTAAACTTTATATAAATTAAATCGCGAACCAAGGAAGGTATTACAATCGTTACGAATGAAACTGATGCGACATGCCAGCTTTATTTACTTAATGGGAATGATATATAATCTTTGAAAAGTACTGAACATGTAAAATGATCGAATCTAATGGTTAAAACTAAATTAATACAACCCCATGTTGCATCTGCTTTAACGCTTCCAATGGCTTATCGGAACAATCCCGTAGGTATTACGATAACACCAGTTTTCAGAATTTTAAATTGTTAGTCGCTATAATCGATGATATAACCATTCATCCTTCCTTTAAAGCTTCTTGGGGTCAGAAGCATACTCTCTCAATACGTTCTTTAACTTAGCTGTTGCAAGGTTTGATAACCCTCGATATTGATTAATTCGTGACTAGGTGTAAACAATTTTTTTTATCTACTCTACCTTTTAACGCGTACCAGCTTTCTCTTTATATTGTTATTAAGTACAGTAGTGATCGTAACACCTCCATAAAAGTCGATTTGTCAGGCATGTAGACTTTAAAAAAAAACAACCAGATGCGAGTCGGACTTGCGCACGAAGGGTTCCGTACCATCTAATACCTTTAAACGAGCAATTCTTGTGTATATATATGTATATATATATCAGGGAATGAAGAATATCATTCGAATATGACGGTAAATAGCTCGGTCGGTAATCGGGCGGCCCTGAAACAGAAGGTGCGGTTCGTGTCACGATCATTTACAAGCTTATTTTTTTTTCTATACCATATTTCTTCTTCTTGATTTACCAAATAAAACCCGGCAAAGCTCTGTCCTCCAGGTACTTATCAATAAAAACGGCAAAAAACATCATGTCTGTTGTATGGGAGCTCTACTTAAATATTTTTTTTGTTCTTTATTTAGTATTTGTTGTTATAGCGGCAACAGAAATACATCATCTCCGAAAACTGCTTACCTATTGTGTTTCATGAGATACAGCTTGTTGACAGACGGACAATGGAGTCTTAGTAAAAGGGTCCCGTTTTATCATTTGGGTACGGAACTCTAACACAATTCTTTGCATGGATAGTTAAGTTCGTCCGGGGCTACGACCTCACAAGACCAACGTTAATAAAGAGTACTATACTATTGCGTGTTGTCTGGTAAGTGAGGTAACCGGAACCCATTGTTTATAAAGATGGCCAACGTATCTCAGTAATCTCTTAACATAAGATGAACCGTCTGTTCGGTCGCCAAATTGTCTCATGAGAAAAGTCCCATCCGTGGAAAATGACCTCACAATATCTTGAGGTCCTAATATTGTGCTTGGATATAATTTGTTCCTTTTAAATTCTGTCCCCATCTTCTTTGCCTCAGACCAGATCTCGCTGATAAATGACCAGGCTGTAGCTCTGACTGTTAAATTAAATGACTTTGATATGAACATTATTTCCCATTCGTTCATATTGACGACATGCCTAGAGGGAACAACGCTCGCGCCGACAAGTATCGTGAAACGCCTGATTTTATCATTGTACTATGCGCTGATTCAGTCTGCGGGAATAACACGATGAGGTCACGTGTTTGCGAGTTACGTAGCTCGCTTAGGGCTGTCGAGAAAACATCGACATGTCGACAAATCGATGCTTTTGATTTTATATATCGATATTTTCAGCCGATATATCTGGATCCGATAAATCGATACATAATATTCAATATCAAAAATCGATATTCTTTCAAATTCGAATCCGGCACAAAGTCCGCAGGTGTCAAACGTTTAATACTTGAGATACCTTTTTTTTTGGACGACGGGGTTTCTCGGACCTAAAGAGATATATCGAGGCCAATCTTATATATAAAAATGGATCGCTGTTCGTTAGTCTCGATAAAACTCAAGAACGGCTGGACCGATTTGGCTAATTTTGGTTTTGATATATTTGTGGCAGTCCAGCGAAGGTTTAAACGATGAGAAATTATGGAAAAAAAAAATTGCATGTAAAATCGAAATAGCAACAATTTTATATATCAACTATGTCTGTGTAACCTGTCAAACACTTTATGCGTGCGTTCCGATTCCTCTAGAAATAATAAATAATTTATATGGCGAAAGAACGTTTGCCGAGTCAGCTAGTTTTTAATAAATATCGATATATTTCTTCACTTTCGACATCCCTAGGCTCCATTGCCGCCAGCACTCCACTATTGCCGTCCGTTTGGTACGGCTATATATTTTTTTGCCAACAAGCCTTGGCTCCTTTTTCGATCGCAGCAATAACACGTTATGGAATAAGACACCGCTATTTGATTTTTTTTTTACCTTATCACAGTTAAAAGATTTTAATATTGCGTCAACGAACGATTTAATGGTCACTTGTCTGTTGTATGTAGCGGTGTTTTGCATCATATTCGTTACGGTAAACCAATCGAGATATCACTTTTAAACATAGCTGTAAATTAGTCGCCGAATTATCGACTCGTGAACACAAAATGTACTCGGCCCGGTTGGATTTTTGTTATGAAAATGTTCAACGTCACATTTTGAAACCGTTCCAAAATAACAAAGCAGCTTTGTTACAAACATCTCGTTGTTTAAATGTAAACAGGTTGCCGATGTATAATGACTGCGCGTTGAAAATTTGACCGCATTAAATTGCAATGACATTCACTTAGGTACGAAAATATTAAAATCATGCGTTAAATAATTTTATGAAGTTTCTGTTCTTTGCCTTAAACTATAATTATTAATTAGTGATCTTAAATCCGTGAAATAATTAATTAGAAACTGTGTCCTTAATTTTATAAGAAACTTGTATTTTTTTTTATTTGGAAACATATTTTATTTTAAACTATTTCACTTGATATCAATTTATCTCGTACAAATTTGGACTAGGACGAAGCAAAATTCAATATAATCATTTTATGCCACCCGACCGAACAAACATTCGCGGGGCTTCCCCGGGAAGGGAACGTATTTGTTACAGCGATTAACTTTTTATCATAAAATAACCTTTGATACCGTGAGTCATCATGACGTTTTGATGCCACTGCTAATATCTATACTATTAATTTTATATTTTATCTAGCTTTACGCCTCGCTCGCGTTAAAGCCCTTAAATAAATATCAAGATATTTTTAACCCTTTACAACACTTTTTTCCGATTAAAAAATAGCCTATGTACTTTCTCAGGCTCTAGACTATCTGTGTACAAAAATTCATAAAAATCGGTTCAATAGTTTTGGCGTGAAAGTGAGACAGACTTACTTTCAGAGTTACTTTCGCATTTATAATATTAGTATGGATTGTTAAGACATTACTTCGTATGATTGACCAAATCAACATCGTTGTATCAAACCTTAATTTTAGTATTACAGTGGGATTTCATATAATAAAAGTTAAGTGAAAGATAATAATAACAAATATTTTAGGACACATTTTTACACAACGTTCTCTAGTCCCAAAGTAAGCAACGCTTGTACTATGTCTACTAGATAACTGATGAACATACTTTTCTTTTGTAAATAAATATTATACATATATAAACACCCAGACACTAGAAAAACACTATGTTCATTACGCAATATTTTTCCAGTTGTGGGGATCGAACCCACACCCTCTGGCGCAGGAGGCAGGTATAATAGGTACTGCCCACTACGCCATTCGGGTCGTCAAACATTTTTACAACCTATTCCACAGTTCTCCGTATTCCTGCTGATCATCTTCATAGCCGAGCTGGCGGTGGGCATCGCCGGCTACGTGAAACACCAAGACCTGGAGACGTCTATAGTGCGCCACTTGAACTCTACAATAAAAGACTACCCCACCAACAAGGACGTGCAGGCAACATTCGACATTCTACAAACTGATGTGAGTTTCTTTTTTTAAAAACGCAATTGATAGACATTAAGAGATACCAACAGCATGAATAGCAATTAACTTTTTTTTTTCATTCTTATCGAACGCGAAAATAAAGAGTATAAATAAAAGTCGGAATATAACGAAAAGACGAAAGTTTTATTGTTTGACATTCTTCATTCGAGTTGATTGTTATGTTCAGTCGACCCGTTTATAAATAAAAAACGATGTTACCGCAGCTTCGCCGGCGGCGTGGGGAGGGTGAGGTGACTAATTTTTACGAATGAACTATGTTTATTTCAATCTGTTTGGATTCGTTACGAGAGGAGTCTTTTGCGTAATTAATAGGCATTTTATAAAATTTTTAACAAAAAACAAACTACTTCAAACAGGAAACTAAAAACATTGTGAACACCTATAACATTTGAGGATTGCCCTCAGTTTTTCTGGGATGCCATCATCAGATCCGGGTTTCCTTATCCATACCCCCTCACTCATATCACACCCTTGGGATATCTCCTTTCCAACACAAAAAGAATCCTCAAAATCTGCTGACGAAGTTATCCGGGAACACACATAAAAATACAATATACAGTCGAAACCTTTTTTTGAAGTCGGTTAAAAAATGCGCTTCACGACACTTTGAAATGTACAATTGCCTGCTATCATTTATTCATGTATGTATTACGTAGAACTTTAATATGACGGATTGAGGTCAAACGAAAATAGTTTGATAAATACACACCAAACAAATAACAGCAGCAAGTGGCGCCCCATAATTCGCTGAAGATAGATTTTGTTATTCAAAAGCTGTCGGCGAACATTTATTGTGCCACGGATAGGATTGCCAACACAAAGTTTCTAGGTTTATAAATATATCAAAGGACAAATTATCACATAAGATAAAAAAGGGATAAATTTGGAAAATAAAGTATTTTCACATAATTTGTCTTTATACAAAAGTATAAAGTGTATTTACCTAAAATAAAGTAAGATACGTTATTATACAGTATCGTTGGCAACCCTAGCCACGGATAAAGTCCGACACGCGCTAGACATGTTTCTATTTTCATCCGGTTGGGAAGAAAGCAGGTTTAGAGTCATCAGGTTTAATTATTTTGTAATTTATTCTAGCTTGCCCAGACTTCGAACGGACGGATAAATCTAATTATATATTCAAGAATCTAATTATAAATATAATAAATCGTTGATTAGATAAATCACGAAACGAGACATGATCTGACTCCAAATTTTTATTAGTAATGGAAATTATAGTTCACTTTTTCCAGATAATGTCATTACTGACACAAATTTAATCTTAAATTATCACGTTATGAAACTATTATGCGCCGCCTAGGTCATAGTGCTTTTAATGCGCGGAGTGCAATCTCGGTGTATCTGTGGAAAGTTATCGTATGTTGTTATATTGACTCGACCCACCGCCTCTGTCTCTCTTACTGAACACGATCAAATCTTAAAACTACTGAGCAATTTTCATATAGCTAGTATTCGGGTTTCAATTTGGGGTTGCTAGTATATCTTAATGATATAAAAGGTTACAGCTGCTAAATAATTTAATTTGGGGTTTCAATTTGGAGTTGCTAGTATATCTTAATGATATTGTTATGAACACACAAAGGAACTAACGCCATCTAGCGTCAACTATTAAAATAATATAAAAGAGTCAGCAGGTCTTTCTCTCCAAATCCTTCGAACCCCTAACACGTAACATTATAAATATAAGTGAAGGGTTTTATTTTTCTCGATCCGTTCCTTAAAACTGTTGGATTGTCAACTTCGTTGTTCCACGCAGTGTCAAAAAACTGACAAAAAGGGTTTTCCTCTATTAAAAAAAAAAACAAAAACCAAAAAAGAAAGCACACAAAAAAAAATTTGCTTATACACAATAAATAAACAAAACAAAATAAATACATAATTAAAATATAAAACTGAAGAAAAATTAAAACGAACGAAAAATAACTACAATTTGAAACGAAAAAAGAAAAACAAGCGAGTTGTTTTTAACTAATTATTCGTTCGACTTCTGCAATTGTTTAACAGTTGCAATGCTGCGGGATCTACGGCCCCGGGGACTGGAAGAACAACTCTTTGCCGATACCGGACACGTGCTGCGCTGGCCAGGAGATAATGGACGGTGCCCCCGCGCCCTGCACCCCTGATTCGCCCGGATTCCACACCCTGGGCTGCCTCGGCAAGCTGGTGCCGTTCTTCAACCACATGGCCATATTGCTAGGCGGCGTAGGACTCGGCATAGCTATGGTGCAGGTCAGTACTAACACGAGTCTCAACATTTTTTTTAATGTGATAAAGTAGCAAACGTGCCGGCATTTCACCTGATGTTAAGTGACAAGCGCCTCCTATGGACATTTGCAACACCCTTAAGGTTGCAGATTTGTTGCCACCTTCTAATAAAGGGGGGCCCCCGGTTACCTCACTCACCAGACGAAACGCAGAAGTAAGACACTTCCACATCACACGCCGGTGTCCTGTGAGGTCGTGGTACTTACCCGGGTGGATCTGCCCGTTCCTGCGACAGCCGAAGCCAGTTTCAACACTCGTTGGTCTTGTTGATTGAAACGAGCAATAAAGACAATGAGGCAATCATTCTGGTCAGGCGCAATTCGCGTACTTAATCCACCGCCAGTGCACATATATAGAACTGACCAAATAAGAATCGTCCACTTTCTTTTCTATCCGGTTTAACTGTTCCTCTCGATGGGTTAGTTAACGGCCGTCCATGAGTTCCGCAACCTCGAGAGAGGGACTTAGATACGCGGGACCCACCGCCGGGGGTCCCGCCGGATAACACTACACCCACAGTTAGTGCAACAACAAACACACTAGTTCGCCCTCGCCTCCGAGCACGGCGAGACCAACACAACGCGTACACAAGGTACACCCGCGTTCCGGGGCGGTTCTCACCGCCCCCAGCCACCGATTAGCTAATTGCACAGTCGACGGCCATCGGGGTTTCGGACCGAATCGCGACCTCGATGGCCCTTAGATGACACACCATAGTTAAACGCACGCATGAGCACATGCGTGGCCCTACCCACAGCGGAGGGCGCAAACCCGTGGGTTCTGGCTAGCCCACCGGTTCTGCGTCAGATGAAGCCTTAATAGTCTCGGGACTGAAAGCACAAACATCAGTTAATACAAGATACCTCGAGAGTGGGTCACCTCACATTGGAGCCAACACGAAAATTTATATTCCACCGTACATCCAGAACTTTACGTCATCCTCTTCCAAGCTGAGCCTGTCATGCTACTTGCATTTACAGTATTATTGTGCTTCGATAGTTGTCGTAGAAAAGAGTCATAAAATAAATAGAGCGATTTTAGATCTCTTGGTGATCATAGGGGCAACGCCACTACATTATTCCGATGTGTCTGAAGTGCACTTACCGTTCATCTTTTATAACGAGAAGCAACTGGGTCGATGGCCAGCACTCGACTCTGTCAACCCAGCCTCGAGCGCTCTTTATAAAGGCCCATTTACACGATGCCATTTTCTTGTACATACAAGAGCAATAATTGAATGCAATAAATTGCGCGCAATAATTGTTTAGACCATTTGTTGTTTAGACCATGCAACTCATTTATTGCTTCAATTTAATTGTATACAACAGGCAAGAAACTGGCACCATGTAAATGGGCCTTAAACTGAGCTACCGTATTCAATTTGCCTTTAAACAATACACTTGTTATTTTTAAACAATGCCCAAACTTTTTTTATGTGAAAGTTTGAAATCGAGCAGGCGGTTATACCCATGTTTATGAATCGCATTACCAATCTTCAAGAACAGTGGTCCACGATTAGGGTAACCTCACTCACTAGGCAATAACAAAGTGAAAATTCGTTTTGCTGTGGCACTGTTGCAATTAACTTGAATACTTTTGAAGCCAATTAATAAAGTCATAGCTCTCTAAGGAAAAACCTTTCACCGAACTAATAAAAGTCAAAATATGACTGATAGTACTGGACACAAACTTAAGGGCGATATAAAATGCTCGCATGAAATCCAAGTATGTATCCAATGGGATTAGAAAAGTCAATGTAAAATTATCCATGATGTAGTGTAATTTAAACTACAGTTACAGAAGTAATTAACAAATAAAGATTTCACATTAAAATACACCCTACATGGTGTTGTTAACACGATCCCTTACATTAGAACTGTAAATACAGCGTGTCGTTACCACCGCGACAATAAATGAACACACATATAGAGAATAACTTGTTTAAATTGTATTAAGCATTTACATTCTTTAAACATCAATATTTATCGAGTTATAAAATTTTACAAAACAAAAATTTTTAGAACACCTTACGTATAAAACTGTAACGTAAAGTTCATTTGTAAAGGTCACAAAGCATATACCATACTGTTAGAAGGAGAGACTTGTAATGCGACGTTGTGGCAAGGAATGAAAACGTCTCTGGATGTATGAATTAGTCAGTTGCAGTTATACAGGTGTCCAAATTTTGTTTTTTTAATTAAACTAGTTTGAAAAATATATTTTTTATATTATGGATTTTTTAGTGTTTTATATTTTTAATGATTATTAGCATGTAACGTTAGACGTGTGTTCATTTATTGTCGCGTTTGTAACGACACCGCTGTATATGTCTAACCGATATATTTTTTTTTGGAATTGCCACCGGGTAGCAAACTTGAGCAAAAAGCTGCACAGTGAGGCATATTTTCGCGCATGTCCACTTTAGATCAACCGATCGCTTTCGCTTGCGCATTCAATATTCATCATTTTTCAAATAATCTGAAGAATATTCAGGTAGTGCCAAACAAATTCACCCGCATTACAATCGTTGCAAGGCGTTATCAAAGACACGTTGACCTACACGATGATAGCAGACTCGCGACGTCACAGGCTGTCGCTTTAAAAGCGATAACAGTACGGTTCTTGGAGGGCCAAAACTCATCCCAATCATCGGTAAATGAAGCAAATTACCATAAGAAGCCCAAAGCCACTGCTCGAGTACATATACAGCTCAAAGTCCTCATCTACCTAGTCTAGAAGAGGACAGTCTAGAGAAGGAGTCTAGGAGTTTTTTTTGGACACTCGGATTCAGACCAACAAAACAACACACCTAACTTTAACTTTCAACACGCCGTTGTTCGTCCTCACCTAAGGGCGCGGAAACTATCGCTTACATAAGGTAAGGTACTTCCGCAACTCGGGGTGATTCTCAATGTTCTAACACAGTCATTTGCCCCTAGGTAACAATCCGTTCATATTGTTACAGAGCACATTGACTAGGGTCTATCAAACTCATAGTAACCTACACTTTTCGCAAGCTCTGTGCCCTTTAAAGCATTGTAGTACACACCTAAGGGGGGATCAATCCATCAATTAAAAAACATAATTTCCATCACTAATTAATAATATCCTCTTGTTTCAGCTTCTTGGTGTAATGTTCGCTTGCTGCCTCGCCCGCTCTATCCGCAGCCAGTATGAGACGGTATAAGGTCACAGACTGTGGGCAGTTTTCTTCTTCTTTATTCTATTTGCATATGCAATATCCACATTTACCACTATTTTATTTATAATTGTGATTTAAATATAAGTGTCTCAATATGTATAAGATATATTGTTAGTTCAGCTTATTTTTGTTATGATAATTTATATTTTATTACAGTTCAATATAAGCAAGAATATTTTTACAGTCATCTCTCATCTGTTTAATTTGTGACTGCTAATTCTGGTGTACTTTTAATTGGTGCAATATATCATTTTATGTTAAACAAATAATTGCAGATCTCATCATTTTTTATAATATCTTTCATATAATGGAAAAAATTGAAAAATACGTATTTTATATTTTTGTAACAAATGTAGAATTTCTTAAAATATTTTCAAACTTAATTCGTAAATTATGATATCTCATTTAGTACATATTAAATAACATCATCTCTATGGATTTTCTCGCTAATTTAATTTTTGATAGTATGAAAAGTTATTGAAAATACGAAGATTGCGTTTTAAAAATAATTTTATATCAAAAAAAATATGTAAAATAACACTGAATAAGGAAATTTCAAATATACATACTTAAATACAAAATTGCCCTGCAAAAATCCAAAGCATAACAAATAAAATATGCTCATCGTAGAGAAGACTGATTTTGAAATAATAAATTATTAAAATTGCCAAATTTTTATGACATCATACATTCTACTTTGTATTTTTTTCTCAAATCTAAATATTTAATGTATTTGTAGGAAAAAAGTGTATTCTCTCATAATTATAGTCATTGTAGTGGTGCACATTTTCTTAAATTAAATGTAATTTCACTTTGTTTGATTTTTCTATGTCAAACAAATGTATTAGAATTGTAGCATTTTTAAAGTGTTTCAAGGTATGTATGTTTATAATAAAAAAAATATTAATGTCTTCCATTTTCTTTTAATCACAAGGTCCTATGAATACAATGAAACAGCATTTAGTGTCCTAGTTACACACATTTTTATTTCCCTATTTTATACCATTATACAAATTTTAACAAAAGATGGTTATAAAGGGCGAAGAGTTTACAATTATCGAGTTTTAAGGAACATCAGTCGCTTCGAGTACAGCGTTTGTCTTGCAAGCAACACATTTCGAGTCTCGGTAGAAGAGAAAAATTAAAAAAAAATCACATTCGACAAAATATATCCCATTCCCGTATACGCCGCATTAGTAAAACTTCTACACCTGTATGTCACGGCATCTGAACTTCACAGCACCAGTTTCACTAACAAAATCGCAGATTCCTTTCCACACGGATATCCTCAAAACAATATACACGCGACATACATACATACACTTTGCTAAATTATTAAACAGCTAAATTTCAATACTTTAAGATTTAGGGTTAAGACATACATTACCTATGCAATGAAATAACTTAAGTCTAAAAACTGTAATAAGTTTGTAGACAGAATATTTCTACTGAAAGACAAGTTAGAATTTGATCGCATTGAGGCACACTTTATGGGTTTTGGCACACAATTAGGTGCATTCATCCATACTATTTAAGTTAGTTCCTAGATTATGCGAATTGCCATGATATGTTTTTGAGGTGTGATAAAAAAACTGTATTTCTGTACTCATTAAATATATGTATTTAAAACTTTTTAAATCAGAAATATAATAATAAATATATTTGAATTTTTACTTTAGGATTCAAAATAATAGTATTTTATAGTAAGTCAGAAATATTAATGATGGATTTCTTTAACTTTTCCCATAATATAAATAGCCTAAAATATTTTAACACCTATTAAAAATTAAAGAGCAAAGCTGCATTAATTTACATTGCCCAATGATTAATTTAAATGTAAAAAAGTTACAGATTAAGTATTTCTTCATACAAAGGTTGGGGAAATTTGTTCACCTCAATTAGTATTGGACTAGATGACCCTTTTAATTAAAAAAATATTGAAGGGTAGACGTCAGAATGGTTGAATTTCATGTTGGCCCACAACTTCCAGTGACAGAGCCAATACCTTGGCAACTATGTCATAGTTTTCCACCTAATCGTAAGTAATGTTGTTTTAGGTGGTGTAAGTGCAGACAGGAAAACAGATGAAATAAATTTCACTTGTTCTGTATGCATTAAAAATTAGGAAGTACACCTCTTAATTGAAATGCGTGGAAAGTAGATTACAATTTGTATTTTGTCACTTATCCAATTAATATGCCTCTTTCGTAATACTTGTAATACTGTAAAAGTAACGTAATTTATTCATGTTTTTTTATGCATAAAAATGTTTTACTTAGTTTAACATAGGAAGAAAATTTCGAATTCAAAATATCTTTATTCTAATAGACACTTTAGAAATATAAGGTTCCTGTTAAATTAACTTTTAAATGATTTTATCAGGAATAATTATATAAAATAATAAATAAATAAATATTAATTACCAGTTTTCCAGTGTCTAGTAATTTGCTTGTGTACTTTAAATTGTAGATATTGTGCAATGAAAAAAAATGTACATTTAAGTTGCATTGTCTAGCTGGGCCCCAGTTACATCACTTACCACAAATTGCAACAGTATAAGCCTTAGAGGCACTAACTTTAGCCTACCCAATTATGAAAATGAAGCTACCTCACTACACGCTATAGAATAGTATCATAAAATGTTTAGAGATTTGATTGCAATAGGCTATTTATAATAACTCTTACCAGGATTGCAGTCAGTCAATAGTGAGCATATTGATAGTAGGACTTTAGATATTGTAAGCGCTGGTGACCAGTTGTCTTTGAGTATGTCTAAGCATATAACACCCTGGCTGTTGATGTTGCAGTGGTATATCCTGGTGCGAAAGGTCACCTGTAATAAAAATACTGAAATTAATAACAGATACCAAATAAACACTTCTCATAATAATTACCTTAAAATAACGAATATAGAAAATACTAAACCAAAATTAATAAAATTAGAAAAATCATAGGAATTGTTGCTCTACAGATATGAATGTTGTGTATAAAGTTAGCATAGTTATAAAGGTATTCAGTAGAATCTATTTGATGATAATTATCTCAAGACACATAAAGATCAGCACAAATCACACAAGATCAGTACAAATAAAATATAATAGATTTAAATGTTGAATAAACTACAAATTGAGGTGACAAAACTCAATATTAACAATTATATCTGTATATAATATTTAAATTTAAGTGATAATGGGTTGGCTAATATTCGAGAAACATATTTTGTAGTTTTTTGGAGAACATATTAATGATATATATTAATAAATTAAATTAAAAAACATATATTAATAAAAACTAACAAACAACTTAATAAAAAACATTGAAAGAATGTTTTTTTGACATTGATTGATTGATTTATTGCTAGCATATTTTTAACATAATTCATTTACCTTAGGTGGCTTGAAAGGATATTCTGGTGAAAAATGTATATCAAGGAAGAAAACGCCACCCTCATACACTGATCCTGGTGGCCCAAGGATTGTAGAAACCCATTCATAGAGATTATCCCCTTTTGGTCCAGCACTGCAGTTAGGTGGTGGATCAAGTGTGATTTCAGCTAACTCTTTCTGAATTCTTTTGGCTGAAGTGCCCAGTGCCTTTGACATCTTAGGGTTTGGTTTGTTCTCTTTAGAATCTGGTTTGTTGTCTGAAAGTGCTCTACTGGGGCTTGCACCACCTCGTCCTCGACCTGTGCCACTTCCTGATGAACCAGATGCACCTAGTACAGCATTCAAAAAACATGCATGACTATTTTGGCAAACATCAAATTCCAAGAACAAAGACATTACCAATAAATACTTGAAAAGTGTGATGTAGCAATAAAAAAATTAAATATGAGAAATGCTTACTAATTTAAACACTTCTTGGTGAAATAAACGGCTACAGTATATAAAAAATGCATAGAAAAGTTTATTTTGTACCTTACGAATAACAGTCGGCCATCTTGTGGGCTGGCGTTATCCGATAATTTACAATTGGCCTCACCAGGATACAAAACCAATAAAAAGACTTCTCCAAAAACACAATAGAAATTATGGATAGAAATGCACTTCGAATTAGAACAAATTCCGTGTTACTCTACAAATATGTCGCTCCAAGATAAATGCTCCGAACTGCAAAGCGCAAACAGGCAGCTTGTTACTTTCCCATGAGTTGACATAAAATATATCAGTATCGGTAAGAAATATTAATAACTTTATACCTAGATGAAATCAAAGAAGTTTCATTAACGATATCAGAACTTAAGATAATGCCACTATCCACTTCTAACACATTTCATCCATTTGTACATCACCTTCACCAACACAACAGCCACTGAAATTAAACGATGGAAACAAAGTTAAATATACAAAGAAAACGTCGAAGCAACTACTTATAGTTTATTATTATTACTTACGGATAATAAATATAAAAAAATTAGGATAGCTTCATGGAAAACTAAGTGATATATGGATTAAAATAAATTCACGCTGCACAACCACTTTCCGACATGTTTATAAAAAAACCGGTGTGTTGCCAGCATAAACAATTGTTTAATAACAATCACATAACGCACATATGTTTAATGTGTATTTAATAAAAATAATTTATGTCCAATTTTAAGAAACTAGTTAATTCCTATAGGATTATGTAATATAGATGATTTCAAGAATAAGATAAATATTAAAATCTCACCTTAACAAAATCAAAGAGATAGCTCATTCTATTCAAGTTAGAAGTCTTAGTAGGAGGAATGCTTACTACTACTACTCGTTACGGGTGAAGTCATCGCGAAGGCAAACGACAAAGGCTAGCATAATGGCTTAATTTACAACAAAGTACGCTCCCTGGGAGTTCCAGACAAATTCGTGAAAATCTTACGAGACTACTCTTCAATGTCGACGATTCGCGACCTGCACACGATACCTACGCCTCTCAAATGGCTCAGACTGCATTTGAATCGCGTACATCGTATTGTTCATTTTATTTGTAGTGATTCTGCATTCCGTAAATTGGTTTATTAAGGAATGTAGAGGTTTTTACATAAATAATTTAAAAAAAAGTGTGTGTGTACCTATGTACACGCGTTACAAGTTATACTTCTTTGGCGTAACAAGATAAAAATCTTTTCAAAAATTTTACTTTTTGCCTTATTCTATGTTTGTAGAAAAAACGACACTCTCTTTTCTCTTCTTAGTCGTTTCCTCACTGCTGAGGATCGTGACTCTTATTTAATTGGTCAACGAGCTGTCTCCATCGGTTTCGCTCCGTCGTCTGGTGGAGTGCGGCGCTTATGGGGATTTCCAGGTTTTTTGAAATTTGATCAGCCCACCTTTTAGAAGTACGGCCTCTAGGTCTTTTACCCTCTATTTTTCCCGTCACTATCAAACGCTCAAGGTTATCTGTTCCTCTGCGTGCAATATGGCCAAACTATCGCACTATGCGTTGTAAGCAGATTGTGTGCAGACTCTGAGTATTTTCTATTCTAAGTTGCTTTAAAATAGAGATGTTTGTGCGATGGGCCGTCCATGGTATTCTTAGCATACGGCGCCAACACCACATTTCAAGGGCGTTTATTCTTTGTATGTCTGCGGCCTTGAAAGTCCATGTCTCTGCGCCGTATAAAGCGACGGGAAAGACAAGTGTGCGAACCAGGTGTATTTTAGTCCGATTGCTGATATTTCTGTCTCTCTATACTTTGCTCAATTGAGTCAGTGCCGTTTTTGCCATCCCTATTCGTCTACGTATTTCTGGCTCGCATTGGCCAGCCGCAAAAACGACACTAACAATAGAAAAAAGGTAATTAATACATTGAAAGTTTTACTATAACGCATTATCTAGTTAAATAAAGTTTATTTCAATATCACAAAATAAATATCGTGAATACAGTTGTCAGTTCTCATGGAAGCTTACGTAGATGTCTAGCTAACTTCAGAGTGTCGGTTTTTCGTGACGGTGTGCGCGCGCATCGTAAAAATTTACTCTCATCATTTTTCCCTAACGCGTCAAAAGAAGTATAACTCAATCAAAAAAAAATAAGACCGCAGATTTTCTTGCTGGTTCTTCTCTAGTAGGTCTTGTTTAGTGAACTGGTGATAGTTTTTAACGTTCAATAAGAGTTTAAAATAAGCTCAGGTTGAATAAAGAAATTTTGACTTTGCCTTTGAAGGAGAACCAAGACGGTGACATGGGAGAATAGTTTAAAAAGGGTCCATTCCATTCGTAATTCCCTATGCAGTAAATAACAGTTCAAAAACTCTCCACAACAACGCTAGAGGGCATGAACTGAGCTTAGCATTTGTCGCTAGAGTAGTGTGCTGGCTGAGTTGAGGAATTTAATATTTGTGATGACTAGGGTTTAGAAAGAAGTTTTTTGTTGTGTTATTGTTGTGCAAAAATTTTTTCTGCGAATTGATTATTTCCCTAAATAATTTTATTTGTTTCATTTTTCGTAACCAATCGTTGTACGTTTAGTTTTTACGTGATTAAATCGCAATTTTAATATTATTAGTTCCTCTGGATAGGCTCGATCATAAATGCCGACCCAATTCGAATCTCCATCTGAGATGCCCTTGGATCGTGCCTCCATAGTCGAATTGTCCATTTTTGTTAAAATCGGCACTATCGGCAGAGTGTGAACACTTCATGAAGAAAAAAACCTATAAATGTGAACTGTCAAAGTCACTCTTGTCAATTGTCAGGCATTACAAGTTATCAATATTGTTGAATGAAACAAGAACACTAATCTCAACTAATCTAATTACGAAGTTACGAACGTCGTACTTTTGAAAAGTACCTAAATTGATATTATTATACATACTCTTAATCTAAAAGACAGTCAGCGAAGTAATAAAAATGGGCAAAAGGCAGCATCAAAAAGATAAAATGTAATTATTTTGTTAAAATTTATGGATTTTTTTATTTGTGATTGAAATGTGTTTATCATGTATGGGTATCTAACATACATCATATTACAGGTATCTAACATACACTGAGTGGACCACCTTGTATGGAGGAAAACGGTCTGGCACAGCTATTGAAGAAGATACAACTTTTAAAAGGCTTCCCTATGATCATTGCTGTCTGTGTCTGCAACCTTTCGAAGATCCCTTTTGTGATGGTGACGGCAATATATTTGAATGTGAAGCAATAATTGCATTCATTAAAAAATTTAATGTTAATCCTGTCACTGGAAAGGTATTGTGCTACAGTTGAAAAATTAAAAGCATAAGTGAACAACTTAAGCATAAGTTTACATAAACTTCAAATTGTGTCCCTCTTCATGTCATACTTTTGTCATTACAGAAATTTGATGTTAAGGCACTGCTGAAGTTAAAGTTTCATAAAAATGCAGAAGATCAGTATCACTGTCCAGTTCTTTTTAAGCTGTTCACAAAAAATTCACATATTGTGGCAATTCGTACTACTGGAAATGTGTACTCATATGAGGCTGTGGAACAGCTCAATATTAAAACCAAAAACTGGAAGGACCTCATAGATGATACACCATTCACCAGAAGTGATATCATAACAATACAAGATCCAAACAATCTAAACAAGTTCAACATTTCAAATTTTCATCATATTAAAAATAACTTAAGGGTCGAAACAGAGGGTATTACTTTTTCTTATATTTTATTAAATAAAAAAATTAAAACACTTCCAATCACAATTATTTAAAATCATAAAGATTCTTAAAACATAAAGTGGATAAAAAAAAGTTAATATTATTAAATTAGTATTAATTTGTTACAGAGGAAATTGCAATGAGGAATGACCCTCATGCTAGATTAAAAACTGTATCTGCTGAGACAAAGGATATACTGGAAGAACTTGAAAGGGAGTATAAAGCACCAGAAGCAAAAGAAAATAAAAAGGAGGCTAGTATAACGAAAATTTCCACTTTGTTCCAAATTAGGGCAACTTTTCATGACCTTATTTAATCCTGTTTTCATATTCATCAACATCAAGTATTTTTCTTTTTGTCTATGAAATGAGGCAGTTTTTCTTTGTTATTCCCTCACTAATGAGGATTGTGACCATATATTATGTGTCCATGTGCTTCTGTCCAGTCTCCCATGTTTCTATTCTCTCATTTGTTGGACTTCGGCCTGATCTGTCCCACAATCAACTACTTCTCCAACTCATGCATATGTGATCACATTTATTTCCAAAGAATCTTAGTTGACATTCTCGGCATATAGAGTTAAGTCATTTTTTGATATAGAGCTCATGTAAAATTGATTCATTTGTCCTCATAGCTTTCAATGGTATCTTATTTAGCATACTTATTATGCTTATTTAACAATTGTCTTCAAATTTCAAAAGCGCTTATTTTGCTTATATCTTAACTTTTAAGGCACCCGGTTTCAGTTTATATTGATGGCCTGTTATGTCTTGGTAACAAGTGTTGTTATAATTTTCACAAAATAAGTGTTTTCACATGAATATTTTAAGAAATGGAAAAACTGGAATATCTATAGGATACTTTCCACTTAGCCAAGTACAATGATAGATTTTAAATTGTTAGATATCATTATGTAAGTACATTGTAGGTTGCTGATAAGTTCAATGCGGCTCATTACTCTACCGGCATGGTGGCTGCTAGTTTCACGTCCACTGCAATGGTACCAGAGACAGTGCATGAGGCTGCCATAATTTGTGAAGATGAGGTCAAATATGAGCGAGTGAAGAAAAAAGGTACATTCACTTGTACTGTACTTCCACAGTGAAATAAGATTTCCTGTCAGTTTATGTTGCATTATATTCTTATAAACCCTAACTGTGCAGAGTAGAGCTGTGCAGTGGCTCCTGCTATTGATGGAATAGTCTACCTTTATAAATCCACTGTGTACAAGTGGAAAGTAAATTTTTGTAATTTCAAAAGAACTGTTTGAATGATTGGCAATACAATTACAACTCCATGGGTTGTAATGTAATTGTTCATCACCTGTGTTAAACTCATTATGGTACATGAAACGCCTACTTGTTTTCAAGTTTTTCTAATAAAAAAAGTTCAAAGAAGGTTCCTACATTTGGCAGGAGTCTAAATAGGTGGTCTATTTAGACTCCTGCCAAATGTAGGTTACTGGGATTCAAAACCGCAACCTCAATTCACAAGTACACATTTGAGACATTTCATCATATCTATAATAATGAATAATCATTTATATTATGTAGTTCTTATCCAACAGGATATGTCCGATTGGTAACAAACTTGGGACCTTTAAATTTGGAGCTCTACTGTGATTTGACCCCAAAAGCTGCCGATAATTTCATAAAGCACTGTTACAGTGGCTACTACAATGGAACAAAATTTCACAGATCTATAAGGAATTTCATGGTACATGTTATTTATTATATTTCAATGAATATTTTGTTTTGCTAGTGCCTACTTACTATGCTACAAATAATTAATAAATTCATTAAATTTCAAAATTTTATCTCATCAATCTCTTTAATCAGAAAATAATTATTTGAATGGCAGTCTAGAAATATATTATAATTATCATCAATTTATACAGGGAGGCTTTTCTAAGTGTATCCATTTTTTTTAATTAAATTCTAGACATAAGTAATGTTATAATGGAATGGCAATTTTTTGAAAAAAAAAAGTTTTTTTTTTTTCAATAAACGATTATACTACCGAGTCTGAACCTCCTGTGTGAATTTGGGCAACCTTTAAAAAAGCCAACCTGTATGTATGTTGACTACTTCAGTGAAGTTGCTAAGGTCTGCTGAAATCAATAGCCGTGGGATGATTTTAGGTTTCATTATGTATTTTATTGATAATTGTGGGTATTTGGTGTTATCATATATGATTCTTATGCTAAATGTCCTGAACACTGTAATTTATGAGCATATAAACCCTTTTTCTCAATGCAATAAAAACAAAATAAATCATATTGTATTGAGCAAACCTTTACCTAGTATTCAAAAAACAAACTTACTCAATGTCTTAAAATCTTTCTGGTTCTGTTGTTCAAGAAGTTGACATGTTTATATCTTTGTAAGTCATTGAGTAAAAGTAAACAATATTAAGACATATACTTTAAACAGATACAAGGTGGGGATCCAACTGGAACAGGTCTCGGTGGAGAGTCCATTTGGAAGAAACCATTTGAAGATGAGATCAGGCCCAACTTACATCATACTGGCCGAGGTGTGTTATCTATGGCCAACTCTGGGCCTAATACAAACGGATCCCAATTGTAAGTTGACGCCATTAACAATATGTTTTATTATGAATATGAACCTTTCCATCCCTGATTGAAATTGCCTTCAATAAATGCTAGGGACACTATTTGGTTATTGTAAAAATCTCCGAAAGTTTATGACATGACTATGCCGCATACCTGATTATTTACATTCAAAATAAATGTATGTTAGGAAAATGCTAAAACTGTTACTATTGCAGCACATGTATACTGTTTTACTCATTGAAAGTACTGCTGGAAGAGATTGACATAAATTAATTTTATTATTGCAGCTTCATTACATTTCGCTCTTGTAAACAACTAGATGGCAAGCATACAATATTTGGTAAACTTGTTGGTGGCCTGGATACCCTGAATGCTATAGAACAGATTGAAGTGGATAATAGAGACAGACCCATTCAGGATATTGTTATTGAAGTTGCTCAAGTATTTGTGGACCCATTTATTGAAGCTGAAGAGCAGGTAATAATAATAAGCGAAAATTTATTAGAAAAAATGTTTATTTCAATATGAGATACGAGATTAGGTTGACTTTGACACCAACTCACTATTTTAAGTTGTGAGATCAAAGGGTATTAAGCATTTTTATGTTTAATAACTATCTCACATATGCTTTATTACTACTATGCTGGTCTTGTTACAGTTCTTCTTGTGGTATTTTTTTAGGATTAATTTTTAGTGCACTAAAGATGAAACTTTAGATTGTCATTTTTTTTAGATAAATGAACGAAAACTTCGGCCGATCTACCACTTAGCTTAGTTGACGGGAGAAAAAAAGGTTCGAATCCCGTGGCGCCAAAAGTTTTTGTCCATTTATCTACTTTAAAATATTATATAGCTCTTTAGTAAAAGATTTCTATCATCATACATTATAAAATAACTTAAACTATTTTCTTAACAGTTGGTGGCTGAAAGAGCTGAAGAGTTAAAAAGAAAAGCTGAAGCTGATAGACCCAGTACAAATTTAAAAAAAGCAAATAAACAACCTCTTAAAATATTCAGAGAGGGTGTTGGTAAATACTTGAACTTGCAAGAGCATTCAACAGGCACAAAAAGCACAAAACCACAGGAATTTCCTGCTAAAAAACCTAAGAAAGATAGCGATTATAAATTTGGAAGTTTTGAGTCATGGTAACTTAAGTCAAAACTTCCTTATAATTATGTAATTGTATTAAAGAAACAAGGTCAATTTTGGAGTTGATTTATTGAGTACCACCTAATTACATATCAAATTTAATAATTAATTAATTATTTCAATAAGGCAGCTTTCACATCAAAACTGTCCATTGTTAACTACTTTTTATATTACATTCTATTATAAATTTTGCAGCAATATAATCTTAATTACCTTAATGCATTAAATTACCTAGCTTCAAAAATTTTCAATCCATTTTTATATTATACAAACAATTAATAAAAATTAAGTTATTATTTATATTTTAAATAACAACAAATTATAATAAATATTAGAGATAACCAAATATGGATATAACTGGTTGTATGGTTGAATAATATGGATAATTTTTGAGTATTAAACAGGACAATACATACATTAGAGAATAATTGGATTTTTAAGGTAATTATTTATAAACCAACAATCAACTAATTATTTTACTTGATAGAGAAATGGTGTAATATAGAATATAAAATAGAGAATTGGTGTAATGTATTGTAATTATTTACACAACACCAATGAAAATTATACATTCATATAAACAAAATAATTCTTTAGTGATTCTTGACTAAATTATTATAATTATGTCTATCATTTACTTTTAATGAAATATAATGATAATGTATTTAATGAACATTATTGTTTATTGAAAAAGTTGATTATTTCAAAATAAGATGGTAATTATGTTGATTTTTAATTTTTACTGATGGCTACATACAATTAGTGTTTTTGTTAGTTTTAAAAAAGTTTAGTTAAAATTTATGAATGTGAGAATAGAGCCTTAACTATTACTTACTAAATATCATAATAACACTTTTTTAAAGACAAGGTTATCTAAAGTTATTTTATTAATAACTAAAATTACAATGTGGAATAAGGTTTTGGATATGAAATATGTAGTAGAGACATTTCTTAGCAATCTGAATTAAGTTACTTAGTAAAAATAAGATAACAGTATAGCAATTTTATTATATTTTTTTTTTGTTTTCGCATTATAATTTTTTATTTAGTGAATTTTATAGTTATAATTTATTATTAACTTTTATACAATTTTTGTTTTCACATCTTCCTACAGTACAGTAAGGTAAATTTTAAATGACAAAGCAATGTAAAAATTTAAGTACATTAATGTTCATAATGAAAGAATCATTGATGAAATGAAAATTTTTAAGTTAACCTTGCACTTGAACATGGTAATAAGTAGTATTCTCATAAAATTTTAATTATAGTTTTGGCGCCGTCGTCCCGTCCTCTGTTTGTCAAATCGCATTTCCATTTCTTCTAAAACTTTTGGTGTGTAACGAACAACCAGTTTCACTGAGCCTACTGCTTGCTTCAATAACTCAACAGCCTTTTCATGATTTTCACCTTCAACTGATACCCCATTAACAGACAGTAATTGATCACCTCTTTTCAGCCCACCATGACGATCTGCCACTCCACCAGGGATGATTCGAGATATGTATATAGGTGAATTCTGTTCCTTTCCTTCCCATAACATTAAATCCTAATCCTTCTTCCGTTTTTGGAAGCTCAACAACTCGTGGATGAGCATGACCTTCTGCAGCCGCAAATGCTGCTACTGTTGCTTTGGCCGTTGCCGAAGCTCGAATATCTGCCGAACCCTGAATGTCAACAGTTTCATAAACGTGCTCGTAGACTTCTCTAACCGCGTTTAAAAAGTCACTTTGAAGCACTTTCTGCAAAGCTGCTAATTTTGTGGCAGGTACCTCACCACTTTGCTGCAACTTTTCCAACAGTTCTACGGCCCTTTTTATGTCTTTCGCTAGAGTCAATTGCTCGCCCGTTGTACTCATGGTGTTAAATATTTTGTCTGAACTAATACAGAAAGTTGAGAATTAGGGAATTAGCGTTCATGTAGTCCAATTATTCTTAAATTATTTTCTCTTTACCAATCGATAATAACATGAATCATGTGTCAAGCTGTCAAGTCGTTTAGAAATTTGAGTTAGTAAAGTATCTAATCTTATGTCTTACTTCTGCTATAAACGTTTCAGATATTATGAATTCTTACAATTGTTATAGTTTCATAACCACTCGTATCTCATATTAGATTATTGATATAGAAATGTTTTACTCAACACAAAGAAATTATACATTTTTGAACGAATAGCATTTTTAATGTTAGGTTAAAAAAATCTGACAATCATCTGACAGTTGCTCAATTGTGCCAATATTTAGAATAGTAATTTCTTGTCTTGTTTAATTTGCACAGTGATAATTTATGCAATTTTATCATAAACCTTTATAGTTTTAAAGTGAAAGGACTGAAAGAGACAGTTTATATTTAAGAAGTACCTATTGAGAACTTAACACCAGCCTGCAGAATTCACTATGGATGACTTGGGTAAGTTTGGTGTTATCATCTCAACCTGTTTGACTTGCTTCGTATCGAAATGACGTGTTGCAAGTTAAACATTTCTGGCATTCAATTCGGAATTAATCAGCATAGTTATTTGGACAGCCGTCTGCTCTTTACATATTTTTTTATTCAGGATGGTGATTTCATAGGCTAATGATTACACTACATGTTTTACTTAATGAGTCAATTACAATTTTTGTTTATTTATTGGTAATCGTTTACTTTTTACATTTTATGCTATGTGAACTGTTTTTAATTGTTTAAATTTCATAGAATGTACTATTTCAAATATCTATTTGATTTATAAGAGAATAGGACCACTATACAATATTTTTACTTATTTCCATTTTTGCTATGAATACATTACTTTTCAATGAAAATAGCAATGGCTTAACAGCAATGTTATTGATATTCACTATTTAATCTTGACCCATACAAATCAACACATACATAAAATGTTTAAAAAATTAATCTAAATACAAAGGCCAATACTTTACCATGAAAAGAAATTAAAGTAAATATTGTTTAATGTCTTGGCAAAGCTTTTGAACTATATTATATACATTCACTAGAGATTTTAGTAAGAACAATGAATTTGATTTGTGGTGTAAAAATAATGAAATGAAAAAAAGGGTCTTTCTATTGATTATGTAGATGTATGTTTGTGGTGTGAAATATCCTTTTAGGTCTTGCTTTCACAAATGTTTGTTTAGCTATTGTTATTATGGGCTCTATACTTTCTACCAATTTTGGATTGTATATCATTATTAGATGCGTAACTTGTGATGCATCACATATTTAAAAAAATATGTTTCTTCCACAGTTTTAACTTAAGCATCATACTGTTCTACATTGTTTAGGGAAACTTCAAACTGTACTTTTATGTATATATCAACGTCATGTTGATTCATCATCCCAGAGTCACAGATCCAACACAGCACCCCAACTTGATGTGGTTTTGTGGTACCCTACCCCTAGAGTAGCTGAAAAATAATAAATATTAAAATTTTAAAACTTGTAGAAAAATTTACTTTTTCATTGTTTTTGACTTTCATGTGCTCTTACGAGAACCCTTGCTCTTGCCCCTGAGTATCACACTACTCTCACTCAACCTTTGTTCTGCTACGGTATGGGATTTAAGTCTATGTGTTACTTATCTTTGTATATAAAGATATCATTTTGCATGTCTTTACTACCGCAACAATAAATGAACACACATATAGAGAATAACTTTTTAAAATTGTATTAAATATTTACATTCTTTAAACATCAATATTTACTGAGTTCTACAAAACAAAGAATTTTTCAAAAAAAAATTTTAGAACACCCTTACATATAAAACTAACGTAAAGTTCATTTGTAAAGGTCACAAAGCATATGAATGGGTTGAATGAATTTAAAAGAGACGCTGTGGCAATGAATGAAAGTCTCTGAATGTATGAATCAGTCAGTTGTAGTTGTATAGGATGTTACCAACCTTACCAACCTTACCTTTTTACTTAATTAGTTTGTTTTAAAAATATTTTGTTTAAATTATGGATTTTTTTAACGTTAATCTTTTTTTATGATTATTGGCAAGTAGCGTTAGACGTTTGTTCATTTATTGACGCGGTGATAACGACACACTGTATATAATTCTTCTGTACATGTGTATGTCACTGAACTCCTCCTAAAGGGCTGGACCGATTTTAATGAATGATTTTGTGTGTCTTCAGGTAGATTTGAGAATAGTTTAGATTCACAATTCGGTCCACTACAATTTTTTTTTTTTAATTTTTTTGTTTATAAGTTGTTTTCAGATAATATATGCCTGGTTCGCTAGTACAATAGGTAATGTTTAAGAACTTACTAAGTGAATATGGGTGCACTTAGTAATGTATTTTGTTATATGAGATAGCAGTAAAAACCATTCCAAATTGCCACCAAAAACCTATGTCATGTTTAGGTTTAAACAACACGGGCCAACATTATGTGGAAAAAAACCTTGATATAGACAGGATATTGGGAGGTATAAAGTTTAGTTGTAGTTTCACTAATGTCACACCTTGGCTGTTAGCATGGTAAATCAAAAACTACCGCGCCCACTTTGCGTTAATATCAATTAGGGAGCGAAACAAACCCCACTCCAGTGTATTATATCACGGTGAAAGATTAATGCGATATTTAGCGATATTTTTACCCCACTCTGCTGCGTAAATGGCCTGTAGATGTTTTGTCTAATGGGTGTCAGTGACAGCCGAATGATTAATGTCCCCCCATTGAGGTCAACGGCAACTCTCAATTTCACTAAGGCGTCGTTATCGTGAAGGACGTCGGCGATAGTAAAAGCGTATTGTTTTTTTTTAATGTGCGAAAGTGGCATACGAGCTGGCGGTTCACCTGATGCTAAGTGATAACCCCGCCCATGGAGACGCGTTGCCACTTTTTAATAAAGTGGGCCCGGCTACCTCTCACCAGGCGAAACGCAGAAGTATGACACTTCCACTTTACGCCGGTCTTCTGTGAGGTCGTGGTACTTACCCGGATGGATCTGCCCATTTGTTGCAACAGTGAACACTATTGTGTGGTGCTACCACTGTAAAATTATTGTTATTAATTATGTCGTTATTAATTATTAAATAATATATTAATTGCAACTCATTAAAGAGAAGTATCACAGATTTTATACAATCTCCCACTGTGCGGTAAAGCCTTAATCTGAAGTGATTATTAGAGCCAATCCAGTGTTGGCTGGCAAACTTCACATATCTTTGAAAAATGTTTTCTTATTATTTGAAGATGTGTATGATCAATCTTTAAAAGTTTTTAAAACAGTCCACTGGGACACAGATACACTAAGCTACCTACCAGGGCTCTTGTCGTATTATGTAAAAACGTGGTTGTACTGTGTGTATTTTTTGAAGGTTGTGTCTTAAGTTATGGCGGTGGATTTTGCATTTAAGAATATAACTGTGGGAACCAATTGATTCGATGGCGCCGTTGCTATGCTATTGGCTTCGACGTCGAGGGTCGTCGGGGTTCGGTTCCCGCACAGGTATGTGTGTTGCCCGCAAATAATTGTCCCGGATCTGGGCGTTTGGTCTCCAAGAAGGGTTGACGTCAGGCAGGCGGTCGGTTGTAAAAAACGTAGCCAAAACCGATTACAACATGATTCACATGTCGTGCCGACCCCAGCCAGTTGGATATGGGCAGGAGGATGGTGATGAATGGTTTCCACAACCGATTGGCGTTAAAATCCGCGACCTCGTTTTACACCTACTACTAACTTCTGTTGTGTACGACATTAGCAATTTTTATAAATTTAAAACAGCTTAAACGGCTATCCAATCACTGTCAAGCAAGGCGACGGAGATAATCACAGGCAGAGGCAGGCTTGAAACACGAGTGATTTTTTGGATATGAGACATTCTTGAACATTGCAAAGATATGATCTTTATTAGTTTAGTAAAAGATTGGGCTCATTTCAATGACTTCTGCCTGCGGTGTCGTTGGAATTGGCCCGAAATCGATACATTTACATTTTCATTTTCGACTTTTACCTTAAACAAATAATGTCCCACACAAACTATAAAATCGTTGTTATAAAACAAACTTGTTCAATAAAAACTTTACTGACCATTACATTTAGCAAGTATATTTACTGACCATATACTACATTCGTCCAAGATGGCGATGCGATGTTGACTTCGCTATTCCAGTTTTTTTTCTTCTGTTACGAATGTTTGTTATCACAAGACACTGAAACTGCGTTTGTTTTAATAACGTCTTTTATTTCCAAGTACCTGAAAAAAGTAATCTCTATATATAAAAATGAATCGCTGAATGTGTTGCTAAGCGCAAATCTCGAGAACAGCTGAACTGACTTCGCTAATTCTTTTTTATAATATTCTTTGAAGTACGAGGATGGTTCTTACGGAGAGAATAATTTAAAAAATTGCCTGAAAATGTCTCAAAACAACACTTCTATATTCCCGTACAAAAGATTCGTAACTTAAAAGTCAATTTGAACTTTAATACCATACCATAAAGTTTGTGTTAGTGGAGGGCTTCCGGGAAGGCAAAAGTGACTGTGGTAAAATGTCACTTGAAATGTAAACGTCTCTTTGCTGTACATCACTACATAGTATAAAACAAATTCGTCCCGCTGTCTGTCTGTCCCTATGTATGCTTAGATCTTTAAAACTACGCAACGGATCTTGATGCGGTTTTTTTACTAGATAGAGTGATCAAGAGGAAGGTTCATATGTATAATACATTGCATCCGTGCGAAGCCGGGGCGGTTCGCTAGTTTTAAATAAAATAACGCTGCAAGCTAACACCGGACACATCTGCTGCACGAGAGTCAGCTTGATTAATTTAAGTAGGTAATAAATAAAATATTTCAGCGTGTATTTTTTCATAATTTTATCAAGTCCCATTCAACAACCTACACCT